CCAGAGGTACCACTGTACAATTTACCTCTGGAAGAAAGCCACTAACAGATAAACTTCACTTGTAGCTAACAGTGAAATGCATCCCTTCCAGCACTGATACACTGGAACCAATGTCTGAGTTGTGACTGGTCCAATTCTACTTAGCAGAAGTGCCAAGCAAACAAATCAAGGAATGCCAGATTTGTGATAAGTACTGAAACTTCAAGTCCAGCGTATCCAGGAGCTAATCGCTGAACTGGAGTTTAACAGTCCATTTGCATCCTCATATAGGATCTCCAGAGATGCGCAAAATAGTGTGTGTCGAGTTCTTTAATGCTAGCAGCTTGCACACATCACAAGATGTCTCCTTGATAAATATTCATATGCCAGCCAACATCGTAGCATTCATTAGACTATTCTTGCTGATGAGCCTGCTTTTCCTCAGGCAACGTTTCCCTCTTGGTTTATTAGTGTAAGATACAGATATGTGCCAAAATAACTGAGACTAATGAAGCTGGCTGGCTAATACGACTGGCACACATTGTGTGATGGTGCAGACACTCAGGAGCGACCCCTTACCGGATATTAATGGTTGACATGTTTAATCAAATAATTGGTTAGCTTAATCAATTAAAAAATGCTGATCAACTAATACAGGGGTCACCAACGTTTTGGGACCAATGGCCGCATTTCAGATTTTGGGAGAGCGCTGGAGGCACCAGTCACAAAATATTTGCTATGGGGAGCAGGGAGCGGGGCATCTCTCTCTCTCACACACACACACACACACACACACAAAATGGCAGCCGCTTCTGTGCATAGTGTGAAAAGGGTCAGCCGCAAAAATGGCTTCCAAGTCCTCTCACACGCTGAGGATTGTCCAGAGAATTATAAAAGAAGACGACCCTGCAACCTTAAAGAAAGCACACTGGCTTTTTTTGGTAGAGAAATAAAACCTGTCAGAAAGTGGTTGCTATTTCAGCTCCACAAGTCATGTTTTCAGAGTGAGAGGGGCCAGTTGATCTGAACCTCGCGGCTCAACCCGAGTGGAGGAAGGAAGGTGACATTTAATGACATTTAATCCTGCACCTGCTGCTCATTTTGAGAGAATGGGACTGATCAGCCATACCCTATAACTGGAGGAGGCAGAAATGTTCAGGTTTGATTTATTAAATCTCTGGATAAAAGGCAAGATAATTGGAGATGATCTGGTGATTAAAACTGCCCAAAATAGCAAAACAAAACAAAAATCACTGCAAAGGCGTGATATTTGACAAGGTGCCATAAGGCACCTTACTCTTGCAAAGCCAAGTTTATGGTATGTTTTAGAGCCACCTACTGGGTGCAGCTGGAATATTGGAACTGCATATAGCACTCTGAATTTTGTCCTTGATGCTTCTAGCTTTGGCATAGTTTTGGTTTAGTTTGCTTTCAGACAGAGGCTTTGGGAGTGTCGTGCACGGTGTCACCAACAAACAACGCAGGAATTGTGATAATTCCTGTGCTTATCCTGCTAGTCCAAAGAACAGGCTGGGGACAAGCAGGATTAGTGCAAGTTTCAAAGTTCATTACAGGTGTGGGAGAAACTGGCAAGTCCTTGGTGTATCCCAGGGGTAGCCAACATGGTGCTATCCAATGTTGTTAGCCTACAAATCTCATCAGCCTCAGTCAGCATGCCCAATGTGCAGGGACAATGGGAGTTGGTCCAATAACACCTAGAGATAACTAGCTCTGGTATATTCACTGCATTTACGAATTTAAAGCTGTCTGTAGATTGAGCAGTAATACCTTGCTCCACTATAGAAGCCAAACATGTATCTTGGATTTCATGAAAGCTCATTTTAATAAGCTCAGAGAATTGCTAGGTGCGGTTCTGTGGCTTGATAAAATAACAGGGAAAGGAGCTCAAGATGTGTGGGCATTCCTGGAGGTGGTTACTAAAAGCAAAGTCACGAAGAATTCCAGTGGGGAAGGAAAAAACAAGCTTGATCCTGTTTTGCAGGGCTCGCTTAAACTACAGTTTGCCAGTTTGTACATCACAGCAAACCGTGGTTTGACAAATGAGGAAATATTCTATTAAGGTGAACACATGAAAGAAGGAGACAGACACCTGTACACCACAGTTTTTTCCTATTCCTCCAAGCTGTGGTTTGGACTGGTTAGAAAACAAGTCTGTTCAAAAACAGCTAAACATTTTATAGGCACCTTGGTGTTTTGGGTTGTTTTTTTTTTAAACTGAACAAGTGAAAGAGTGTAACTGCTCAGAGGGTGAGGAATGAGTCAGCCAAACAGCATGATATCTGTCTCTGCTTCCAATTGTAGATGTTAACACCAACACCAATTCAATCCAGATACCAAATAAGTATCAGCACATAAGAATTCATAGACAGGCTTAGCAAAAAAGTACAGATTTAATCTGCATAGCAAAAAAGTACAGATTTAATATTGGGATTTAAATGTTTGCCATCCTTCAGGAAAGGATGTCAAAGCAATTGTTAGCCCAGGTGTTTACTTACCTCTTAATTTATCTATTAATGTAACTGCTATGTTATTAGGTTCTTCGTAGCTGAAAGCCTACCTGTGGCTACTCAACAGAATCAGGTCACTGCAACAAAATGATATGTGTATGTCTCAGAGGGAGCCTTCAAAGCTCACCTCTCTCGGGAAGGAGCAGGCCAAGACTGAGCTACCATTAATAATAATAATAATAATAATAATAATAATAATAATAATATAATAATAATAATAATAATAATACACCCCACCCATCCGGCTGGGTTGGCAACCAGCAGCTGTCAAGACCACAAGAGAATGGGCAAATTATATGTAGGTATCTGTTCCTCCTACCTTCTTGTCTTTCCCTTCCATTCTCCTCCCCAACTAGCTTTCAGCTGTTTCCCTCCCAATAGTTCACAAGTACACATTCCCAGCATGTTCTCACTCCTGTCTCAGGGACATCTATGCTGGCTTGGTCATGTACACAGAGTGGAAGATAGCAGGATCCCCAAGGAAGTGCTCTAGGAGGAGATGGCTTCAGGCACCAGCCCCGTTGGCAGACCAACTCTGTGTTGCAAAGATGTCTGTCAACGTGGCATGAAGGTTGGCAACATCAACCCCACCGTGTGGGAATCCCTTACAGATGACCGCAGTGCCTAGAGACAGTCCTGTCGTGCAGCCACAGCAGTGACCAGAAAAGGAATGGCCACTGGGAGGAGCATGAGAGAAGAAATGCCATGGTGCATCTGCAACAGCACAACCAGACGCCTTCATCTGCCTCAGCTGCAACAAAACATGTTTCTCCTGTATCGGAGAGGGTGCTGTAAGCTTCCAACAGTTTGACTTGGCCCCCCAAACACACTCCTCCATTGTCTCCTGAGGCAAATGAATGCCAACCCTCCCAACAGCCAATAAGCATTCTGGGGTCACTGGGCATGCTCAGTCCTCATTGGACAACTTTGGGGGTTTCCTATCACTGTAGAGGAATTTTATTTCTGAAGATTTTTCTGTACTTCTCCAAGCTTTGGAATTACCTCAGGTCTACATAACCGATAGGACTCAGCAGAGCCAGCCCACCAATGAGGCGGGATGAAGCACTTGCCTCAAGGTGTGGAAGCCCTGCCCCACTTCTTCCACCACTGCTGGAATGCCCACCTCTCACCAGCGAGTGGCCTTGCCAGTCCTCTTCTCTGCCCCGGAACAGAGAAAAGGAGCAACAGTGCCTTGAGGAGCACCCCAACTCTCCCCAAACTTAGGGGGACACACACATTCTGGCAACGGCAGAAGTGAGGGGGCAGTGGGAGGATAATTCCAATTTCACCACAGGTGGCAAAATGGGCCACCCCCAACCCAGAATTGAATCAACTGAATCAGAATTACTATAGAGCAGGGATGGGAAATGTGTGACCCTCCAGATACTGATGGACTACAACTTCCATCATCCCTGACCACTGCCATGCTGCCTAAGGCTGATGGGCTTTGGAGTCTATCACCATCTGGAGGGCAACAGGTACCCCATGCTTGGAATAATAAAATAAGCAAGATTCTTCTGGAAGTTCCTCTTCAACCTGTCTCTAGTCTAAGGGTAGGATAGATGCAACTACCACGAGACTTACCAAATGCCATCATGATATATCTTTGGTGCTGGGCAAAAAACTTTCCTCTATAACCAGGCCTTTGGTGTTTTTAATATATTTGGGGGGGGGGTTCCTTTGTCTGCTTGTAAGTTGCTTTGGGCCGCTCTGGGCAAGAAAAAGCAACCAACCAATTTAATTACCAATGATAATAATGTAGATGGCACTGGTCCCTTTGTATACAGGTTAAGAAGCTCAGTGTGCACATGAAGCCTTTGCAATACTAGGCATAAAAATATTGCATTAATGAATTTCTGTTCTCTGAAATAATGTTTTTTGTAGCAGACTCCCAGCTGCTAAGAACATTAAGTGGCTCAAGCGCTCCATCACATGGACAAACCGGGGTTTCATTTTGCAATTAAGATGCATCACAACAACTGGCTAGAAATTCTCATCAGCGTCAACAAGCATTAAAGGCTAAAGAGTGGGAAGATTTTAGCCAGGTATCTTAAAAAGCCAGGAGCCCTTTGAGCACAGAAGAGAAAGCCAGAGGTGCTGAAAACTGTTCAGGGCAGTAGTGTCCAAAGTTCTGAACAGGGACAGCCAAAATGCTTTTCTTATGGATGCAGGGCATGTTGTAGGGAGTCCCATTGTGCAAGCAGAAATCCTTGCATTGATGGGACACGGTGGTTGAATCCTGCCCCATTTGTCCATCCAGTCAAGCACTGTGTACTTTGATTGGCAGTGGCTCTGCAGAAACTCACCCCTTTTCCACCACTTGCTTTTATCTGGAAATTCCAAGGACTGGACTTCAGACTGCCTGCGTGCCCTGAATGTAGCCCGCCACTGGGAGATGGTACCTTCAAACAGTACATCAGAGCTTACACAAAAGTAATATGCACTATTATTTGTGAAGTAAGAGAAAACTTGCAAAATGAAAACCACAGGTGGTAGAGGCTATTCCAGCAAATTTTATTTGTGCCATTGTATATTTTTCTAAACAAAAGGAACACCAAACCAGGAAGCTTTGTCTTCTGTCCCCCTTTAGTACACCTGTCCTCCTCACATACTGGGGGCCCTTATTACTGTAATTTCTTTGGTCACAGGACAGAGTCTCCTACAACTGCAAACATGTTTGAGAATACATCTGGCTCACAGGAATGAGCAGGTAAAGCTGCTTGCAGGCATTTCAAAAATAATGGGCTCTGTCATGAAGTTTCTATATAATCCATCTTGTGTTGTTTTACTCATTTGCTGTAGGCAAAGGATTAACCAGCCCTCACACAGGTCTGTTATAAGATGCGTTGTGAATGCCTGGATCCAGCAAGGTAATTGATTTGCGTCCTTGTGAAGACCTCTGGCCATTCAGCCATTCGCACTGCAATTATGATCTGGGATCCACTGAACCATCCGGACGTCCTTATTCAAATAGGAATACCCACCCTTATGTACAGTCACTAGATGGACTAGAACTGGATTGGGGACAAAGACTGCAATGCCCTTGGTAACGCAAAAGGGCTAAGAAATATTAAAAGCTGAAATGGACTTGACTATTCATCAAACAGGGTTGGCTTGATTGAAACCTTTTCAGATATTCAACCTCAACTTTTCTCTCTTTCCCCCATTCACTACTGTGGCCAGCCAGTTTCTGGCTTTGATGCTTACAGTACATGCTGTATAAGGAAGATAAGTTACTTTAACCAAAACCAGACAATTCTGATATTGTATTGTGACGTCTACTCAAGAGATATTATAGGACACATAGTCAACTACATGGCACTCATGCAGTCAGAACTACAGTGAACAGATGGCCAAAGTTTCCAGCCAGAAGTCTTCAGGTTCTATGATTAGTCCTCCTGGAGCACATTATGGCAGAGGCTGGACTTGTTTTGAGTAACCAGAATTATGGTTTCTAAAGAAAATAAAGTGTTAAAACAGCCAGTCGTCATATTCCTTTTCTGAAGTACACATAAACGTTCTTTATAAGTTACATGAATTTAAACCATGTTTCGTTGCAAAAAATAGTTGAATTAACAGAAACCTCTATTGAGAAGGTTAAAATGAAATAATCTTAAGCCAGGGAAGGAACCCACCCTTCCCTGACCTGTAGAAGTAATTGCCTATTTTTCTTATTTACTCCTTCCGTGTCCTCTCTTCAAGGAACTCAAAGCTACAAGCAGGACACCCGCTGCCCAAAATTATCACAAGAACCCTGCGAGGTAGGTGCAGCGGAACGTTTTGTGTGTGTGACTGTCCCAAGGTCACCTAGTGAGTTTCATAGCTGAAAGGTGATCTGAGCGTAGACCTCCAGTTTCTATCCAAAACTCTATCCACTACGGCAATCTGCCTCTCTAAGGGCAATTTAGTCTAACTGTCCACACTGGTATAGCCCCGCTATTTTGAAATGTGGTGACAACAGTTAATGCAGTCGTCAGCGCTACAACTATAGCTCTGCCATGCGCTGCAAATCTTTATGTCATAGGAGAATTGCAGTTGGAAGGAACCACAAGGATCATCTAGTCCAACCCCCTTCAATGCAGGAATCTTTTTTGCCCAACGTGGGGCTCGAACCCACAAGACAGGAATTAAGAGTCTCATGTTCTACCAACCACGCCATCCCAGGGATATGTTTACATACGACATGAATTCACTTCCAACTGAACTGAGCACTCGTTAATTGTATGCTCCACTTGCATTGTTAATTGAAATAGTGTTCCCCACCCCCAACAAGCAGTCAAGAAAATATATTATACCCTGTGGAGTGAGAATAATTTTTGCTATTCAGCGGAGTTTCCAACATACTGTATTGCTTTCAGCGTGAAACAATCCAATTCAGTGCTTAAGACCAATCATGAAGAAGGTATGACAGTGTAAAAAAAACCTGCCTACCCAACCAACCAACCCCCCCCCCACTGCTCTCCCATGACCACTGAACCCTTTCCCATTTCTGTATAGCTGCTGTTCTTAAGTCACAGAAATGTGGCACAGCACAATAGGAGCTGCTTGTATGCCTGTACCCCTTTAAAGCACATGCACAATGGCAAAACAACATGCCAAGGATACAGGCACCCTGATTTCAACTGAGCACTAAGAACATCTATTGCCTTTGGCTCTTGGTGTTATTTAGGTACCCCACTTTTCCTTCCAAGAGCAAAATGTGGCATACATGAAGTAGCCAAGTGGTTGTTTATCCACACTCTGGACAAGACCCACCCCTATTTATTATTTAATTTGCTTCAAAAAGCTAACTGCATTACGTGCCTTCAGTCCATGTCCTGGCTAACTGCAGAAGGAAAGCCATAAGACTTTGACTTTGCAAAATACCTGCTGGCTTTGGATACAGATCGGAAGACAATTTTCAAGCTTGCTTTCCATCCTATTTGATACAAGGAGGAATGATCCTGGAATGATCTCTGCTGGCTCCTCTGAAGGACTGGTCTAGCTCAGAAGATCACAGCTACAAGCCTTCTGCTTGCACATGAAACCTGTCTGCCTGAGCCACAATTAAACCAGGAAATCTCCAATTAACCACAGCTTCCCGTCTCATTGAAACCGTGAAACTTCAGTTACCTGCCTTGAAACAAGGCGGGTTATCAAACCAACTTCAATATATGGTTTAATACCCTGGCTTATTCAGAAGCAGGTAGTTCTAGTTTCCCATTCAAACCAAACAGGGAACCATGGTTAATTAGAGCTGGCCTGCTTTAATCATAGCTCAGGAACGAGGGAAGGAACTGCTTTACATATACAGGAACTGTATATGTAAAGGGCTTGTGCATATCTTGGCTTATATGGTTGCTCAAATGCAGAGAGTGTGTATCTCAGCTCAATGAAACCAGAGAATGAAAGAACAATTTTTCAGTGCAATGAAAGCTTTAGTTATTACCGTGATTCAACACACAGCTGACCAAAGCAATTCTAAGGGGGGGCATGGGATAAAGGTGGACACCATGGTGGAGGATCTGGCACTGCCTAACCCCTGCTGTTTGCTCTAGCCAGAAGGGGAGGGAGTTGAGAGAGGCACCATTCTCTTTCTTTCATTTTCCCTCCCCATTAACATCAATTGGGGGGGGGGAATCACTATGTATATTCCAGGAGCCTTTCTGTGGGGCCATTCGATCCTGCAGATCCGAAGGCCTGCTGCGATCCACCCCGTTTCAAGCCCTACCGCAACACATCTTCAACACTACATATACACTAACAAGAGAATTTTAGGGGTGGCCCGGGAGAGTAAGAACTGTTCTGCCAGTGGAACTCCTCTCCACTCACTGAGCAGCACTTGCACAGCATCCTAAGGTGGCTCGGGCCATCTTGAGGACTGCAGCCTTATTGCTCTACATAAAACAGCAAATTGAGGCTTGCACAAATGCCACAATTGTATTACTCAAAAACTGTTAAGTAGAAAAGTTGCATGAATTATCAAAGGGACTTTTGGTAAAGAGGACCCACACACACACAATCATTTACATCACCACCTGCAATAAATATGTCATATAAAAAACTTCATCATGTGTGGAAACATGGAAAAATGTTCCCAGAACCCTCTACTTCCAGTAGAAGAAATAGCAGCTTTTCAAGCAGGTAAGTGGCACGTGAACATTTTTTGCAACACTCGTCTTCTGAAGAAGGCAATCCTAGAAGTCAGCATCCAGAGTAAAAACGTTATCGTTGGTGTCAGCCATAACTGCAAAACGCTGATACTCCGAAACCCTCTTTTCAAAGAAATTGGTTTTTCCTTCCAGCGAGATGTTCTCCATGAAGTCAAAAGGGTTTTCTGCTTGAAAGACCTGAGAAAAAGCAAAATTATTATTAAATTGCAGTTACTGGCCTAAGCACGACAACATTCCTACAAATTTCTGGTAACTAACTGCTGGAGGCCTTTTCCACTGTGATAGTACTCCTTTCTCTTAATGGCAAAAAAAACCCCTTTGGCTGATTAAACAACTATGGCCTTTTAAATATGTTTGTGGAGAAGGGTTTGTCCTTGTTAGTTAGCTGTTTTGTGCTTTGCCTTTGTATTTTTATGCTGTAAACCACCCTGTGATCTTGGGATGAAGGTAGGTATATAAATTTAATAAAAAACAAGTAGAATAATTCTGCCTACAGCCTTGTCTGGGTACAAGCAAAGGCAACCAAGCTCTAATTCTTCTGCAGTTACTTATCTGCCTGCTATATGGCAGCTCCTGAATTAACGTCACTCCCCCAGCACATCTATCACCTCTTCCACTTTCCCAGGCACTTTTACCAAAGCTAAATTTCATAACTGACAACACATATTCTGAGGCCATTTAGACAGAATGACAAGTCCCACTTTGGCATTACATGAACCAGGCCTGGGCGATGTATCAATCAATACATCGCCCAGGGCCAGTATGAGAATCAGAGCATGGTGTCTGCTTCACCAAGTGGTATATCGCGGGTGAAGCAGCCACTGCTTCTGAGTCATAATTTCTTAGACAATATTTTAATTTGACTTATTGGGCCCTAATGTCTGATACTCACATTTCAGTGAGTGTTCTATTGTCTCTTTTGTTGTTTTATTTTACTGGTGTTCTTTTTTTTACCATGGTTCTCGAACATACAGTAGTACCTCGGGTTACAGACGCTTCAGATTGCAGACTCCGCTGACCCAGAAATATTACCTCGGGTTAAGAACTTTGCTTCAGGATGAGAACAGAAATCGTGCTCCGGCGGCACGGAGGCAGCGGGAGGCCCCATTAGCTAAAGTGGTGCTTCAGGTTAAGAACAATTTCAGGTTAAGAACGGACCTCCAGAACGAATTAAGTACTTAACCCGAGGTACCACTGTAATCTGTTCCGCGAGTTCATTCGACTCCCAAAACCATTTGGAAACCAAGGCGCGGCTTCCGATTGGCTGCAGGAGCTTCCTGCACTCAAGTGGAAGGCCGCAGAAGCCGTGGAAGCCACGTCAGACATTCCGCTTCCGAAAAACATTTGCAAACCAGAACACTTACGCTGGTTTGCGCTGTTCGGGAGCCAATTTGTTGGACAACTAAGCCGTTCAGGAACCAAGGTACCACTGTACGTTATTTGTTAACAAGATGTTACTTGTAACATTACATTGCAAGTCACCCTGCACACTATTTATTTTGCTGCAGAAAGGCAGAATACAAATTTTCTCAAATAAATAAATGATACAAAACGATATAAATAAATAACACAATTAGTAAATAAGACGTACAGTATTTTGCAAGGCAACCTGACCAAAGAAAGACTAGCCAAAACATTCCTGGTTTTATTCTATACATCATATATTTTATTTCCAAGTGCTTACAGAGCTCAGGCACAACCCTGAAACAAATGACTATGGCAAAACTTACTAAGGCCCAACCCCACTTACCTGGGAGTAAGCTCCATTGAATTCAACAGGACTTACTTCTTAGACTGCATGATTAGGATTGCATTGTAAGGAGACTAGTGTTAAATGTTTCTATCTTCCTGAACTACCTTACCTTGGAGAAGCCCAGTTCCAGAAGTAACCGATCTGCTACAAACTCAATATATTGCTTCATCAGAGTGCAATTCATTCCAATTAAGCCAACCGGCAAGGCCTCTGTCAAAAACTCCTGTAAATTAGAAAAAGGTAAAATATTTTAGGAGGAGCACGGTTCCAGCTACTTAGGAATAACCCATTATAGTCTGATTACCGTGTTAACATAGGCCACTTTAAATAGAGCCACAGCTACAACACATTGAGATTTGGAGATGGGTGTCAAGGTGCTCCATCCTGAAGCAACTGTAGTGACAAACAGTGACTGGTGCAAAAGTGGAGCAGAGCAGGCACCTGACTTTTTAAGAGGAATAGTATTTTGGGTGCAGAAACCCAGAGACTCGTCTGCTCACCTGTTCAATTTCAACTGCATTGACAACAATCTCTCTGACTCTTTCTTCTGAAGGTTTATTCACTAAATACTGAAACATTAGGCAGGCAAAGTTGCAATGGAGCCCCTGAAAAATGAGAATGAAATGCAAAATAAGGGACACTCACCTTGCTTCTACAAACCAGCAGCAAAAACTCTCTTTTTCCACTTTTATTGATGTGTTTAAGGTGCATATATGTATATATGTGCGCCTTAAATACATACATAAATATATCCATCCATCATAAAGTAAACGTTAAAAGGGCCAAGCTTTTTACAGCAACACCCACCCACAATTTTAATATCTGAATAGAACTATCCAGAAGATATTGATAAGACAGCAATATAAAGCTGCAAAGAGAACAGGAGTCTCCCAACAACTCTCAGCACCCCTTGACAAACTATGGTCCCCAAGACTCTTTGGGGGAAGCCATGGCTGTTTAAAGTGGTATGATACTGCTTTAAATGTGCAGTCCAGACAGGGCCAAGTTGGCTTCCAATCCACCCACCCTGATTTTTCATATTTTAAAAATTTCAAGACTGCAACATGCATTATTAGTTGGGGGGAAACACATCATTCTTATTAAAATGAGCTGTGCTTAATCTAAAGTGATACATTTACACTATTTTATTTCAACAATTCACATACTACTGGTTGTTTTTTAAAAAAATCAAGTGTGGGGGGATTTCTACTATCTGTGACTCTTTTATTTGGATGGTTTTGCTTTCAGAGAACAAGACTGGACCCCATTTTGAACATCAGCCCCCCCACCACATTACTTCATCTCGGCTAATGAGTTCATTGGAGAAAGTGAGGCCCGGCATCAGTCCTCTTTTCTTGAGCCAAAATATAGCTGCAAAAGAACCAGAGAAGAAGATCCCTTCGACGGCAGCAAAAGCAACCACTCTCTCGCCTGTTTCAGAGGAGATTAAAAAAAAACCACACACACATATTATGGTCACAAAGTTCAGACACCAACCCCTCAAACTGTAAAACAGAATGTTGCAACATATAAAAGGAGAGGAAATTCCAGGACAAATACAGTAACAATCTGCACTGAAAGCAACATAATTAACAAGAAAACAAAATATTTTTCAGAGAACACAAAAATCAAATGCAAAAATGCAGTATGAACTCGAGTGTCCCTCCTCTCCACAAATGCCCCAATCCTGGTAATCTTAAGTATAATTTATAACCAGCTCATTCAACCACCTTCAGCCACAGGATAATACAAACCAACACCATAGCCCCTCCTTCCTTGTCTCCCACTCAGGTAGAGTCTTACTCTATACCAGTTCAGTTTCTTACACTGAGAGGTATTAAACAACTTCAGAACACTCAAAAACATTATCTCAACTAAGGCACGTATAGTGGGAATGCATTACTCAGAAGCAACCTACCAAAAGTGGCTTCCCTGTCTCTTATCCACCTCAGTGCCCAGTCAGCTTTCCTCTTGACGCAGGGCATTGTTTCAATAGCATTAAATAAGAAGTCCCTGGAAAAAAACAAACCAAAAGATAGCAAGAATCTGAGGCGCCAGTATCACATCCGTGCATCGGACAACATGGGTGGTTCAGCTGTTTTACCCAAAGCGGACCACCGAAATTAATGAACATGACTAAGCTAGGGCTATTAATTTCAACAGGTCTACTCAAGAGTAAAACATAGTTGAATGCCACCCTAGGGCTGTGCAAGACACCCCAATACAGTTTGGAACCCAATTTGGTAATCCTGATCAGGCCCTATTCCAGCCAGATCACTCTGGGGCCCAGCCTAATCTGGGCCAAACTCAGAACCCGAACAGGATCAGGGCCTTGCGCAGCCCCAAGTGGCAAGAGGTGTGGGGAAAATGAGATGATACAAGCAGCCTCCTTCCACCACCTCCCTGACCGCAAGCTCCATCACGGTTTCACACAGCTGTATCTGAAGCAGGGGGTCACCCACAGATGGCTCAATCCTCTCATAACAGATACATGACTAAATGATCTTTTGAATGTGTGCATGTTGTGGCAAAACAAGAAGCTTTTGCATCTTGAAGAACATTAAGGCACAAACCTTTTTCAGAACCTGCCTTCAAACTAGAAGGAAATATTAACTCATTTCACCACTGAGTAATTTACAGCATGAGTAACAAGGCTATTTCATTTCAGCACATTAATTCTGAAGGAAAAGTCACCCTTTGGTCAACAGTGACTGGTATGGTAGGACAGACTGGACACCTGTCCAGGTAAGCCACTAGTGAACTTAGTGACTGGTCTGTCTTTAAATAAATAAAAAAATCATACGAACTGGATAGGGGAGAGAGACGAAACCAGTATTCAACTAATTTCTACCTTTTTACCTCATTTCTCACATCCAGCCCCTTCATGGAAAGTTATTCACCGTTCTATCCTAGCTACACACATTTTCCATCTTTGTAATTTTGCACAATTTTATTCAGGGCTGTGTGTATTCTGCGATTTCATGAAAGTACTGTGTGAAGCCTTAATTGGTGCAGAATTCCCAGCATTTTAAGAATCACGGTTTTAAAATGATGTTTCTAGTCCATATGACTAGTCATGAGCCTTGAAGGTGTTTCGTAGAATCTCAGAAGTTATATTTCTAGAGGTCAAAGAGCAGGGCCTCAATATCATGCAGTTCCTTGCTCTTTCTCATACTTACTTGAAGCTGAATTATTCAAATTAAACAAATGCATGCAGTTTCTTAACTTGTATCATTTATACAGAGGAAAGTTTTTTTTTAAAAAGTTCAAATTTTTGATTACTCCGATGAATATTGCTTCCTACTTTTAAGCACAAAAGCAAATACTGCTTTGAGTTTAATGAAACTCCTGCTATGATAATGAGCTGCAATGAACCTTGGCCGCAAGCATACCTGTGAGGAGATTGGAAACATCGGTATCTACTTTTTAACTAACCCATCTAAATCTGAGGAACTGTGACTTATTTAAACTATAGTTAATGGAAACAAACCAGCATCTGAAAGAATGATTTGGCTCTGACTTCTCCTAACCATAAAGGGTAAAGGGAACCCAGACCATTAGGTCCAGTTGTGGCCGACTCTGGGGTTGCAGTGCTCATCTCGCTTTACTGGCCGAGGGAGCCGGCGTACAGCTTCTGGGTCATGTGGCCAGCATGACGAAGCCACTTCTGGTGAACCAGAGCAGCGCACAGAAACGCCGTTTACCTTCCCACCGGAGCGGTACCTAGTTATCTACTTGCACTTTGAAATGCTTTCGAATTGCTAGGTTGGCAGGAGCAGGGACTGAGCAACGGGAGCTAACCCCGTCGTGGGGATTTGAACGGCCGACCTTCTGATCTGTGGTTTAACCCACAGCGCCACCCGCATCCTCTCCTAACCATAGTTTAGCTTTAAACAAACCGCAATTCCCAAGCTGAGAAGTCGCAGTGAACTGTGGTTTGTTGAAAGGAGGAAGTAGATGTTTTTACCTCCTCCTCGTAGAAGGAAGGGAGGAATATTGGAACCAAGTCCCACTGTGGCTTAATGCTGTACAGTGGTACCTCGGGTTACAGACGCTTCAGGTTACAGATGCTTCAGATTACAAACTCCACTAACCCAGAAATAGTACCTCAGGTTAAGAACTTTGCTTCAGGATGAGAACAGAAATCGTGCAGCGGCGGCACAGCAGCAGAAGGCCCCATTAGCTAAAGTGGTACCTCAGGTTAAGAACAGTTTCAGGTTAAGAAGGGACCTCCAGAACGAATTAAGTTCTTAACCTGAGGTACCACTGTAGTGATCTCTCCTGTTATGTCATTCAGTATGGAAAGAACACAATACAGAAATCCTCTATATTGTGGCAATACTTACGGTGATTACCTTTTCTCAGGATCTTTGATGTAAGTGTCAATTAATAAACTGTACATCTCTGAGTGAACATTTTCTATTAGTATCTGGAAGCCATAGAAACAGCGAGCTTCTGGGATCTGCACTTCCTGACTAAAACGTTCCACCTGACAAGAAAAGAAGGTTAGAGGTAATTCACACATATACATTCTTAACAACTCATAGAAGGGTGCATGATTCTACCATCACTGGAAAGCACTACATTTGATGTAGTTATCAGACGACAGGAAACTATGGCCAAGGGAATGGGTGTTTCGTATCAACATTGGAGCTGCAATCCTCAAGTGCCAACTTATCTAAGGACCTTAAATATTTGAACTGCTTGCTCAAAACACTAATGGCAAATAAGCCTTGAGGTCAAATGCCAAAGTGTTTCATCAGCTTGACTGCAGGTGCTGAAACAGCAAATAAGGCAGGCAGCACAGGGTTAGAAAAGCAGCCCATAAAGTATCTTACCAGGTTTTCGTTCACAATTCCATCGCTGGCTGCAAAAAAAGCCAGGATATGTGAAATAAAGTATTTTTCTTCGGGTTTCAGTTTGTTCCAGTGAGGAAGATCCTTTGATAAGTCAACCTTTGTGAGGAAGAAGAAAAATTCATTGCAAATTTATAATTTAGTGGTTCAATAATAAATCTGTAAGACAAAAGAAACTCTTGAGGGAAATGAAATGGCAAATTCTTTATTTATTAAATTTCTATACTGTTTTTTCATCTGTAGATCTCAAGGCAGCTCACAACATAAAGATACAAGATAAGAACACTAAATACAAAAGCACAAGTGCAACAAAACCAAAACAAACCAATATCCACCGACCCACCACATTCATATAGTTCCTACAAAGCTTCTCTCCACGATGCCTTGTGCTCCATTTAAAGACATTTGCAAGGACTGGATAGTTTGCAAGTGGACAGGGAAAGAGGATGCCCATAACTTGTTCAAAGACATGTTATTAATTTTGTTATTATCACCACTCCTCCAAAAGTCCCAAAATGGCTAACAGCAATAACAAATAATAAACACAAAATCAATACAATTAATTAAAAATAAATTAAGAAACAGTACACTAAATATGCCAGGATATCTGCACTATCTATGATCATTTCTTGTTAACTGTTCCCTGCCCCACTGCAGGTGTAAATACAATCATTTCAGGAGTTATCATCAATCTATTACGGTAAAATTTTAAAGGTGTATCTATCTAGCATATATTGAGCTCTCAGCGTCACTGACTGCAATTTTTGTATCTTATTGCCATTCAGTTACTGCCTTACCATTTTCTCCTTTCTCTAGTCCACAAAAGCTTGTGCTGTAAAGACTCTCCTCCCTGCAAGAGAGGGGAGTGGTTGTGGCCGGGAGCCGGACTCCGCCTCAAGCAGGGGGCGTTTGCCCCCTGCCTCCCACCCACCTGGCTGGCGCCCACGGCCAGGCACCCAACCAGGTGCCTTCAAGGGGGCGTGTACAGCAGCCTAAATTGCTGCGGCGCCAGCCTCCAGCCCTCACTTTTTGTCATCCAGTCGTGAGCCACCCACCCTCCACTCCCTTAGAGCAGGGTTTCCAGTTTTCTTTTGGCCTTGCTATGGACCTTAGTTTGGTCACCCTGGTTGTCCGGGGGGCCTGGTAGGAATTTTTCCATTTGGCATTAGGCCTTTTGGTTTTTTTGCCTACCTCGTAGCAATCGTCACAACTTTCGTGGTATTGGTGGGTAGGTTAGGCATTGGAATAATGTGTTGCGGTGTCGAAGGGCTAGGTGTGGCCATCGCCTGCGCCTTCATTTTTTGGGTATTCCGTTAAAGGAATCCGGCGGTCGTGTATTCTGTCCGATGCCTGCTTGGCGGGAGGCCATGGCATGACCCTCGGTGACATCAGGGGAGAGCTTATAGTTGGATTAGCATCAACAGGCTCCACCTACTGGTGAGTAAACCCCCTTTGTTTTTTAGACTCACCCCTCTCCGAGTGGGTGGAGTCAGCTGACGTAATCCAATGCCTAAGCCAATACCTTTTCACTTGCTGTAATCAATAAAGTTGTGGCCTTTTCTTGCCCATTAACCTTATATCACGTGTCCTTGTGTTTCATTCCACTGCGCGGGGTTCGGGTCCTCGAACCACAATAAATGTATTAAGAGTTTAAGGTGCCACATAATTCTTTTATTAATATGCTAAAAGTTCATCTATACTCAACAAATCAGACACAAAAAGATGAATCAGCAGCTTCCAGAAAGTCTACCTAAAACAGCACATTATCAGTGGCCCATATCAGTGTTCAAATGCCTGGGAGAAGTCTTTGCCTGGTGCCAGATAGATGACAATGACAGCGCCAGGTGAGCCTCTTTGGGGCAAGTGTTAGTTATGTATCTACAACTCTCAGCACCCTTTACAAGCTACAGCTCCCAGAATTCTTTGGGAGAAGCCATGACTTTTAAAGTGGTACAAGAGTGCCTTAAATGTATGGTGTGGTTGTGACATCAGTGAATGGAGTCAGGCTTTCGTCACCCTCTCTCCTAGCTGTCCCTGAAGTCTGGCTTTCCTAGGTCTCTTGACCCTTCCTGTCTTTTTATTCTCCTAAAATAATTAAGTGGCTAGAAGAACTCCCCTACGAAGCCTATACAGTGTTTGAGGTGTTTTTAGTTTAGAAAAAAAGTAAGTGAGGGTGGTCATGATAGAGGAATATAAAATGATGCATTCTGTGGAGAAGTTTTTCTTCTTCTCTCATAATACCAGAACAGGAGGTAATGCAATGAAGATGAATGTTGGAATATTCAAGGCAAAAAGGCATATTTCTCCACACAGTGCCTAGTCAAAATATGGAATTCACTAAACGATGTAGCTGTGGACACCAATTTGGGTGGCTTTAAAATGGAATTAGGCAAATTCTTAGAACTATCCATTAAGAATTATAGCAAATTCTAAGCCTATCAATGGCTACTAGCCATGATGGCTGTGTTCGGCCCCAATATCTGAATATCTGTTTCTGGGCAACAGCAGCAACAGAGTGCAGTTATCGTGTTTGTGGAACTTCTCCAAAAAGCAACCTGAAGCCACTTGAGAACTGGATACCCAGCCGCCTCCTCTTCTGAAATGTCCTGAAATGTTTCAGAAACGTCTTGAAAGTGGTGTTGAACTACGCAAGTTGAGCATAGACTTAAGCTTGCTTTGTTTGCATAGGAACCCCATTGTCATTGTGGAAACTGTGATGCCTCTAACACAGCAGGACACAGAATACACACCTGCACGCACAAACACACCCTTACATCTGCATGTTGTTACACTCACCTCTTCCGCTGTCCAGAAGGAAGCTTGCGCCTGCTTGTACATTTTCCAAATGTCTGGATACTGGATGGGGAAGATGACAAAGCGGCGAGGGTTTTTCCTTAAAAGAGGCTCTTCGCCCGATTTTAAGCCATCCTCAGTCTCACCGGAAGACGGTAACAATCTCTAAAGCAAGAACACAACGAGTAGTCAATAACATCGGCCCAGAGATGGAAAGAAGATAAAAGTCTCAACCAGAGAAGAATGGCAGATTAAGTTGATGAATTATGCCGAAATGGCAAAAATGACCGGAAGAATCAGAAATCAGGAAGACCAAAATTTTAATAAGTAATGGGAGGAATTTATAATTTAGCTTAAAAATAATTGTAAACAGTTAAAATCGTTAGTAGGATTGGAATAACACTTGTAGTTTAATAGTGAATTTTGAATATAACGGAGATGTAAAAGATTTGGATTATTATAAAAGATGCAGGAGGAAATGACTAACATTGGGACCCAGAAAGGGGAGGAGGGAAGTCCAGGAGATTCTTTGGAATTTTGTTTTTATGATGTATGTTGCATATGTGATTGTAAAACTTTATCTGAAGAACCAAATAAATAATTTTTCAAAAAGTAAAAGAACACAAGAGTCGTAGAGGATGCGCTGGTTTTCTACGCCGCCTCGCTGAAAACTCAATGACGTATTATATAAGCTAAGTTTTACTCGAAGTCGGAGCCACGGAGCGCAGCGGAGTTGACTCCCGAGTAAGCGCGAGCATAGGATCGCGGCCCTGGAGCTCGATCCTGGCCCCCTCCGCCCGATCATGCGCACGCCTGCTCGGGTGTAAGGGCCTCCGGGTTCGACGGGGGCCTGATCCCCGGGAAACGCGCGCACCCATCCGGGGAGATGGAGATCCCAATCTGCCCTGCTCACCTCGTCCCCCTGCGGCCTAGCAGCACCGCAAGACGCAGGGCGCTCCCGTTGCTCGCCCATGGCCCCGCAGCGGGCCCGGCCCGAGGGCAGCGCCGGCGAGGGGAAGGCGGCGCCGACAACGGGGACCTGCGCGCAGCAGCAACCGGCGGACCTGCAAGGGCAGCGGCGTCGGAAGAGGCTACGACTCGGAGGCTCCTCCTCCTCCTCCTCCTCCCGGAGGCGGGATTGTGTGCGGCCGAAAAGGAAGGCAAATGCTCGCGCTCCCTCTGCAAAACTGAGTCTCTCCTCCTCGTCGTCGTCGTCCTTTAAGTCAAGGCGCAGACACAGTTCGAGACAAACAAAAATTAAATGAATAAATAACCCGTCTGAATTCAGCGCTCCGCCTCAGTGGCCGAGAAGAAGTTTAAGCTTTAAAAATGTGAACTGGAAGGTAGGTAAAATAATGTTTTAACATGCAATCGAGTTTTCATATTCACCCATCAGCCATGGGTGCTTCAGCTGAGATTTCTGCATTGCTTGGGGTTTGGAATAGATGATAGTAGGACTCCCTTCCAGTTCCAGAGATCTGTTATTATGCTAAACTGATCATCACAGAGGATCTAGCCCCCTTAAAAGCACTTATTAGTTCTACCTGAAGATGCAGAGATTGAACTTGACCAAGCTTTTGAAGGACACCAGATTGGGCTGTATACACGTCTATATCTTTAAAACCCATTTTAAGCACATTTCCACCAACAGAGAATTACAGGCCCAGTAGTTTGTTAAGGAATTGTAGCTCTGTGAAGGTTAAACTACAGTGCCCAAACTGCTTTGAAGGGATCAGAGTGGTCTAAACAAAAATTAATGGCAAAAAGCTCCCGAGGATCTCTCCAAACGGGGTGAATAGACAACAGAATGGCAAATGTGATTTCATATAAGTAATATATAGGGATAGAGTTTGAGCTGTTTTAAATGCAGTAAACTTATGAGGATCTGGAAGCTGGCTCCTCTCATTGCTAGATGGTCATTATTTCAGTGGACAGCCTCTGTTGGAAAGCAACAGTTGCCAAGATAATATGCACAAAAGGATATTTGAAGATCACAAGGCATACAGAGAACATATCATCATCATCATCAAACCTTTTATTGGCAACACATACAAACATCCATAGCAAATCAATACAGAATTCCCACCTTCCCAATGACACAAAACATTTGTCAGATGAAAGAGGCAAAGCAGTCTAACATTACATCTCTAGGTTTCCAGGGAGATCAGACATCTGCAATGTGTTTCGATGACAAAGAACCAGATAAAGATATTTAGCCACTAACTTGGTGAGCTCCTGATTTCCCCCCAATAATAGAAAATGTATGACCTCTAAGTCTGGTTTCCATTTGGGATGCAGAGTTGATCTAGGAACTGCTGACAGAGATCAACATATACCGTATTTTTCGCTCCATAAAACGCACCTGACCATAGTTTTTAGAGGAGGAAAACAAGAAAAAAAAAATTCTGAACAAAACATGTATGATTTTTGTGGTTCATGCTGTGGCCACAGACATGTTATGTGATTTGACGGTGAGTTTGGGGTAGCCCAATGCAAAAATCCTGAGAATCCATGTGGATCCATGCTTTGTAACCACGTTTTTGCGCCATTGCGGCCCCACGAAACAGTGGATGCGTGTGTTTTTTGGTGCAGGCTGTAGCCATGGACATGCTATGTGATCTGATGGAGAATTTGGGGTGACCCAGTGCAAAAATCCTGAGGATCCATGTGCTTTTACCTCCCCCCTCCCAGGCAGCCTCCTTTATCTCTAGAGTCCCTTATCTCCCTCCCGATCGCTTGCTGATCAGCTGATTAGCGGCTTTGTTTCAACACCCCCTTCCCTCTTTCTAAAAAAAAAAGCACAATCTGCTTTTTGCCCCTGGGCAATTTGGCTCCAGGGACCACACATTCATTCCATAAGACGCACAGACATTTCGCCTTACTTTTTAGGAGGAAAAAAGTGTGTCTTATGGAGCAAAAAATATGGTAGTTTACATTTAAGAACCATATGTGTAAGAGTTTCCATCTGATGGTCTTCACATGGGCAAATTCTTTCTCCTTCCACCATTCCCGAGTACCGTCATTAGTGGAAGCATCGACTTGAGCATCACTTGTGCAGTTTTTATTAGTTTGACTTGAGCTCCGCATCAGCTGTGCGGTTTTTCTTAGTTTTATCAGTTTTTATTCAGTTTTTATCAGCCTTAGTATTTTATCTACAACATTTGGCAGCTTTTCCTTAACTAATATATTCACAAAGCTTGAGTTAAAAGCTCAAGTTAAAAGTCTTAGAGAAAGTCCTGGAAAGTCTCGGGGAAAGCTTTAATTAGCTCCAGCTTGACCCAGTCTACCAACTACCGTATTTTTCGCTCCATAGGACGCACTTTTTCCCCTCCAAAAATGAAAGGGAAATGTGTGGGCGTCCTATGGAGCGAATGCAGGCTTTCGCTGAAGCCTGGAGAGCGAGAGGCATCGGTGCGCACCGACCCCTCTCGCTCTCCAGGCTTCAGGAAGCTATCCGCAAGCCTTGCAAGCCCGGTGGGAGTTCCCGCGGGCTCACAAGGCTTGCAGGCAGCAGCCTGCAGCCCCGGCGAGTGTCCGCAAGCCTTGCGCGCCCGGCAGGAGGTCCCGCCGAGCGCGCGAGGCTTGGGGCGGCAGCCTTTCGCCCGAAGCCCCGGGAGCCCTCCGGAGGGCTCCCCGAGCTTCAGGCGAGTGTCCGCAAGCCTTGCGCGCCCGGCAGGAGGTCCCGCCGAGCGCGCGAGGCTTGGGGCGGCAGCCTGTCGCCCGAAGCACGGGAGCCCTCCGGAGGGCTCCCGTGCTTCGGGAGTGTCCGCAAGCCTTGCGCGCCCGGCAGGAGGTCCCGCCGAGCGCGCGAGGCTCGGGCGGCAGCCTGTCGCCCGAAGCACGGGAGCCCTCCGGAGGGCTCCCGTGCTTGGGCGAGTGTCCGCAAGCCTTGCACACCCGGCAGGAGGTCCCGCCGAGCGCGGGAGGCTTGGGGCGGCAGCCTGTCGCCCAAAGCACACGGAGCCCTCCGGAGGGCTCCCCGTGCTTCGGGCGAGTGTCTGCAAGCCTTGCGCGCCCGGCAGGAGGTCCCGCCGAGCGCGCGAGGCTTCGGGCGGTAGCCTGCAGCCCGAAGCAAGCGAGGCTTGGGGCGGCAGCCGCGGCGGGGGGGGGGAATAATTTTTTTTATTCATTTCCCCCCCCAAAAAACGAGGTGCGTCCTATGGGCCGGTGCGCCCTATAGAACGAAAAATACGGTAATTATCAGCAGGAGTGGCAATTAATTGCTCTATTTTGGGAGGACGCCGAGCTTTCCGATTTACAGCAGAAATTAGTAGTGGCTGCATCTCCAGGAAAATGACTAGGAAAAAGAAGCGACTGGTCTCATCTCCACAAGTGAGCCCACAGCAGAAGTGCAAGCAGAAAAGGACAGAATTCAGGACCTACCACATCCAACAGAGCACATTCCCAGGTGGGTGGGGACGCTTTAATGGGTGGAGATCACCCAGGGGAGATTGCTGAGACGAGCGCCCATGAACTATCCCATGAACTACTATCAGAGGGGGCACCGCTCTATGCGGAAATACTCGCGGACCACTGTCTGATGACTGCAAGAACAGTGGAGGAAATTAACAGCAAATTAGAAAAGGTAACGTCTCTTTTGACTGAGTTGGTGCTTCTGGCGACCAGAAATAGCTCCCTCAATTCTAAAGAGGCTGACCACTGCGTTGCCCTCCCTCATAACCATTGTGTAACTGGTCTGGACTTGATAACAGAGAGACTGCAAATAGTAAAAATAACAATAGTGAAAGTAGGGACCTAATCCTACAAAGCACTCAAGTAGCTCTCGATATATATCCTTTCAATGGTAAGCTGCCTTACTGGAAATCAACTGACAGTGTGAAGAGAAACTTTAAGCAGAGAACATATGGAAGAAGGCATGAGATTATATGTTAAAAGTAGCACTTGGTATTCGGCCTGGAACCTCATTGGTAACCAGAGCAGGACTGGTATCCTGCGGTCTCTTTGGCAGGCCTAGTAATCTTGCTGCTGCACTTTGGATCAGTTGTCATTTCTGAACATTCAAAGGCAGGCCTATGGTAAGGGCAGTGCAATCTTGAGGTTAGTAGGGCATGTATCACAGTGGTCTGTTACTTGTTTATCAGGAGAGGGTGTAGCAAGAGTATCCTCTGGTTAGAAGAGAGACACTCCTGGCCACAAGTAACACTCAAGCACCAAGGAGCAGAACATCCAAGGAGGAACTGCGCTGACACTGCTTTCAGTGTGGTGGTACCAAACCTGTGGAACTCCCTGCCAACTGAGATTAGGCAGACGCCCCTCCTTGCTGAACTTCAGACACGTGACTAAAACTTTCTTGTTCCAGTATGCTTTTTAAGGTAGTGTTCAGTTGTATGATCAATTGCTCAGAATAACTGTAGTATTTTGTTGAAATGAAGCAGTGCATTTCTTACATTGGGAGGCAGTTTGACTAGACAAACGCCCAAGTCCCTTCCAAACTCTCTGGTTCTGTGGTATGGATTCAGCTAAACAGCTGCGCTAGCGAGAGGAGTGCACTAGTACAAGAATAATCTCCCCTCTCCTCCCCCATGGGCCCCCCAAATCAGCTCCAGGGGGTCAGGAGAGCCTTCAAAACTCACAGGGGGAAGGCAGCAAGATCGTTCCACCTAGCAAGCTGAAATGCTTGTGCTGATGGAGCAATGGTAATAGCGCAACAGAGAATTCTACCCTCTGATTCTATTACAGTGGTATCTCAGGTTACATACACTTCAGGTTACATATGCTTCAGGATACAGACTGTGCTAACCCAGAAATAGTGCTTCAGGTTAAGAACTTTGCTTCAGGATGAGAACAGAAATCATGCTCCGGCGGCGTGGCGGCAGCAGGAGGCCCCATTAGCTAAAGTGGTGCTTCAGGTTAAGAACAGTTTCAGGTTAAGTACGGACCTCCAGAACGAATTAAGTACTTAACCCAAGGTACCACTGTACCACCTTCAAAGCTCTGAAAAGCTATAGGCTATATACATGTCTGTAGCCTATACATAAAGCTGTAAACCTAGAGGATTAATTTGCCATCCTGTTTATAACTTAATGACTGCAATCCAAGCCAGAGGGATGACTCGAGAAATGTTCCGCTGAAAGATGTCATAGCAAAACCATATGCCCATCTCAGCCTCCAAGGTAACTTGAATGGACACTGCTTCACTAAAAGTATTTACTTAGGTATATGACCCTGCAAAGAGGGTTGGGCATTAACTCATTCGGCAATAATCACCATCTGTTGTTGACCTCTCTTTGGTTCCAAAGTTGACCTTTGCTCAGTGTCTGGCCAGCCAAAAAAGCTTTTGGAAGATTGTGTTGAAATTCTTGCAACGTAAGGAGCCTCAAAAGATTTCATGCGGTGGTATTCAAATATTTATCTGGAATGCACACCAGACTTGCTTTTTAAAAATATATCCTAAAACTCATGCAGCACTTTTGTGGGTCATGCAGTACACTGAAGATGATGTCATAGATGGAGGTGCGTAAGACTATAAAGAATCAACTCCACCAAGACCAGAGTAAACCGTGAAAATCAGTTCACCTAGGAAGCTAGAGAGCCTTAAAACAAATGGATTTCATGTATATTTCAATCGTTTCAAGATCACTCTTGCCTGCAGGTGCCTGGTAGAGTGAAATAAAATATCCATCTCCTGCAACTTTCACAAACCCCTTGGCACATAATGGCAGGGGTGAATGGAGAGCTGTATTGCAAACCATCTTAGCATTGGTGAAGGCTTATCTGCCGCGTAATTCTTAATTGTGTCTTTCTTTGCAGTACTTGTACTGTACTTTTCAGTTTACCAAGATGCTTATTTCAGGGATTTACATGTGTTGATTTACTGGTGTCTTTACTATTAAATGTCCCATCTCAAATCCTTCGTACTGTGATTAATATGTTTGCTCTTACATTTGCCTGTTTTAGTTGGGTAGCGCAGGCCTGCTTGCCAAACAGTAAAGGATATGTAAGATAGCAGTTGTTAGATATCTAAACAAGTTAATATTTAGTTTCAAATTGCTGCTTGCAAAATGAGACAAGTTTTGCATCGTATGTCTGCTTGAAAGACTGAGGCCCCATTTAACATTTGCTGCTCACTCCATCTCAGGTTAGGCTTAACTAATGGAAAAATAACAAAAACAAGCAATATACAGGGAATAATTGTGAACACACAATAATAAAATGTGGCACAAACAGGCTGCGGTGCTTGACCCTCTCTCACATTGTCCTTGTGGATGATGGTGACAGACGACCCCTTCCCTACCCCCTGACACCATCTCCTGGTAGAAGACCAAGAACCCATCGTCAGCAGGCCAGTGACTCACACGTTACCTTCAAGCCAATGGGCTCAATAACTACCAGGGAAACAGGCTTTAGAAGAAACCCAGTTCCATTTTGAAATCTGGGAGCATTAGTATCAGCTTTCAAACCAGCACTGTGTGTTGCAATACACAATCGAAGGAACCACATCTAGCTTCAAAGAACTAAAGTTTTCCTATTGCTTTTTCTTTTACTCTATACCACATATTTAAAAGAAACTAACTTAAGCCAGACAGCAATGTGGTGTACAATTTTAATAAACATTTCTTATGAAAAGCTTGATACTGTTCAAATATACAGAGAAAAGCTATTTATATAGCTACATATACATCTTGAGTCAATGACTACAGCATAAATCATTCTAGCTTTCCCCTTCGGTTAGAGTATCAGCAAAGTGTTTTCTACATGTATATATTTTCTTTTTAGGCTACTATATCGGGCTTGTTGACTGTGTAGTTTTATCCTGCTGTGATTGTTGTAAAACAGCTATGTTATATACATAATTATACATATAACATATGGATATGCTATATATACACAGGTTATATATAACAATACTTTACAATATACACAGCCTTTCATAAGAGGGCTCTGGAAGAGATTAACCTTATTAAGCCTCAACACCTCAGTGAGGTAGGTAGCTATCATTATTTTACAGAATGTGAGTAAGAGGCCCAGAGACATTAAGTAACTTGCCATAAAAGCCAGTAGCAAATTCAGGAACAGAATCCAAAACTTTATATCCACTGAATACATCACCAGAAACTCCATCCTTATCCCTCAAAGGGCTGTCACGGGGGAAACTAATTAGTTCATCAATACATGCAGGGGGGAAAAAATATTTTTAAAAAGCACCTGCAGTTATTCCCTAACTATACAAGTCTGGCACAGTCACCTTTAAGAGAACAAACAGTCTTCAGAGTCTACTGCATGGAGGTCAGAGATGTGCTCTAGCGAGCTTCCCCAAGGCCTGTCAGAGTTAGATTTTTCTGTAGAAGGCAGCCATTCTATTTTTAAGCGAAGGCAGAAAGGGGCTTGAATGCTGTTGTTAAGGGTGAGTGGGGGAGAGGAGCAGTTTTCCACTTTGGTAGAAATTTAAGCAAGTTTGCAGCGATGTGCTGTTCACTCCCCCCCCCCCATTCCCCAGCCAAGAACCACGGGGACAGGGGAACAACTGAAGCCAACAATAATAATGGAAAGAGTTTTATGTCTAGTAGGAGATGGTGAGCAAGCAACAACACAGAGCCTCCCCCTTTCAGACATCACTTAAGAACTAAACAAAACGGGACCCTGGCGTACTGAAATACAAGAGGACTCTCTCCCCTTCATTGTAAAAATGTTTAATTAAAAAAAAAAAAAAGCAAGCACTCAGCGCACCACAATACATTTGGCAAACTTTTCTTTGTGCTGATTGAACAAAACTACATTACGCCTCCATCTTGTACAGCCTGGTGAAAACAAGAGAGCTTGCCAGGGCAGGGCAGTTCTGCTAACTGTAAAATGTGGGCTGAACTCCTTCCATTTCGACTGAAGATGAGAATGAGTTTTATTCACTTATGAAATTTAGAGTGGCTTAGTGAATGACTGTGGTGTGTGGTGATAACTAGGATTATACAGGCTATATAAATAAAAACTATTGTTTCTTCAGTATGACTTTGTACTTTTGTCTGTAATTTATTAAAAACTGTAACAAGATACTTAAAAAAGGCTAGATACAAAAGTAGTTAAGCTGCTCACGAACATTAAATTTCTTCAAAATGTACCTTCAAATAATCATGATCTTATAAACATTTTACAGTTACCAGGTAGTGCCTAGGCTGAAATTTTAAACAGTCTGAGACACAGCAGAACAAGTGTCCAGGTTGGAGTTGGAAGTGGAACAACCTTCTGACTGATTGCTCGAGGAAAGAGGGATACAAAAATGTTGATTGTGAACGATTAAATACTGTGCATTGGCTTCCTTGTTATGTACAAAAAGATCCTCACTAAGGTATACAGATTACATGCAAAACATTAGTGGTGGTATTTGTGTGCCAGAGTCCAATGCAAAGAGACAAAACTTGCAATGGCAGTGGTTTTTTTTGTAAGCAAACGTGAATGATTTCAACTCTTAGCTCTAACTGGCAAGAACTTTTTACAAGTTCAATATACATGATGCACAACTGCAGCCAACCACAAAATTAAACACCATTAAAAAAAAAAGTTAAAATAAAACACAGAACATACTTCATCTTTTATTTTGAAATTCCCTACTCCCTCTATACAAGAACCTTTGCTGAAGCACTTTCCACAAAGGCAGCAGTGAATTTTCTTAGAACATTTTACATATTCCTTCCCCACCCTCCCCCGGCAAAAAGCTAAATCACAGTGTAATTTATATTGTTCTGCTGTCATCTTTGGCTGGGGTTGGCCAGGAAGCCGGCAACTAGCAAATGGTTACAGTCCGACATTGCTAGTGCTCCTTCGGCCCCTTGGGTTGCAAACTTAGTACAGGAATGTTGCATTTAGTCATTGCAATACCAGCAGGGAGAGTATGACAGCATTAACTTTCATAAACTTTTATAGACAAATGGAAAATCTACAAAAAAACTAGCTATTAATATTACACAGCAATACACACTTTTTATACTCTACACAAAACCAAAATTTTTGGTCTTAATGGCGAGTAGCAACTTCTGCTTGAGAATCTGTTTAGAAGAATACAGAGGGACATAAAGGCGAGAAATACAAGTGTTCGCTGTAGGAAGGTGTTGGTCATCTGGCGGCCTTATCGTGATGGATGGCATGGGCTGAAATCCTTCTTCGCTAGCAGGCAAGGATGGGCTTGACGTCCAGAAATAAACCTACGGTGCAAATAAACAGTGACCTGTTAATGATCTGAGGAGGGGGGAATTCACATGCCCATTTTATATTTCAGTGGCATGCGGTGAAATTTATTGTAGGGGGACAGTTAGGGCCAGAAGCGCCAGCTTGCGAGGGCGATGGGGGGGGGGGGGGGGAGAGATATTGCATACATGATGTCCTGACGTCACACACATGAGAATCGGCCTTTGGGAATGTGGAGGGAGGACTCTTGGACCCCATCAGAGCATTGTGCTCTGGGCTTTGGGAAGCAGGCACCAGGTTTAAATACTTTAATACTCTAATTTACTGGGGACATTTAAGGCACTAGCCTAGTCCCTCATGTCCACACATCGTTGTTACTAATGTTACATCCCTTTATGCCAAAATCCTGTAGATTCAAACAATATTTAAGATGTTATCTGTCAGCACCATCTTTGATTCTTTGTTTTTCCACAAATAATGGAGCTCTATGGTAGAGAAAATAATTAACACAAAGCTTGAATTGGTTAATAATCAGTAACAGAAATCTACAATGCTCAGATAACAAATGTGAAGCATTTCAGAAAATGACCATCTCATTATTAGTTTTATGAGAGTAACTAAAAGTAATCTACTTGAGATTATCATTGTCCAGTCTTTTAAAAAACTCAAATGTTGAAATCAGAACTAATGGCCAAGGGGAAATGTTACTGATTTTCTTTTTTTATGGCAGACTCTGTATTATATTGTAGCCTGATTTTGATACTTCCCCCTCAGTTTCAAAAGAGGTTGGAAATGTACCAAGAGGAACCAATCTTGAAGAGACTCCAAATCCCAAACTCCTGAGTGACTGAACTTGCTCTTTGGGTCCAGGAGGAAATGATACCATACTGGGGTAGTTAAAATAAGAAACTGTTTTTCTCCCCAATGTGGAGTCATCTAGTACCAACAGGGATTAACAAATCCCATATGTTGACCAAAAGAAAGAATACTTACTAGATCTTGCCTTTCAGTCATACTCATCTTCTCAACTATGGACCAAAACCAACGTTTGAACTGCAAAAGCTTTTCAGCGTTTTCTCCTGTTCAGAAATGAAATAAATTAACAGAAGAGAAGGCAGATAATAACATTTAGTTGTGGATATCAGATACTGGACTTAATGGAAATATTCTGGTTGTGCAAATAGCAACAACCAACTATGAATTAAAATGCCAATAAGAGCAGACAGAGAGATCTAAGGACATGGTTTCACTAGACTACTTTTAGTATGTAAGTAATAGTTTATATTAGAAAGGTCTGAAGAGACTGGTGTGAAGGAGAAACGGATAGGCCATCTGCACTGTGATTTTTGTAGATCTGCAAAAATCTCCAAATGCAATGGAGAGACACGGGGCTGGATGCAACCAACCCATTCTACTAGCACTCTGAGCAAGGATTCCCACTAGGGCAAAAGGGCTTTCTCTCCCTCTTCACTCCCCCAAAATCTATTCTGGAGGGCCGGAAGAACCCCTAGATCAGCATGTGACAGGAGGAGAGGGGAGATCATTCCATCAGACAAACACAAATGCTTGCTCACACTGAATTTCCCCCATAGTCTGCATGCTTCAGAAAACATTGCATTTGTCTAACCAATATGAAAAGGGGGGAAAAGCAGTCTGGAGCAAGATTACTGCTGCACAACTAAAGGATTACACAAATAATTTCATACCTGATTCATCATTGAAGGACGTAAAGCTGATTAGCATTTGCACATTAACTTCACCACAGCCATTTACGAGAAGCCTGAAATCTTCTGCTGTCAAGTCTTCTAATGAATTCTTTGGAAGTACATCCAGCAGACCTTTCCTCATTGCCTGAAAAAGCCACAATAATGTTAATTTAAACACTACCAGGAACTGCATATTGGCTGGTTACTGCACAACTAGATGGAAAGAACCAATGACTGGCAGATAAATCTGTTTGTCATGGCAAGTGAGCTATTGTCCTCTGGCAAGCATTATGAAGGGAGCCCTGCACTTGGGAGATGGAGCTTGGCGACAGGGTTGTACTGGGCTTTCTGAGTTGTGGAGGAGAACTGAGAACTTTACATGGCCTCATGTAGGGAGACAGAGCAAGGTCAGGAACAAGAGGAGAGGCAGAATCTTGGGGTTGCAGCAAACAAAGTTCTACTGGACATAAGTAAGCAATGCCCCTTAATTTCCATGGGTCTATTCCAAGTATTACTAACATTGGCTCCAAGCCTTGGTGTTTACAAGCTTTGGCCTGGCTATTAAGGTCAGCCAACATTTGCGGACACCCGATTTCTAGCATGTTGAGTTATAGCAGGGGTCCCATTTGTTCCTCATGACATGGCTTGTGTTTACTTCTGCATAGGAATCACCGGCCAATAAGGCAGCACCTTCACCACCCAGAAAGTTATTATAATCACAAACATCAAGCGAGATACTTTTTTCATCTCAAGGTATTAATACAAAATTTCTACTTCTCTTTTTCCTGATTGAATGGCCAAACAAACTAAAAAGTCAACTTGCACCAGCTGTCAGAAGTGACAGCTGGAAAAAACAAAACACCTGGCCTCCTTCCTCCAGAAGGGGAGAAACTAGAAGAGCAGAGCCTGAAGAATAATATGTTCACACTCAAATCATAAGGAAGACCAGCACTTCCTGTGCTATTTGTAAATTTCACAGGGGCCTTATAATCCTGCAGGTGAGCAGTAGAAACCCTCTTGGCAACTGTTCGTTTGCTCAGTTTCAGGGACTGCGCAGGAATTGTGATGTATCGATTCAAAGACACAGTTCTATGCAAATTATCAAATGTGAGTAAGAAAACATCAAAATAAGCCAATGCCTTTCAACCATACTACTTACGTGTAGAGGTTGTTCTGCAACTACTAACATTCTGTGCTCTGCGTATTTTCGGACATATTCATAAACATTTTGAGGAGTGACTGGTATATTTACACCATTGGAGATAAGTTCAACCTAGGAAAATATTGTGAAAAAGAATATTTAATATAAAAAAATCCAACTTCTTAAAATACTTACAACTACCTCACATAATGGAAACATATTCCAAGGGGGATTTTCCTCAGCCATATGTTTTGTTAAACTGGCCACTAATATTACAGAAGCATCCATCCATTTCCAATTAATAGCAAAAAGGGGTGAATGGTCTGAGTAACGGGGTAACTGCTGTTTACCTGTCCTCCGCCTTCCTCTTTGCATAGGTCTATTGCAAATGCTAAGTCCATTGCTGCAAAAACTGCATCAGCATCTGTACTTTGGGAAGCGAGGATAAGTTGCCGCAAACTCTCATACATTACCGGATCGAAAAAAGCAAAATCATGCCAGTTAACCTGAAAATAAAATGCACATGTAAAACATCACTTTTAGTTTTCTCATCAGCTCACAAAGACAGCTACTCTACTGAGCAGTTTTGCTGTTAAGAACTTCAAAAAGCTTTACAAATATTGTGGCCGTACCAAGCAAATTAGTCAGGAGAAGCGTTATGTCCAAATCTTCTGTTCTTTCATAAGGAAACAAATGTGCCTAGTTCAGACATAACATTCCTCCCTTCTTGCACACCTAATCTTGCCACTGGTTTCCTGGGTTGCTCTAAATTACAGTTACTACTTATGTGCATGCCAGGAAACTTTTTTGAATACAAGCCACAATATCAGGATAAGCCTAGAGGGCACCATAAGGGAGGGAGGGCACACTGCTTTCTCTCATGTTATGCCATGTCTGATCTGGGTCTATGTCTCCGTTCAAACTTACGCCCATGGTTAAGAAAGGTTAACGATCTGAAACACCCTTTGAAATAGGTTTGCACGTCACAGTTTTTCCTGAGGGGCCCTGGAGGTGGCTACAAAGTACAATTTCCTAATGCTGAAAGAAGCCTGAACATGGAACTCTGGAGGGAGTTCCCATTTTCTGGTGGAAAAAGTACACAGAAGAGGGAGGAAGAATCACTGCTTTAAATGGAAGGTTGAGTGACATAGCGGCAATATCCAATTAACCAAGCTCTACATTTTAAACCAAGCACCGCAATTTTAATCAAATAACACTGCAGCCCTATAATTAACTATTCTTACGATTTATATGCAAGTTTACCTTTCTGCCAAGAAGAACTTTTATTACATGTCGATTTAATGTGATGGGGCAAAGTTCATTCTGTAGCAAGCATAAACCTAGAATTCTGAAGAAAAAAACGTATCAGAACAAGAAGTTTTTTTTAAAAAAAAGAAAAAGTGATGAAGAAACCAAGTCAAAAGAAGACCATCCAAGCAAATGAGATCAATTACCGTATTTCTCCGTGTATAAGACTAGGTTTTTAAACCAAAAAAATTAAAATTGGGGCTCGTCTTATACATGGGTAGTGCTGAGGGGTGTTTTCTTAATTTGGAGTCCCCAAAAATAGGGGGCGTCTTATACACAGAAAAATACGGTATATTTTCAAAGTCTAGTTGAAATCATTGTAAACCTGGTGCTGAAGTGCAAAATCTTACGTCTTTTCGTGACCGTTACTTTTATACACATTCTAGTATTTTTCACACAAAGCGATGCACACAAATCTAGAGAATATTTTACCTGCCAATATTTCTGAAACAATTTAGTCTGGCTTCTGTATTTTTGCCAGGCCTCGGTGTATAAAAGCCACGCTTTCCAGGTTGATAGAATAGCGGTGCATTGTCATCGCCATCATCTGTATCATCTAATTCCATGTCTACCACACTGCGACTGGAACCATGACGTTTTCTGTTTTCCTTTTTTACAAAAAAAGAGAAGTAAAAAAGGGGTGTTTTTTTCTGCACACTAATGAAGACTGAAATATTCTTCGCTGTTACAAGTTGTCTGTCAAAACCACATCCAAGTAAAAAAAGGGAATTAAACAAATGATAAAGTTAGTGGAATTGCACACTTGGTTAAAGGGAAAAGTTTAAATAAAATTTAGTTTCATCACCACAGTACTAGACTGAAGGAATCTTTCCCTCTTGCAAACAGTCCAACATATTCCATGCACATAACAGTAAACTAATAAAGGCACTGTTAAAACATTTGTCTTACTTGTACTTTATCAGAAGAATCCAACAAGCCAAGGTCTAGGATACTGTCAGCTCCATTTTCCCTTTTGAACAGAATGAAAGAAAAATATTTAACCAGAGTCAATGTCACACTTTAAAATTCAATTTAAATGTTATTGTAATATAGTAAAATAAATCACTCTTTTTTTCCCCTTCAAGAAATATGAAAAGAAAAGCGGGCACCATAGGATTTTACTAGCTGCTAAATGATCTGTCTTCCTTTCTCAATATTCTGAATACCCAACGAATAGTTTTCCAGTGGGAAAACAAAGAAAAACAAGTACAAAACCACAGGAATTGTGTAGAGGAGCTACAATGCACAAAAGATCTAATTCAATTTTTCCCCTGTGACAGCTCAAAGCCAGGCGCAATCTGAAAAAGTTTTCCCTTAAGGATTTATCCCTAACGTTAGTTTACCTTCCATGTGCAATAATGAGTTCCATAGCTTCATCCACTCTCGCTCGAAGAGAATCTTCACTGGCAAGCAACAGAAGCAGCTGAGCAGGAGACAATTCCAACAGCATGCCAGTGATCTTGCTTGCGAATGCCTGGGAACGAGAAATTAATATCTTATCTTCCATTTTCCCCTAGTCTTCTCCATCTGCTTGGAAATTACAGATTCGGGAAACTTCAGCTGCCCTGGATTCAGCCCCCTGCTGCAACTGGTGCTTGTGGGCTTTTGCATTTATTTAAAGGGAGGCGGAAGCTCTGGGTATGGATCCTGTTACATATATAGCTGCTGCTCCACTAGAATCCATCTTGAAGCCCTATGCCTAGGGGAGTACAGGATCCTTAACGGGGCCCTACAACTACAAAGAATTGCAGGTCTAAGGCAAAACTCTTTGTATTCTTCATCTTATTCACTATTCCCCAACATGTCAAGTATATGTAGACACACCCAATTTTTAAGAGGAATACAGTACATATTAAGAAACAAGAATGATTTTCGCCACAGTAGACAGAAGAGAACATTAGCCTTACAGGTTGCATTGCTTGTACACGGGGATAAAGTCTTTCACCCAGGGCCTGCCGATGCGCTGGAAGAGGATCGGGGTCATCACTAGGATTCCCTTCTGAAGCTGGTCGAAAAGGTCTGGTATCAATGGAGAGCTGCCTTCTAAAGTCCCTTAAAAACAACAGCAATTCATCAGAAATTGTCTTTGCTCTCTGAAAGGTCCACATCAAATGAACTACAGGGTATGCTCCTGCTGCGCTAAACCCGTCCTTCCCCACCTTTCGTCTTGTGTCCCAGTAAAGTGGCAGGTGCTTCCTAGTTAATTCTTTTGCTCACTTTTGAGTCCCTGTTTCTGAGGAGCAGTTAATTTAGAGATTTATTTTCTGCCTTTTAATGAAATTCCTGGTGAGAACGAGCAGTTTATTATTCCAAATCATCTCCTGATTTGAAGTTAACTTCAAAAGAAAGCTACTTACCTATCCCTGTCCCTCCGAGAGCCAGTTCGCAAGCCGCTGCTGTTCCTTCTCATTTCTCTTTCGCGCTCCCTTTCTCGATCCCTCTCCCCTCTGTTTCGTAATCTCTGCATGAGACCTTAAAGGGGCAAGACATACTTATGGTTTGTAAACAACGCTCACTTTTGCAACAATGCTCACTTGCAAATACTATGAAAGATCATGAAGCTGTGGAAACCAAGGCTGAGGGAGAAGAACACAAAATTTAGCTTGGAATCACAATTCCAAATTAAGATTTAAAGACATATATAAATCAGGCTTGTTCATCAAGTTCTTCTCTACCACCACACAATAATGGAAGTTTACCTTAAAATATTTGAAGAAAACAAGGTTAAAATGTAACCCTTCACTGGCTGAAGCCTCAAAAACCAAGCCAAATGCATGTAACTAAAATAAAATCCATTTGCTTTCCCCTGTTTAGTCCTGCCTGTTCCTTTTCCTTTCTTCAGTTGACTCCCCTTTGATGAAGTTTAGCATATAGACTCAAGGCAGGAATCTGTTGTCTTGTATTCTATGGAAACAATACGGAACCAAAGAAGAATTCTGGCAGTCTGACAATTCTTCCTGTTCCCACCCACGCACCCAACGTTCTTAGTGCATCTGCAGGCATCTTTATTTCATGCTAAAATGTTCTACACTATGTTTAAATGAAGGATTGATGGAGAATACAGATTTTCCCCCATCAGAACTGTGTGTATTGTGACCACCTTAAGTGCACAGATTTGTGTTGAGTGCAAAATTCAGCATCTTCAGTTTTACTGTTAAATAAGCAGATGTGCCCCTCATGATGATTTGAAAGCCTGAGGATAACGCAGATCCCTGCATAATTTCTTGCCCCTCATCCTGCTTCACTGTTCCAAGTCTTCAATGTTATACATAACACATTTATTACAATATACTTACTTGTATGCGTCCCTTTGTTGGCATTCTGAATACAGTCCAGATTTGGCAGCTTCTCATTTGACAAAAAAGCTTGTGCAATGGCAGTGTAAAAGCTTCTTGCTACACCACTGCCTTCTCCTGGCTCATCCTTAAACGTGACCTTTACCCTGTGGACAGCCATTGGAGTTGTAGCACATCGGCGACCAAAATGATTGTTGAGCTGCCTCATCGTCTGCTGAATTAGAAGATCTCTATCCCGATCAACCTAGAAAACACATTAGGAGAACACAGTGAAGAACAGACAAGCTAAAGAATGAAAATATGATATACAGCCACACTAGCACCCAAAAACATCCTTCAGCTGCAGCATACACAGCGATGGCTGGGCCACCATTTTACATCCTAATTTACTGAGGTAAGTAATTGCAAGAGCAACAGGATATCCACAACCGTTCATCTTTTAAATCTAGCTAAACTCAAAAGGATAGCACTAAAACTTCTTACCTCTAGTGTTAAATCTCTAGATTGTTGGTTTCTCAGTTTTTCCATTTCTCGGCGGAATTTGGATTCTTTTACTTCAAACCCACCTAATTCAGTCAAAATCTACAAAGAGAAACAATGTATTAGTAAAAGGAAAGGCCTACAAAACAATCTAGCAGTCTTCATTCAAGAAGATACATACCGATCCTGGTTCCGCTCCTACATCTTCCATGAACACTCTTCCAAATAATTCTAGGGAAAGCCGCCAACGTCCAAGCAGCATATCATGAGAAATAACCATCCCCATAAAACTGCACTGTGGCCTGGCAGACAAAAATTTAAAAAGAACCAGGAGAACAGAGATTACTTTTATATACTAAGCAAGTTAAAATTAGGATTATGTTGTGTTCAGTTGCTGCCAAACAACTCAAAGTTTCTAGCAGGAAGAGTCAAGTGACGATCTCTCTGCAGTTTCCATCAAGGATTATCTTGATCACAAGCACATGAATTAAATAGCAAGGTAATGTACAAAGAAAAGTGGCACTTGCGAAACCAATGCAAATACCAAAAAGCAATGGTAATTGATAAAATCGAATAAGAACCAATATGGAAACCCTGTGTTCACAACACAGCCATTTCCTCTCTCTTTTTCCTGCTGCTGTTGCCTATCCCAAGCAGTCATTTGCGGCAACACTCCTGACTATGCAGTATTGAGCACAAAGGAGTAAAAGTAAAGGTGTTGTTTCGTAAGTAATGGTACCTGAAGGATGTCAGAGGCGGACCTTCACTTTCGGTCAGTCCAATCTCTGCCAGTAAACTGCTTTTCAGCTGTGCTGCAAGATCATGAGCCGAAGGGCCTGGCTTAGAACTCTCCGATTCTTCAGATGGCACATTTTGTTCTTCTTCCTTCTTCTGCCGATTCTGCATGCTCATAACATTTTTTAAATTTGCTGCATAAGACATTTTGGTTGGAAGAACCTAAACGAAAGGGCAATGAAACAGGTTTGTCAAACACTGCAGGGTATTTTCATGCTCTAGACTCATCTGCAATACTATTTTGGTACAGTCTGCATATCATCATTAACCATCGTCAACTTTATCATGAAAGAGCTGATCTTGGCTTCTTCGCTCTGCCCCACCAACAAGCAGGAGAAACAAACCTGGCATTATGTCCCAACCAGGGACTTTGGTTTGTTTCACTCAACCAAATGCAATCTTTAAATCAAGACCAAACTTTGCCTACAGATCATGGTTTGTTTGGAGCAAAACAAACCCCCATCACTGGTTCAGACATAATGCTACAGCCCAGCTTAACGCATCCATAGTGAATCATTAACTCTTGTCATCATGACATGCAAACATGGTCACTATAGTGCAAGAACCTAAAGTCTAATACTAGCTGAGCCAGAGAGTCTGGATTAACTTGACTGGTCCTATAGAAATCAGTGGGATCAAAGTTCATTTTTATTCATGGATCTCTCCACTGAAACAAAGCAAGCCCTAAAAATGTCCAAGCTGATAATATATTATACATAGTATTATAGATTGAGATGAGGAGCTCTCTAAAATAGCAATGTGGAATTTTCAGATCTAATATTCTATGGGAGCAGGCCTTTTCTCTTCCAAATTTAACTTTGCATACACACAAATAGCTATGAACATTTGGAAATATCCATTGTGGATCTAACAAGCCTTTTTTTGAAACATCTTCTATGCATTCCCCACTTGAGGAAAGAGTTAATAGCTATCTGACTGCTCACTAGAGGAGCAGGCAGCAATTGCATTTGGGTAAAGCCTGTCTTCCAGCCACTGCAATTGCATTTCCAGAGTCTGAAATGAATACTATGGTAATCTTGTGGTTCTTTAAGGCAAGGTAAAGTCCTTAGAAGGCCTGGAAGGGAACTGAGAGTAGTGGATAAAGAAATATGGATATATAAATATATAGACTTGCTCTCAATTTTTTAGCAAAATCAGTGTGAAAAGAGAAAGTGGAGGAACGGAGAGGGAAGGAAGCAATGTTATGAATTTGTAACATGTATCACAATAAATTCATACCTCAAGACAGTTTCTATCCACAGTCACTTCCATTAAACACTTTCCACTATTGGCAGAGGATGAATATAGACCCTGACTTGGCCGACCAAACAAATCTTCTTTTCTAGCATTTGGCTGAAAAAAACCCAGAGGTAATTTACATGTGAGCCAACACTGATGCAGATGCAACTTTCCTGATCACAACGTAAGCAGCTGATCCATGCATCTCTTCTCTACGGTGAGAATTTATTTTTCTTCCTCATATGCCACCATGCTTTGAGGAAGAGTAACATGCCAAAAAACTACTCGCTGTATCAATTCCTGTCCTGCATCTGAGCAAATTAGCTACCCAGGCCCAGGAACGGCACTCCAAATGACTATTACAGGGTTTAACCTTAAGGAATATTTTGCTTCACTAACATTAGAATAAGACTGATTAAGGAACTTGGATAGTTAGCTTGTTTTGTAATGGGTGTGGGGGAACTAAGCAAACCAAAAAAAGCTGTTGTTTGGAAAGACGGAAATTGGAATAGTGTACTGTATCTTAACAGAAACAATACTGACATATTGGACAATAAGGGACTGAACTTCCTACTGCATGTATTAGCAGAAGTTGTGGCTGATTTACAATCTGCTCACAGTTGTTTAACAATGGCTAAGGTGTCTGGAGTATTAAATTATGTGTACAGCTTAGGAATTAAGCAATTTATGCTTTCTCAGTTAATATTACCTGTAACAGATGTGGCTGGTCTGCTAGTGGAATGGCCTCTGCTAGAGGAACTTCAAAAGGATTGGGCGGAATACAGCCAAGGAATGTCATGGAATCTGATCGTCGGAAGAATGGATGATTTTGGCCTGTTTCAGCTGGAAGGGAGTCGTCATCTTTGTCATTAAGTGTAGCACCTGAAAAGTGTTCAGTTAAAACAAATCATTACAATATAACAGTGATTACTTGATACAGATTTGCTCTGTTACTTTATGCTGATAACACTTGTCCAGTGTTTTTAGGACAAAGTATCAGTACTGTAGTTATTCCACTTTTGTCTGCTTCTTGAATACTAGCTTATATTTTTTCCAAATTATTAAAAATAGTAATTGTGATTTATTATTTATATGCTGCCCATCTGACTGGATTGACCCAGCCACTCTGGGCAGCTTCCAACAAATTAACACCCCATAATACTTTTGCACGTTTAAAATGCTATATAAAAACAAGGAACAGCATTCAACTACCCTTCCCTTTTAAAATATTACTATGACTCCCCGTCTATTTTTAAAATCTCCCCTCTTTTCTACCATTTACTTCTCTTCCTTGTCATTTATTTTTCTATCTTCCTCTAATCTTGTTGCTTTTCCCTCTTTCACTTCCATTCCTCCCAAAGGAAACTTCGGCATCGTAACAGTGATTGCAGCTAGTTCCTTTATTCTTTTCAAATACTTCAAAGCTGAACTTGTCAGATTACTCATTGGATTTCTATTCAGACTGCAGTTCTGCAGACAATTTGTCTTCTTCTTTCAGTCTCTCTCACTCTTTCTCTCAGGTGCCCACATCCAACAACACAATCACTTTTTTGCAACTAAGCTACTTGAATTTTCCACCCTACTTTCAGGGGAGAAACAAAAAGTAGAGAAGGGTGGCAGTACAGGTTCCTAGTACCCACATAAACCTGTGCTGGCTAGACTGAAAAATTGAGTTTCTAAAGCCTTCTAAACTCAGCCCACTAGAAATTCCATTTTCTAGCGTCTACAAAGGAAGGGCAGTCCATGTGAATGCCTACATCTTAAAATGGTGTTGCTACTGCAACAATCCCTTATCCCCTAGCTTCACAAAGTTAAATCTGGGAAAGGAGAGCATAGGAACAAGCAGAGGGACAGTGAGGAGCTCATCCAGGTGTCCTAACATTAGGACTTTTTGGAAGATTCTTTTAAAAACCACACTAGGAATACAAGATGAATTGGTGTAGGTGAACCCATCACTACCATAAACCCCAGAAGCTGACTAGATAAGTTATTCAGTGGCAGAAGAGACACTATGAACATTTTCAAAGGGACTGAACCCTGGCACTTAAATAGGTCCTACAGCTGACCCCTGGAAAAAACAGCTAGGACTTCATTTTTATCAATTTTATTGTGCTTGAATAATTACTGATGTCCGTGAATCATTTAAACCCAAGATCCAGAGATATGATCAAGTCTCTATCCAGCTCCCCACAACCCCAAACTGTACAAGTACTAACTTTGATTTGTGTCATCATCATTTTCATGCTCTGAATCTTCATTGTCAAGACCAAGTTCCAAAAGTTCTCGGGTCCTTTAAAAAAAGTGAATGACAGGTTATTTTAGATGGCACGTGGTACTAAATTTTACAACTAGTGCTACACAAGAAAAATAATTAAAATTATTGTATCAGCTATACAATCTTACAGCTGTACCATACACATGCAGTTCCCGTTTTCCTCAGAAATCGTTCATTAAGTGAGTGTGTGCATAAAAAGCTTATGATTTCCATTGATTCCTATGGGGGAAATCCCAATGCGTTCCCACAGCTTGCTGGCATAGTGCTTGCCCCTCCATCCTGAATTACTTCCTGTAAAGCTGCCATTTTCACCAAGATCAGAGTTCTTACTGTGCTCCTATTTCCTCAGTCACAGCTTCATTTGAGAGGGGTCCTCAGGCTGCTGACCGGAGCTGTGTCCCACCTCACCCTACCCTATGAAGCTGTGACTAAGGAAAGGAGTCCAATAAGGAGCCTGGGCTCAGTAAAAATGGCAGGTTTAAAGGAGGTAATTCTCTGACATTTGTATACACAGAGGTCCCGCTCCTCAGGTATCTGTTTCAGATGTTCATGTAGTGAGGTTAGGGTACAAATTCTTAATGTTTGGATAAATGAAATTTCGCATGAGTATTTGGAAAATAAGACCTGAATGTATAGTGTACTCATATTCTTATAATGTAATGTTTTAACTATAAATGCAAGTGAAGGCTTAGTGCCAAACCTATTTATTTGCATCATTGTGTGTAACACTTTTCAACAAATTCCAAAGGGTAGTTTAAATCCAAAAAACTGAATATATTTAAATCCTTCCACTATTTTAAAAACGAATCCAAGCACCCAAAGCAAGAACATTCAGTTCCTAAGAAAACGATAACTGGGAGAATAGTGTTTATGATTATGATGAATGCTTCACTTGCCTTTCAGAAACTACTTTGAAAGACAAAAGAGAAATAATAGGATTGGTTTGTGGGTCTTTGTAAATTGGCTTCTATGAAATTATTATGTTTCTTGGTACATTGTTAAATTGTCCTGTTTCCTGTTGAAAGAACTTGGGTGCCTGAACTTTGATTTCGTCAAAGAGCTATGGTCACTCAGGTAGATATATGCTGGGAGAGGAATGGAGGCATGTGACCTTCAATACTATTGATCTGACCAATGTATCATTCTAGACCACCTTTCTGGTTTGGTATTGGGGGTCCATAACGTTCCCTCCTTCATTTTGCAGATGCCAAAACTGAAAATGTTCATATTTCTAGTCAATTCTCATAACCAGGCCAATATTTCAGCAGCAATAGCTAAATTCCAGGTATCACAATACTTGACTACCAGAAATTAATCATCTTCAGCTATACATATATACTAATCTATTGCACATGCTACATATATAACCACAAGACACATGCATTGGTGTTATGAATCAAAGGGGACACCAATGCCCATGGACAGTCTAGCTATATTTCCATTGAGTAATAGGCTTCCGTACCTCTTCCGTTCCAGCTGAGGTGTATCCAAGGTAGTCTGCTGGTTCATTGCTTTAATCCAATAAATGAGAGCTTGAAAAACATATGCTACATGTTTCAATGAGCAGACATCCAAAACAGGAAGAACATCAGAATGCTCATCGTTGTGAGAACGCATCAAGGAGAGGGCGTAATTTAAGAAGTCCCCCCTTGCCGACATCATCCCCTGACGAGCACTAAGCAGTGTAGCACGCCTGTAATGATTAAAAAAACAAAACAAATTGTTTTGGGACACAGAAGTATTGCATTTTAGACCAGGGGTGGCTAATCTTTTGGTCAGCCAGCCCTCCAAGGGCTACATGTCAGTGTGGACAACTGCATTGAATTTTTGGCTTGTGGTTACTTAGGGGGGGAAACTAACATACAACTGTTAAGGTACATTTGCATACCTTCTACCCTCCAAAGTTCTTAAGCTAGCTTCTTCTCGTGCTGTCATCCTCTCCCTCCTGGTTGAGTTCTGTGATGCATGAAGTGGGTGGTTTGGGTGCCCTGGGTCTCCAGCAGAGGCAAGGGCAGAACCATAGCGCAACTGAGCTTCGGTGGAGTCCATAATGCTCACCATCCAATTCCACGTGGGTATCAGTTTTTCCTCAACGTAGTTCTAAACCAAATGTGATCAACATTTTGTATACATACGAAAACATAAAAAAATCAGACAAGTTCTGAACCATACTCCATTGAACCAATTACACAATGTATCCACTTTGTTCGTTGATTCCCCTGATTTCCAGATTCAACTGTTACCTTTACTTAGTTCCCTATCCACCAGTTTTAGGGTCTCGAGGAGGGGAGAAATTTCCCTTCCTGGTGGCCAATATAGGGGGCAGAAGAATGATAATAAGCATGAAACAGTAGTTATTTACTAAGACAATACCAAGGAATTTAAAGGTGGAAGCCAGATTTTGCATTAAAGACACTCCAATTTAAACACGGAAATTGGCATATCTTTGTTGCACTTTACCTGCAAATTCACTGCATCCTGGTATGTCAGCTTCACGGCAGCTGGGATCTGAGAGTACACCAGGTGATTGTATTTGGGAATGAGGCCCATCAGATCAGATATTTGTCGGATCACAATGCTATATGCCCTCGCCAAACTGCTTGCCGATGTTAAATAGCTGCTAGCGTTGCTAGCCTCAAGAGCAGCTGCTGCCGCCGCCGCACTTGTGCTGATGGTGCCACTTCGACGCAGGTTTGATGGATCAATATAAATCAAGCCTGCTGAACTTGCTAAAAGTAGAAAGAAACACATTCAGGGGGCGTCAACAGCTAAACAGAAGTGAGCTCCAGAATTAGCACAAAGCAGATTATCAATATTTGATCCTATCCAGTCCATAAATTACTCTTAAAATAACAAAGGACTTCACAGCAGCTTATGAGAAGATGCACATAAATTACTTGTACCCCTTCTGATCAAGAAAAAACAAAATAAAAAATCAGTTCACTGGGTAGGAAATAAGAAAAAAGAAAGGCCCAGTGGAGTAAAAAAATAAATAAGTAATTTTTATAATACCTGCTGGAGCAGAGGTACTAGATGGAGCAGTGCTGGTAGTCCTCTGATTCTGGGTGTTACGTACAGCCCACTGCATTGAGCGGGGTGCCTGGGCTGCACCATTGGCATGAGAGCTGTTTGTTGTTCGCTCCAGAGGCTCATCTAGCATAAAGGTCTCTTGCTCTATATCATCACTCTGGCTGCTGCTGCTATCTGAATCACTGGTGTCATTGGACTGAGAGTCATCCTCAGAAAAAAATGCTGGAACACTGCTGGCACCTGTGGGGAAGATATACTATAAGGGTCACTGACAAGAGAGCAGGGTGAGTTTTATTTATTAGGCCAGAAATCTAAAGTATACTGTGGCACTCAGCTCCTACAAAGGAAGAAAAGCTTTTTAAGAAGCACACAAATATTTTCCTGCCTCGCGTTTTTTCAACGTGTTTTTAAAAGACAGAGCTGCAGATGCAACCCCACCTTTACACATCCCTCAGGCTGCAAGCATAACAACATTATTAACCTGACAGTTGCTGCTTGGTTTTACTTTGTTTTAAATTGTTTTTGTTGCTGTAACCCACCTTAGGGCCTTGTGGTGAAGAGTTCTATTAACAACAACGAACAACAACAATAATAGTTAAACATTTCTGATTTTCTCCTACAAAACAGTCAAGGTAACTTAAAAAATAAGCAACTTGTAGACTTCAAGGTTTGCCCATCAACCTCTCTCAGACTAGGGGACACATTTAAATTCTTTTAATAATGTACACCAAAAAAAATACATAAAAATGAAGGCTGATAAAAAGAATATTACCTGCTTCTGATCCTGCTGTAGCTGCAGTGACAACACTTCTGCGCCCACTGGCATTGTCCTGGTTGCTATGGTTACTCTCACTATCACTCTCAGTTTCTGCTGCTGCTAGAAGATCCAACTCCATATCACTTCCTAATAACAAATTTATAGAATTATGTTAACGCTGTGGTCTGCATGATACAATATTTCAGATTCTTCACAAAGCTATCTTTCATTTTAAGCTCTCCCACTGCTCAACTGTTGAGCAGATTAAGGCACTCCAGTAGTACATTAACTACTGCTTAACTCAACCGCAGAAAGCCATACATTTATCTCACAAGCTTGCTGTTTTTGATACCGATATTACTAATGCACAATTACCAACACGTATAGCAATACAAGTTAGAATGGAATAGGGGGTTGCAGTAGCTTTCTGTTTCGTTTCTAATTAACCCAAAGAAAGTTCATTTTACAGTTCCTTGTGTATGGTAAAACCTATGGGTTGCATCCAAACTAAGATTGCCACACTTAGGTCCCACTGAAATAAATGTAGAATGTCAGCCATCACTACCTTCAATGGGACCAAAGTGAAAGGAAATAAGACTCAATGAGGTACAGAGAACTTATTCTGGATCCAACCCTGTGCATATCTTAAAATGACTAATAAACATGCCCAGGTATCATACCATCTTCATCATGCTCATCATGCTGCCCTTCTGCCTCCGCATTTTCCTCGCCATGTTCTTCTTGCTCATCATGGTGGTCTTCTTCCCCAGCTACCCCCTCTACCACCTCAACCTGAAACAAGAATATATTTTTTTTACACCATGTAAATGCTTACGATCTTCAAGGATGTTTTGTAAATACAGCTCTCAAAGCTATGGCTGTTTTAGACATTTTCTATATTGCTCATTACACTTATTTTGTGCTCCATTCCTAGTTTTGGGCCAGCGCTGTAACATTTTGCTACCTTAGGCAAATAACAAAATGGCACCTCACACCCCTAACTCCACCTACAGAGGTATGGCATACTGATAGCTGAATCTTATTCTAAGACTGGTGATGGGACATCTGCCTGCTGTAGAATGTCAAAAGTAAGTGATGATCTACTATTTTTCAAACATATGCATTTTTTGTTGTGATGAATATAAAGTGAACACATTGAAAAGTGTTGCTGAGTTCATAATAGCTTTTTGTTATTATGTATTTTCTAAATTAAAGAAAACTTTGAGGTTAAAAAGTGGTCTCATACTCATAAAAGTTGGGAAAAGAGGGCATCAAATTGGCTACTCCCGGATCAGACAATAGACAAAGCCATTCTCTAAGGTACCACAGGACTTTCTGCTGCTAGAGGCTAACATGGATTCATTTTTGGTAGTGTGTAACACCAAGGTTGTACACTCATTTACATCCCAAATTGCAGTATAGCTGAAACTTCACAAGCCAACTTATTATTTTGCATTCTAGGACTAGATTCATTTAACATTTGCACTGATATCTACTTTAAAATAAATAGAAAGTTGCCCATTGAAAACAATTAATATAACAACCTCTTCAACATCTGCTGACACAATGTCATCTTGTTCTTCATCTCTGCCACGAACTGGTTGAGACTGACTGATCCGCCTTTGCTGTGGATTTCTAATAATATAGGACGACTGAGACTGACTGGAACTACAAGAAAGAAGCCTTTTTAAAAAATACAATTATATATATTTACACAGCATCATCACATATGATTTTCTTCTCTTCACACAACAGTATCAACTTTAACACAGCAAACAGAAGAATGTCCATAAATATATTAACATTAGTTTAAAATAGTCAGTTTAATATAATAGATTTCCCTTCTCGTTTTTGAAAGATTCTTCATTTAAGTTCTTTTGAGCTACCAGCCCAGTCCACTTCCCATGTTAGCTGTACACCTTGTTCTACCTATGGCTTGTTTAACAAAACCACAAGCCATCTCACAGATGAACAAAGGAGCCTCAGCTTGTTTCTCCAAAGCTTGGTTTGTTTGCCAGCTGCTCTTGCTTTGTGCCTCTCTACCACAGTTCGAATCCCTGCGACGGGGTGAGCTCCTGTTGCTCGGTCCCTGCTCCTGCCAACCTAGCAGTTCGAAAGCACATCAAAGTGCAAGTAGATAAATAGGTACCGCTCCGGCGGGAAGGTAAACGGCATTTGCATGCGCTGCACGACTGGACCTAATGGTGAATTACCATAGTGAATGTCTGGGGATGGGTGGCCAAAGCATATATGATTTAGAAGAATGCATTTATAATGATAAACATTAAGGAGCATTACCTGCTGGATTGATCAGATGACGGCCGGGGAGGTAGTGGTTCTACTGAGAACAGTTCTTCGCTGCCTTGCATAGCATCTATACTAGTGCTTGCCAACGTAAAAGGTGCCGTAGGACGTGCAATACCCATTCTGACTGGGATAATGAGGGATTCCGCTACATTGCACAATTCCTCCACAGCGTAAGGTAGCAAAGCTTGGAATACACGCTTGCATTTCCCAATTGGCTGCGGAATGAAGTTACTGGAAACAAGACGTGGGAAGGGAAAACACTGACATCAACAGCCACATTCAAAAAGGTTGAGAATACACACAAACCAGAACAGCTTGTTTAATGGTTTTGTATTCGCACAACTATTTATCTGTTCATCCTGTTCAGTCAATAGTCAAGCTGCATTGCTTAACACTGCTTAACACTGCTAAAATACAGCCCTTCTTTCTGTCTCTTTGGCAAAAATTCTGGTCCCCACCTCTAGTCTAGTGGTTGGCCTACTGTTCCACTAGCAGCCCGGTGGATACAAAACAGTATGTTGAACTTTACCTTAAAACTGAAAGAAAGTTAGAAGTATATTTATACGGTTGGAGCGCTACATTTTTGGGAAAAGACTCAAAACACAACAAGTTTAATTATAAAACAATGACTAACCCATTCATGTAGCTTTTCATAAATCAAAGCATTTCATTTACTCTGCAGTCTTTATAGCAATATGAATCAGAGGCATAGTGTGGTACCCAAGTAATACGACCATGGCAGGCTTTGGCTTACAGATGGTGGGGGGACAGTGATACTATCCGGGATGCTGTATGAAGACATGAATCCCTATTTGTTCCTATGTTTCAGGATACACAGCATGAAAAAGCCCCAAGGTTTCTGTGTAATAATGCTATCTGTAGACACAGATGTGCATATTTGTTTCATTGTACTAACTGAAACATGGTTTGAATTCACTCTGCAGAGGACTGTTTCCTCTGTCAAAATACAATGACATCTACCCTTGAAGAAGATCTGGAAGTTGCAGATGGTGCAGAACATGGCCACACGGCAAGAGTGGTACAGCAAGATGGGACCGCACAACACCGATCCTGCATGAACTACACCGGCTACCTATTTTTTGGTGCTGGGTCCAACTCAAGGTCTTAGGACCTCACTACTTGCTAGTTTTCTCCTTATCTGCCAGGCCAGGCCTTGCAATCTGCAGGAGGCAGCTCATTTTGCAGACACACCAGTGAGCATAGCTCACTATGGTGGGATGACATGGGATAGAATCTTTTTGGGTAGCCTCGCACTTGTGGAACTCCCTCCCTATGGGGATCAAGTAGTCCCTCTCACAGTTTTTAGAAAACAGCTTCATTCACAGGCATTTGGGAGAAGTCTGAGAGCATATGGCTACTCTTGATGCTACTGAACTGTTGAGGGGCATTTTATAAATAAAAAATCTTAAGCATTTTCTTTCACTGCCCCAAGCAGTAATTTAAGTTATTAAAAAAAAGCTTACTTTTTCTTTTTTGAGGAAGCCATTTCCACGCTGAGGATAACAAAAACTCTTGCCACAGAACGCAGAAACCTCATTGTAACAGAAATTGCTTCTTCTCTGCGACCTGGAGTGTATTTGTTCTGCAGTTCCTTTACAAGTGTCCCCAGCAAAGTATCTAAAAGCTGTAAAGAAAAGTTTACTGGAGCAAATGTCTACTACGGCGACGCAACCATGCAAATTCTTGTGCAAAGGAACTGAATGCGTAAGAGTTATGACAAACTTGCCACAACTTAGATCTGCTAATCACATTAACGTTCATACCTTCTAAGCGCATAAGCATCAAATTGACAAATTTCTTTGGCACCGTGTTATTTAAATATGCCTTACCAGTATGTCTGCTGTACACTTTACAATAAGGCAGTGTGTAAAACAGTCCAGCCGAATAGTTCCACTTTGCTGATTAAGATACACTTGTTCTTCAGGCAACAGATGACCAATCCTACTGCTTGCACTAAGACTTGGAAAAAAGCAAAAGAAAGCAGGGGAAGAGGAAATATAATGTAAGTTCCCAAGTCTATGATACAAAGTCAGTGCTCAAAAGTATAATCATAACTAGTTCGTTAATACACACGGGTCTTTGTTCTCCTGTGAGCCAAACATGATCATAGACTTCAGTGCATTCCAATCTTGCAAAACCCGTTCCAAGGCAAGCTGTGCAAATCGTGGAGGTTCTAAATCATGATCTGGCATATCCGAATCTAAAGCCAAGGAATTAAAGAAAAGCATGTAAGCTGTTACTGCAGCAGTTGCTACAATAAGAGAAAAATCTTGTAAACGAGAAAAGAGTCCCACCTTCAGGATTTGCAGTCTTACGATTACGGTCTTCCCTAATTCTTGGTGGCCTGTACTGGCAATGTTCTACTGTTTGTCTTGCAACTGTCTGCACCAAGAAGAGCAAAAGATGTTCCCCCCTGTAAACATACAAACAAACCAAGAGTTGACATAGGGACTACACTGGGGCTTTTTGTGGGGCAGATCAATCCCACTATACAAGGGACACTTGCCTACTATTTGGCATGGTGACAAGGTTTGTGGTGGTAAGCAGCCGGAAAAGCAAATCAAGACGAGCAGACTTCTGTCCTGCAATTAATGTTTTGCACTTGCATTTCTCCCAGCAGTCACAGTAGGCTGTTGGGGATGTGCGTTTCAGCCTGAAAGTAGAGACAAAATGTGTAAATACAATTTATAAATTTATAAACAGCAGTTTCCATATCGACATACACTACAACCAGTTTCACTATGTCCATAATCATTTTTTAAAAACCCTGCTAATTCAACTGAAGTGTTTTTCATCTAAAAACCATTTTTCCAGTTCTTGTTCATGAAAGGCTACATTAGTTTGCAGAAACGGTGGCCTTGAAAATGGGGTGGCAGCTTCTCCCCCTATTATCAGTCCTAAGTAAATGCCTGATTTATCTCACCTCTCTGTGACACTGCTGGAGAGGAGGCTACCTAGCTGGTTTCATCTCCCCTCCCCATCCCTACACTGTGGACCCAGGCCCAAGTTGCAATTCCAGCTTCTTTCAATCATCTCTCAATCCATTCACTAACGAAAATTTTAGGTACAGCAGAGCACTAAAAGAAATAAAATTCTACTGCATTTTCAAGCAAAATGAAACTGAATCATCCCTGAAAATACACAGCAACCTGCAGAAGTCTTGATGTTTGGAATAAACACACGTACTTGCAATCATGACCTTTGTGGCACACCCTTGCGCACTCTGTGCAACAGCACAGAGACTCCAGTAAACCGCATGTTCTACATTCAAATATATCCTACAAAGAGAAAATTGAGCATTTTAAGGGGGGGGATGGAGTACTATGTGTAATTCTATGGTGCTGCTTTTAAGTGGTAGCTAACAATTCTGTACGTGTCTGCATAGAAGTAAAGAACCGTCAAGTTCAATGGAACTTACTCCCAGGTAAGTATGCACAAAATTGCAGCCTTATTTATTCATCACGAGTTTTCAAGTTAGATTACAATGAAATAATGTTAAGCTTCTTGTTAATGGTTTCTTGTTAAGCCAAAGCTTCCCCCCACCCAGCCCTTTCCCCAGAAAACCCAGCAGTAAGAGAACGGCAAGAATTTAAAAATCTATCCTTAAAAGCTCAGGAATATGAGCTTGTCTTTACACCTAGCACAAAAAACCAATTAAGTTCCCTTATTTTACCTGATTTATGTGCTCTGCACCAGTCCATGTAAAGCTGCATGTATCATTGCAACATAGGACATATAAAGGAGAGTCATCTGGGTTTGTGCCAGTTGGACAAACCATTCCCATAAACACATCCTCTTCTTTTTCACCTGAAGTTGCCTCCGCTTTTTAAAAAAGGAGAAAGATAGTGCTTAAAATGAAGTTATACATACTCTTTGAAGAGCTAGCAACTTAAGGTAATAATTCTCAAAGGTCCTCTATGAAGAAAATAAAACATCACGGCACTTTAACATTACTGCTAAACCACACTGCACATCAGCTAACTGAATGCACTCATGGTTCCCTCCAAAATGACTTCAAATTGTATTAGTTATACTAAACAAAATTCCTCCTCTATAGAGAACAGGTTTTTATCTTTGTTTCATTGAAACCTGCCACTATTCACAACCTTCTATCAATAATTGCCCTGACCTATTTGCACAGAAACGAAAACCAATGGATATCAAAGCATAGCCTCCTGCAGGGAAATTATTACAGGAAACTGTATCTATTGAATCAGACACTTTTTAAAACCAAGAAGATAACAGGAAGTTATTCATGGACAGCATGAAGACTGGCATGTTCTATTAATTCAATATTTTACATTTTATTCCAATGTCTAATCCAGAGATTTAGGAAGGGGAAAGCCCTCAATTATTGGCATACATAAAGCAAGAATCACATACAGTATTCACATACCTTTGGCAACTTTTTGTGCAGTTTCTAAAATGGTAATTGCTGCAGGATATGCTCTGCCGCTTACAGCAGACATAAACGGTGTCATACCTCTTGCATCCCTAAAAAACAGTAACATGTCAGTATCATTTTCAGTTAAGTTTAAAAGGTAGTCTTCTAGGTTTAGCAGAAAGAGCCTGATTTAGTACTACCCCAACTTTTTTCCATTTTTGTTTTGTTTTAACTTTTAAAGTTAAAATGAAGGTAATAGATCTGATGCATAAACAAAAATGGAAAAATCAATTTATTAACAAATACAAAATGGAGCTGTTTATATCAAGGCTCAGTGCAGCTTTGTGAAACATACCCAATTCCCTCAAACATTCTTCATAAAGCTTGGCTTCCCAAGTAGATGAAAACACTACAAGACATGCACATAAAGACCCCTTACTTGGCTGATAGCAGTTCCCGAAGATAAGGCTGTAAAACCACACTGTCGCATAACAATTTCAGTATGAAGTGAGCATTTGCCTTCCGATCCTTTGATTCCACTACAGAGGGTTCTGTAGAAGGACCTGCAGATTGGAAAAGTATTAGTGAAAAATAGCTGCCTACAAAGTAGCTCACTTACTTAAAACATTCTAGACAAGAAGAGGGATTCCTGTATCAAGCTTTATTATTAGCCAACACTATCACATTGTCAGAAACCTGATGCTAAATTATGAATCTGAGTGTATATAAAGGATGGGAAACTTCATGTCCTGAAACCAATATTGGCCAACATATTTTAATGTGTGAAGCAGTGCCAAATAGTTTTAACACGACAAACAGATTGATATGTTAAGCACCCTTATTCATTATACAGAATGAAGGGAAGATGCACCTTCAAGTTATAGGAGGGAACATTTAAGCTGCACTAAAATATATATATGAAGCGAGCATTTGCCATTTCTTTGTGTTAAGTCATATGCAAGTATACAAAATAGCATGTTCTCACCTGGTATCGTGGAGGTGCTGGGTCCTTGGCCAGTGCCAGTTGTTGCTGTGGTAAGAGATCCCACAGCAGGGGCCAGGATAAAATCAATGTCACCATCTTTTAGTAAACAGAACAGTAGGATGCACATCAATACATAAAACACATCCCTGGCAACATGCGCACTCCACAGAAACTAACCACACTATATCTTTAAATTTTCTTTCCTTCCAAAGGCTATTCAATGAAACTACTGGTAAGTGCAGCTAACATTATAGCAGACAGCAAGTCACATTATTGAAATAAGCAACATCTGCCTACAAGCTGTAATCAGAAAATTTTAACACTCAGTTTTCACCTGAAAGCACAGAAGTGGCTAACTAGCTAAATGCTTTGCACCACTGAAGTTGTAATAACATTGATGCAATGCATTTCTTTTTCCTACACTCTTTCACAATTCAAACAAAAGGCAATTTATATCTACTTTTACACTTATGCACAAGTGCATGTGAAAATCTTACCAGGGTCCATAGCAGGAGGATCAGGCACCCAGCTTGGAGGAGCGATGGGAGGAGAAACTGGATCCTGATGATCACTAGATGAAGCCCCTGCTTCATGTCTGCCCAAACCTGCTGCTCTCAGAGATCTTCTCATCATTTCTCTCAGTCGCAAACTAAGACCAAACAGAAAATCCTAAAACTAATGCTTGCCTATTCTTGCGCAGGAAGCATACTGAAGGCAACCTAGTGTTCGAGAATGCCAAACAAACTTTTGTCCGCATTTATAACTAATATGTGGAAAAGAAAGCAATATAAATGCCACACCCATTATTAAATGTGAAAAAGAAATACGGCACGTATTTTAGACACAGTACTGTCAATGTACCAATTCAACTTTGCATTCTCCTCGTAACTGCGGTTAGCCTGAAGTTGCTCTCGCATTTAATTTATAAGCAAGCGTGCCCCCCCCAAGACTGGGGGAGAAAAGGGAATAACTAGCAAGCAAAAACACATTGCAGGTGGTTTGCAAGTGAGTGGGCTCCAACGTAGGAGTACAGGGTGCCAGTGTGGTGTAGTGGTTAAGAGCGTTAGTCTCGTAATCTGGTGAACCGGGTTTGCGTCTCCGCTCCTCCACATGCAGCTGCTGTGTGACCTTGGGCTGGTCACACTTCTCTGAAGCCTCTCAGCTTTGAGACTCCTTCGGGTAGTGATAAAGCGGGATATCAAATCCAAACTCTTCAGCAACGTATCAGATTCTTATCTGGTGAAAACAAGCTTTATCTGGTGAAAACATAACTTTATGACCACTATTCCATAGCAATTGTTGTTATACTTTTCCATTCACCATATAGACAGGTTTATGAAGCATTTCTGTATCCTTCTGCTGTGCTGAAGAAGAATTCTACGAAACAGTGGGTATATCTGGAATCACTGTTCACTACATCTATTTGCAAACTACTTCGGCAGTATTGGACGCCATAAACAAAGCTTTTCAGTCTGTTTTCACCAGATAAGAATCTGATACATTGCTTCTTTCAGAGACTTGCATAGTCTTCAAAGACTTTCAGAGACTTATAAGACTTAGGTTCATTTGGTTTTATGTTTTCAAGAGAATCCATTAAGAGTGCCTATTTTGTGACTTTCAGAAATTCTTAAGTTTTCTGTTTATGTGATGTCATATATTTCATATTATATAAAGAGTATATATTGATATCATCATTGCATTTGCTCATCGTGTTGCCTTGCTTTTAGAAAGACTAGAGCCAGAAACAAACTCCAATTCTCCTCTAATAAGGAATTAAGGAAAGACTGTCGTCAATCCCAGCCAAATATGAAAGAACTGTGGCTCAAACCAGAGAAAAGGGCACATAGTCCTGTCCACCTGATACAAGTTATGCCTCTCTGGAGGGTTGCTGCCAGCCAAACCCTGGGTTAGATGGAGGGTGCTATCAGAGACAAGCAGAAAGAGGGAAAGCAGCACCACAGTAAGTCAGGGAAAGAAGAAGCAAGTTCCCGTGCTTACTGGAAAAAAGGATATGTATTGTTGTTGCTCATCAAAAGATTTGAAAAGTAGTTTGTGATACGGTATGGTGGTTTTCTTGTTCAAAAAACAAGAGCCAGAAATCTAACCCGCACACACTTAGGAACATGAGAAGCTGCCTTATAATGATCATCTAACCCAGTATTTTTGACTGGCAGCGCCTTTCCAAGGAAGAAACTCTCTTCCTATCATCTGCTACCTGATCTTTTAACTGGAGATGCCAGGGAGTCAATCTGGGACACTCTACATGCAGACGATGTGCTCTATCACTGAGCCACGGGACCTCCCAAGCAGCCCTTTGGATCCTGGCCTGCGTTAATTCATAATGTCTTGCCGGTAATTAATACTGCAATAGCAAAAAGAGAAGTTTCCACTAGCTTACCTTCTGCTGCTAGAGGATCCTGCACGATTTCCCGGTCCATTACTTGACACCACTGAAATAGCATTTGCAATCGCCTCGACGGCAGATAACCTTTCAGCAAATGTGTTCCTTTCGGAGCGCTCTGCTTCTGAAGCATAAAGAAGAAACTTGGCATCTGTTTTTTACAGAGACATTAAACACTAAAGAACTGAAAGCTTCTCTGTCACTTTTATATAAAATTTGTATATGAAATCAACATGGAATTTCTCAATATTTATATGCAAATGTATAACGATGACAATGGGTTTGATTACTGAATAGCAAAAAAACTCCACAGCAGAGAAGAGAAAGACAGGACAATTTAAACTGGAAGACACATAACACACAAATACACAACCGAGCAATTCTAGCACTCAGTGGTAAGCAGGAAAACTTAGGTTCTTTTTTGCTAAATAAGAAAACTAGTCTCCAAGCAGCTCCATAAATCATTCATTTGTTGGACAACACATTCAGAGGTTCAGAAAAATGTATGTACTTTAGAGAATTGGTAAATGAATTTGCTTGCTTTCCCCTCTACTTCCTCACCCCTATTTCCTTTGCAGCATGCTTGGTAGATTTATATGCTATTATTTTTAAAATTGTACATGGCCTTCAGCAAGTTAGGAGAAGGGTGTAAATGGTGTAGAAATGTATTTTAAATGATTTAGAAAGTGCACTTTCTTCTGCTTTTAGTTCCTCAAAAACTTCATGTATTTTGCCCCACTGCAGACATATACAGTATACATAGATGTTTCCATTATTTCTAGTTTAATAGGATTCTCTGTTTTGTAGATCTCCAGTTCATGCTGTAAAATACAGTTTTAATGCATCACATGGGCCATTTTTTGACATAAATTGCTCCTTTCCACCTTTCTTTCTCTCTTTCTGTTTTTCTGTTTCAACAGTCATAACCTTATGCTTCAAGTTCACAATGGCCTGTTTCATCTTGAAATTCCTGTCTTTCTGCAAGCGTCATCTGCTAAATTCCCCCAGTGTACATTAGAGGCAAGAATTATGGCTGGATTCCAAGCACTTCCACACATGCAGGCAATGGAGCTGGCGCTAGCTTCTCCGTGCTGCTTTGAATACTGCACCAGATGGTCCCATAACCTCCAAGCCCAGCTTTTCAGGACTGGAAGACTGCAGTGGGAAGGGAGCCTTGAAATAGCCTGATACACGCATGGAACATTGAGCGCAGCATTTCAGATCCCACCCTTATTTCCAAGTGACTTAATTTACCAAGTGGAAAATGTGATGCTGAACTGAAACTTGTTGCCAGTTGGGACATTTGTTTCCCTTTCTATCATACTCTCTTCCTGCATTTTCCAACCGGATTGCCTTGCTGGTTTATGACATGTCTCATTACTAATGAAGTTGCTGTGTGTGTGTACCTGTGTCTGCGTTTGTGTAACTATTTGAGAACAGGTTTTGAACAATTCTGACTCATCTTTCTAGCCTTCATGCAAAAGCTCTCAGAAGAATCTCATCAGCATGAGATCACTGAACTTACCCTCTTCCTCTTTTGTTTCTTTATTACTGGTTGGAAAACACACAGATACACAAGCATGCAGAATATTTCGATTTCCATCACATCTGTGACTGAGGAAAGTCTGCAGCATTTGTGGATTCTGATCCAAGACAACAGCTTGCTCGAGGTTCATCAAATACTGTCTGCAGGCCTCATAGTCACATCGGAGAATATGCTGCATTAAAGTTTGCTTCTGTGCTCAGAAAAATTGAGAGAGACGTTAATAAAACAAGAGCAAGCAACATTCCCTTGCCCTATGCTACATTCTGCAGCCTCTTATAGCATCAGTACTTTATCCTGACCTAAACCAAGTACGGGATACAAATGAGATAAATACCTAAAACTGATCGTGTAACATTTTAAAAGTACTATATATTTAAATGATAAACTAAGATTTTAGCTGTCAAATGCAGGATCAACAAACTGATTTCAGGGCAGGCAGGTTGGGAATCCTATATCCCAGCTGCAATGCTTTTAAAATTGTATGTGTGGCAAACAAATTTTAGTTATACATTTATTTACATTTTAAAAATCTTTATATCCCATTTATCCCTTTCATAAAGAAGTTGTCTAAAGTGGCTTACAAATAAAAAGCAAACATAAAAGCAACGATAATCCAGTTATGAAAACACAAATTAACAACATTTAAAAACCAACTAAAAAGTAAACACACTAGTACTAGAAATCAATATTTAAGCAACAGAATCAAAGCTTGTTTTAAAAGGAAAGTTTTAATTTGCTACTGGAATTTAAATAAAAAGGACTATAACCTATTTTAGCATTGTTTTTAAAAGCATTTTGAATACCTAGATATCCCATCTTATTAAAAACTGTTATTTAAAGTTAATTTCTGGAGTGGATGAATTTTTTAAAATAAATCACAACATCCGAAAATGATGTTCCAAAACTGCTATCACAGTAAAACAGAGAGAAGATGAACATACACAACTATTTGCACGTGATTCTATGAATCTATGTGGCTCTTTTGGGTTTGCCCTTCCTGACCCACTTATAAGTGGAAATGTGGATTAAGCTATGTTTTTTAAAAATCACATTTTCTCCCTGCATTAAAGAGAATTTAGGTCCAGAGCACCTATAAACAGTAATAGCAAACATTTGAACAAAAAAATAGACTTTAAACTAGAAGTATCAATTTAGACAGCTGCATTTTGTAACTAGCAGTAAGCTACTTTTGTCACAGAGCTCTCATATCTAAGATAACTCTCTTTAGATATATTTGTAAAAAGGAAAAGTTCAGTTGAAAACACTGAGTAATCCAGGTGGTGCAAGATAATGTCTCTAAGAGAGAGTATGACAGATATATATATGAATTACCTCAACAGCCATTATAATGATAGCAGCTTTCTTTTTGATGGTTGAATTGGCAGGAAGGTTTGTTAAGGAATGAACTCCCATTCCCAGGCTGCTAATAGGTGGAAGATCAAGCCAATCAGGGTCTCTTATTCCACCCATACAATCTTTTGCCATTGGATATATAGTGCCATTTCCATCTCGAAGAATGATTGGAGATTCCTGCACAAAAAGTAGATTTTTATAGAATTTAAATTGTCATTATTTTTCTCATTCGTTATTGCTTTGTAGCTCTATCACCTGACATATCAACATAGATGCACTGATGAAGCCCGTCTGGTGTTCCTGCTGATATGCCCACACAGTGCTGACGTCTCCATCACCTGATACCTCTCCCTCCAGGTAAGGTAAGGTAAAGGTAAAGGACCCCTGGACAGTTAAGTCCAGTCAAAGGCGACTGTGGGGTGCGTCACTCATCTCGTTTCTGGCCGAGGGAGCCGGCGTTTGTCCACAGACAGCTTTCTGAGTTATGTGGCCAGCATGACTAAACCACTTCTGGCGCAACGGCACACCGTGATGGAAACCAGAGTGCAAAGAAACACCGTTTACCTTCCCACCACAGCGGTACCTATTTATCTATTTGCACGGGTATACTTTCGGACTGCTAGGTTGGCAGAAGCTGGGACAGAGCAATGAGAGCTCACCCTGTTGCGGGGATTCGAACGGCCGACCTTCTGATTGGCAAGTCAAAGAGGCTCAGTGGTTTAGACCACAGCGCCACCGGCATCCCTCCAGGTTGTGTCAGACAACAGGTGTAGTACCTGTCGTCCTCACCGAACACTCCTGCAAATATCCAGAACGGACTAGAAGACCAAGTTCAAATGCTTTCTTTGTGCGGTTTGAATAGGGGAATACATATACATTACTACAATATCCAATATCAGAAGCATGCAAGATGGATCTTCCCAAGATCCATTAACTTGTGTCAGTAGCTTACAAAGGCTTATCCCTCACTATAACATTGATCTACCCACCTTTTTCTTTTTCTTTACCACTTCCTTCACCAGAAAGGGATCAGGAGCACTGACAGTTAAGTTAAGTCTGCCATGATGATTTATTTTTCTACATTTCTTGTTTAATAGAATCATTTATCAACATTAAGTAACCCATTAAAGAGGTACTTTTAGGGTGGTAGGAAACATTTAAAACGCATGAAGCTGAGAGGAAACAAACCTGTCCAGCAGTGAAAATAGCAACACTCCTCTCATTCTGCCCAAGGAAAGCAATACTGCTAGTGGGGAAATTGTTTTCTTGTTCTGCTTTTCCAGTTGCAAGATCAAATATGCAATATCTAACCCAGTTCCCGGTCTTCAGGACGGCATGTACTCCTGAAAGTGTGCAAAAAAGAACACTGACCAACAAATTATTTGCTCCAAAAAATATTTAAAACCATTAAACTAGCAAATATTGATTAATGAAATTAAGATGACTCAGTTTAACAATTCTCTAATAGGATAAGTACCTTTCTTTTTTCTAAAGCAAGCAATAGATAAAATGAGAAGGGAAAAAACCCTTCATCCTTACCTTTGGAATCTACATTCACAGCTAGGATTTCTGTTTTTTCTGGAATACATAACTTTTTAGGAGTCCTCTGAAAACAATCTGGAACTTTTGGTGTCCCACCAGTTTTTACCACCTGTAACAAAAACAGATTTCTGTACATCCAATGCAATCTACAGAATTGGCTAAATTCCCCCCTCTTTAAGAATGTACAATTTGCTTGAAAAGACTAGGATTCTTCTGCAACAGCAGCCAACCAGATGCCTAAAAAGCTCATTAGCCGTGCATGATGGTGAAGGCCATCCCCTCTTTTTTGTCCCCAGCATGTGATAAGCATAAGTATGTCATCTATTAATGTGAGGGCTCCACTTAGCTGTCATAGCTAATAGACAATGATCAACCCATGAATTGGTCTACACTTTTTAATGCCATCTAAACAAATGACCAGCACTACATCCCAGCCATGTATTTAAAGTAATTTATGTGTTGCGTGAAGTTCTTTCTTTTGCCTGTTCCAAACCTACTGCCTAATGTCACAGACTCCAGATTCTTATAAAAGAAAAATTACTCTGTGTGTAATTTCTAAAATCTAACTTATGTCTCCCCTTAGATGTCTGTCTTTCTAAACTAAAAAATATGCAACTTCTGAAGACTTTACTTTTAATATCTCTGGTTCTTATATTCTCAAAGTCTGACACCTCTTTGAGATGGAGTGATGGAAGTGAACATAAACTCTAGAAACTGTGGCCACAGCAGAGATAACAGCTTCAAGGGCCAAAGTCCTGGCATTGCAAACATACCTGGAGCTCATCTATCCTGAGCAACCGACAATCTTGGAGAAGAGAAGATGGATCAGGATCCGAACCAGAGCTGTTTGTACAATTTGCAGTAGTAGATGTCCCCGGAAATTTTACAGCAACATAAGCACCATCCACCTTCAGTACCTATAAAAGAGAACATATTGCATAGTGTTGAAGCAGAATTACAAACTCTCTGAAGTGAAATGGGGGTTCGGGAATCTTAAACTGTACTTAAACCATCCAGAAAAGCAAGCAGTGCCACCACACAAAACCAGATTTTCACCAACAATACAATTTCAAACCACTATGGCTAGGTTTGCTGTAAAACAGCTTTCTTCTATCCATTTTTAAAGGATTGGTACACAGCAAATTAAAGGAAACTAAGAAAGCTTATTTTATACAAACCTTCCCAACAGGAACATTCTTAACATCTTCCACAAAGACAACTTCCCTAAGAGACCACTGTTCTTCATTCACTTTCTCCTCTTCCTTTGGGGCAGGTGTAGATCGCCGCCGCTCTTAAGAAAAAAAGTAACAGATTAAAAGTCTCCTTTGTAGCATGTCTGCGACACGCATATTCTATGTCTAAAAACAAGCACATGGCTACTTATGTCACTTTTCACAGGAAGTGCCTTCTGTGAAGTTTGTGCCATCTACTTAAGTTGGTATTTTGCTAATTTTATCCTGCAAGTATTCCTCTATGGAACACTGTTTCTTACATTATTCAGGAATTAAATATGGATACATTAATATAATTGGCAGACGTTGCACCACAGTGGATTTCAACAAGGCAAAAAAACCCCAAAACCTCCCCATATGACTTACTATATGGCATTGATGCACTGCTTGCTATTGAAGAAGCATCACTACAGGTAGAAGCTGGAGACGGTGGTGGACCCATTTCAGTTTTCACTGGTTCCTGTTTGCTTTCAGGCCTAGGATTTATTTTTTTAAAAAACAAGGCAGTTGTTACATTTATTTTCCATGAATACAATGTGAAAACTAGTTAACACTTTGGACAGAGATACTAACTTCTGAATTGTTTCTTAAGTCAACAGAAGTTTTTGCTTATGCAATATAACAGCAAATATATACTGCAACAATATACAGAAGAACTGTTTATGGCCATTTTCAAACCATTAATTTGTATTGGGGGGAAATCAACATACTCTTAAGTATGTGGTTTGTCAGTATGAAAAGGCAATGCAAAGCACATTCTTTGTGTGACTTGCTTCTTTCAAGTATTTGCTAAACAGTCTTCAGAGCAATATTTACAGCCCTCTATTGCACTCATATCTGTTTCATTTATGGAAACAGTGAGGAGCTGGAGTACAGAGACCCACAATCTAATGCCAGTTCAAGATCTTTTTCCGCCACCGTCTACTGTGTCCCTGTCAAAAGTTTAGAACACTTACTTTGCTTCAGTTGTTTTACTAGCTTTCTCCATGTTCTTTAAACTCTCTGGTGACCGGAGCTGAAACCTACAGCTGTCATTCATATTCCAAACAGATTCCATTAAGACGCCAACTTTAGGAATCCCAGCGCTAATTGAAAAAGCAACAGCTCCAGCATGATAGAGAGGATTATTTCTCAAACACACCTGCAATCAATCAACAAGGGGGGTAAACAACTCTTTTTATTTGTTTGTTTGTTACCCACCCTTCACCCTAAAGTCCCATTCATGCCAAATGAAGAATCAAAACTATGTAAGCAAAACAACACTTAGAAGAGGTTAAGTACTTAATATAATTTTATCAGGTTTTTTAGTAGTGACATATGGAATATTATCTCTATCTTAGCTGCAAAAGTCTCTGAATGGGTGTAGCCAATAGGGTGCACCTTCCAGAAGTTTCTGGACTACAACTCCTATCATCCTTAGCAATTGGTTGTGCTGGTTAGGACTGATAGGAATTGTTATCGAACAGTATCTGGAGGGAACCACATTGGCTACCTTTTTTCCTACCACATAGTTTCCTAATAAGGGCACCCGGTTTGAAGGGAAGGAAAAGGTTAAGGCAAAAGGGCAACTACAGGCACACCAGCATATCGGAAACTTTTTAGGAGCATCAGTGACAACGCAGAGAAGAAAGGCAAGAGCCTAATATGGTTGCAGCTAGTTCACAGCACAGAGCCGCATATGAACAGGTGGTTTAAGCTCTGTCACTTCAGGTTATGGGAGCACTTGCATTAGAGTCTATCTGCAGACTATTTGCACATGTCACTGCATCATAAAAAGGGTCTTAATGGTGGATTTGTTCCTTCTCAAAGCTTTAAAATGTCACACAGTAAGCCTCTACATACCTGAGTACCAACAGTGATATTTGGCATTGAGGAGATACCAGCACTAGACTTAGGCTTTTTATTTTTGGCTCTAGCCTTTTCCAGCATCTTCTTCCTTTGGCTAAAAGGAACTACACCCCTAGGAGGAAAAATACTAATATAAGGTTAAAAAAAAAAAAAAAAAAAGAGCTGTGTTGTCTTTATTATGCATAAATGTGATTTTCAAGGTGATGTGGTATTGATTAAAAGGAAAAAAGGCAGAGCATTTTCAAAAGATCTGAGAAGCTGAGCTTCTGAAAACATTATTCCTGCTTACAGGTTCCTTCAGTGAGTATCCCATGCAGTCATATGTATGGGAAATGAGTCTGTGTAAACCAAACAGGTCCCTCCAAGAAAGTCTGAAAAAACTGAAAGCTCAGGGATGCTGCCAATCCTCAGTCATACACAGCAGCCAAGGAGACAGAGGCAGCCTTTTCCCACTTAGTTCTACCAACAAACCATTGTATACAGCATGACCAAAGACTTGCTTTTGAATTGATTTCTTAATTGAAGTATTTTTAAAGTGCCCTTCATCCTAACTCAAGCAAGGGCAGCATACAAAACTCAACATGCCAAGAATACAATACAATAAAACAATACAGCAACATCATGCATAAAGCATTCAGAGCCAACTACAAGTTTCAACAATTGTGACTGCTGCCTAAGAAAGCAAAGCAGGAGTTGTGAAAATCTGACTGAGATCTTGCTACCACATTCCCAACCCTAATTAAGCAGAGCCTTACTGACTGGGGAGAAAAGTGGAAAATAGTTTTCATAAAAAGGATAAAGCAAAAAACAAGCAATTGTATTCAGGGTTCAAATTTTGTGACCAGAAAGAAACAGAGGGAAGGCAATGGTTTCACCTCTTTTCCAACGTGTGGAATGTGGCAGTCCATGGGGCAGGAGGGGGAAAGCACTCCTAATCTTTCAGAACTTTCTAGAAGGTTCCTGCTATGATCTGTGCAGCCAGTGGAACTGTTCATAACCAACCATTGCTGACCAATGCCACTTAAATGGTTGAATCATTTAAGGACACATTGGTTCTCCTGCACTACTAATCTGATTCAATTTAATAATTATTAAAAGATTTTTTAGGCTACATTTCCAGACAAAGTCCTCTTCAAACAATGTATACAATATGCACTATGAAACAAAATAACGTTATTAAAATTTTGATACAACTTGATAAGGAATACATTCATGGTCAATTTCAAGTCACCTTTTTAATCATTGTCTGGAAGAATTAAGAAAACTTCATCTATAGATAAAGGCTTTAAGCCATTACAAATCTGCACAGCCTGGCAAAAGCACAGAAGAGTTTAGACAGTTACAGAGTAATATCCTCCCTGCACTATCAAACCGACACTCTTATTACACATAAAATCCTATTTACAAAAATCAACTAACACTATTAATAAGCAACTTGCCTTTTGTGTTAGTTTAGACATAAGGCCCCAATGAAGGAATGGAAGTAAAATTAAGCAGTTAGAACTTCTATATTGCACCCCTGCTTCTAATCATATTTTCACAAGTGAAACCCCCAAAGGACACAATACCTATGTAGTCACCCACCGACTGCCAATACAAAACTGGACTGATTCTACAGAAGATGCTAAACCACCTGTGATGAAATACCTCAACTATAATAATCACAGTTGTGTCTTAGACAACTCCGATAGCGGTATCAGCCTTGTATAAACATTTATTTACAGATTTTATGTCATATGCAGTGGAATATCTATTGTCGTAGAACTGTGAAGGTTTGTTACAGTAATAAAGCATTAGCTCTTCTAACTCTGAAAGCATCCTAAATACAAAATTCATTAAAATAATTCAGTGTCAAGTCACTTAAATGCTTTAAGGACAAGAGCATGCTTTGTTTCTCTTTGATCCAAGAACAGTCCTTTCTTCAAAGCAATGTAACCTCCTAAAGAATCCTAACCAGAAGGGAAAATTCAGTTCCATTAAAAAAAGAGAAACATGCATATGAACAAGGATGGGTAAATTCAATGTACCTTAGTGACCCAGTTCACACCATGGTAAACCAGTTATTGGTTTATTTGGTTAACATGCCAATCTTACCCACTTTGCTCCTGTATGCTGTATGAGCCACAATCACTGTTTTAGCTTTATGTCAAAACTAGGGATAATGGTTAGTTTCAGTCAAACAAATAATGCTTAGGGAGCTAAGAACAAACCTTGACCACAGGTTGTAGTCTGAAGCAAACAAACCATAATCTTTGGTTTCAACATAATGCAAAACCACAAATCATGCAGAAATCACAGGGGGAAATGCTATGAATAAGTCAGAAATTAAATCGTTATAACAAAAGGGGAGAAAACGCTATGGAAAATCACTTATAATTTTTTTTGCTCTCTGGCACCATCTGGTGTTGCATGTTTATAACGCATTCAAAATGCTGTTTCTTGACTAATGTAGCTGAGTCCATGGTTTGTTTCTCCCATTCATTAGTCAGGCAATAGCCCAGGGGGCAAGATCAGCACATTCTTAGTAAACCATTAACTGCTGTTTACCATGACATGTGAACAAGGCCGATGTCAACTTCTCTTCTATTGTTTTTCAAAGAGCAAAAAACCATTATTTGGACTCTAAACTGAAATATACACTTACCACCAGTACAGGTTATTCTCCAGCTGAGCACAGGTATAAAGAGCGCAGCAATGCAGGGAAACTATCCGCTCTCCTTGAAGTTCAGAGTACGTCTGTGCCGTATGTTCTAGTTTAGAAGCCACAGAACTCAAGGTTTCATCTACCCAGGTAGCTACCTAAAAGGAATAGAGCACAGCCCCGGAGTGGATCTTAACACAAATATGACTTTGTATTCATGCAGGGCACGATACAAAACAATGAGAAAATAATCTTGAGATTATTCAGGTGCAACCACTTCCAGTATAGTGCTTTGAAGTTTTGCTTCAATCCTTTTTGTTCTAAGCATGCCTTGGCCCTGCTACAACCATTTTATCAAGCCAGAAGTAGTTCACATTATCACAGAACTCCCACACTGTACCCTTGTGTGCACGCCTTTGTAGACAGTCACTCCTCACTTCCTTGAAATGAACAGGAAGCTTTCGTAGGTGGAGCCACGATATGCATCCAGCAGAGAGCACAGAGTGCCTGGACTTTATTTAGAAATCTTTATTTAGAAACCAAATTACTTGATCTCAGAATATTATGCTAGAATATTTGGATTAGCAACTTTTAATATAATGGACTAACTACTTGTTAGTCACTTGAGACCAAGGGGAAGTTTGTCATTAAGGAAGACAAACCTAGTTCTGAAACCTTAAGTGCTACATTTCTATGGAAAATAAGCTTTCTAAGACACAAGGCCAAGAATGACTCAAGAGCCTACCCCTGCTTTATACCAGGGATGGCTAACCTGTTGCCCTCCAGATTTTGACAGTCTACAACTCCTGTCGGTCTCAGACAGTATGGCCAACTGTCGAGGATGATGTGAGCTTTAGTTCAACAACTTCTGAAGTGTCACAGGATAGCCACCCCTGCTTTACACATTCTCTACTTTTACAGCAGCTTCCTTTTTTTCTTATGGATTCTTCTTCTAAAGAAGGAAGGTTTCTTTAATTTTGTTACTAGGCCAAAGTCTCCTCAATTTTAACAGCAAATGGAGTCAAAACATTCTTTTATCTTCTTTCTAGCACGCCCTGGCTTGTTTTTGTGATGAAAAGTTCTTGCTTCAAGGTTATTCGCAAAACCAATCTCTGCAAATGATTTGCTGAAGGCCAGCTGTAATCTTTTTCTATAGAATGGCAATGCAAGGAGGAGATTAAAACCACTGAATTTTATCCTCAGTGTTTCGTACCTTATTGTTTTCTGTGGCAACAGTTGCTCTGATGCTGTTTGCAGAAAGGAGGACGATCTTCTCGTTGGTTAATCCCAGGGACACGGCACGTGGGTGATGTATAGAAGGATTCTTTGAAACAAAAATGAAGCAGACAATATTTTAAAATGCCGCCACTGAAATAACACTTGTGGCTACCAAACATTTGGCAGGGAGGGAGACCTAGTCTTTGTCTCTCTCCCAAGTCATAACAAGGGAACAGTCATTACCCCATACCAAGAGCAATGGTATACCTTTTGCCATAGAAGCAAATGGGCGCTATTCATATATGACAGAACGTTACAAGGAAGCCAAGCAACACATCAAAGAGCCCCACCACTTTGCTATGGCTGCTCCTCTCCAGCTCTCAGGTTGCTGCTGCTGCTGAGGGGAAGGAGGAAAGATGCACAATTTCAAGCACAGCCGGAGGCAAACCTTTCCTGACTGACTTTCTCCCAGCCACTGTAATCTTCAATTAAAATGGCGAAGCTGCTAAGGAAGAGGAACTGGCAGTGGCTTTCCAGATCCAGCACTAGGCACGGCGAGCTCGCTATTCACACTGAAGTGTAATCAAAGCAACAACTGTAATGTAAAAGATTTTCCAAATCTGCTTTGATACCATGTGGATGACTGCACACAAGACTTAACTTCTGAATGTGTATTTGTCCTGCAAGACAACACTATGCTTGGTAATTGTTTATTTAAAAATTCAATAAAGTTTGTAATAAGAATTTTTAAAGATGCACAGGAAGCTCTGTACTTTTTTAAAAGCAACTACATTTTTGTATACAAGAGATTACCACATTTTACAGAACATAGCTAGACATACCTGTGCATTTCTGTAAGGTTCAGATTCACTCCATTTCCACTGATACAGCTCCCCTTTACTGCTCACTGCCACAAGCTCAGAATACAGAGCACCAATAGAAATAAATTTCATCCCATCCTATAAAAGCAAACAAGTGAAGCTTAAAACTTCAATATTATGAGTGCTAAACACTCACATATATTATAAATTCATCACAAAGAAAAAGAACGGTTCAGACCATTTGGTGTCTGTGAGAAGTTGACAGGTTATCAGACATAGTTTTATATTGGGTAAAAATAATTATTCTAGATTGTATTTTATTTTTGACATTGATAAGGTTTGGGCTGTGTCATTAGTGGGTTCTGCGTAATTTCAGAACTGAAATTTAAGGGGTTCTAAAACCAAAACAGCACAAGTGACTCTTGAAAGATTTATCAGGCAATGCTAACTTCTGTATACTCAGTGGTTCAATGGTTGTAGATGAAGAAATGAGAAAGGTTTTACAAAGGAACAAGTGTAGTGGATTATATGGTCATTCCTCTAACACTGGCTATACAAGTGGAAGAGTTTCTAGTTCTATTAGGACTGAGAAGTGTCCTATACAGAAACCAATCCTTGGAGTAATATAGAAGAGGTGTCACAAAGGAGGGTTTGGTGGCCACCTGAATTTGAATTAGTCTTCATTCAAAAGAAATGACGGAATGTTTTGCTGTCATCTGTAGAAACCTCATCTGGAGAAGCTGAAGAAATGCTGTTGTGCTTTGAACAAATTATTGAATTATTAAAATCAAAGCTCCTGAGTAAGTCAGGATTTTCAGGAAGAAGAAAACAGACCAAGCTTGGGTAAGATAGGAATTGCTGGACTATTATGCATGAATTGAGGAGGTCATTTGTTAAGATGAAAGAAACCATGGAATTCCAAGATTTGGAATTTCTCCTTGAATTAAGGAGAGAATATAAACAATGGAAGCAGCAAAAGAAAACCAGGTGCTATGCAGTTTTGAACACATATTATGCTTGCATCAAGAGGCAGATAATCTTTTTGGAAACTGATCATGACGGAAACAAACTGAGTGCCTATTTTTGAATTACCTTTACATTCAGCCTAACAGCTTTCTGATAACCACTTGAATTGGTGTGGTGAAATGCTGTGACCTTTCAATGGAGCATAAAACATTTTGATCCAAATTCTACCTGATCACTGAGGATTAGTGATGTATTCTGTTAATCCAAAAGACTCTACTGAACTTTGGACACATGTTTTATATCTTGTCCTTCCATCTTCCCCAGCCATTTAACTGCAAGTACTCCAAAAATGTTTAAAGCACATAAAGTTGTGGTCAGTTCTCTCGTCCCACTTCTCTTGCCTTGCTCTAGGCAGGGACATTATATATCATGTCACAGCAAGCCTCCTCATTCTTCGATTCTCCAAAGAAGAAGCAAGCCAGGAAGCTTGACTGATGACGCGTGTCTTAAACTGAACCCAGGAGAATACAAATCCAAGAGAGATGAGAATGGAATAAACAGGCCAACAGCTTAATGTTCCTGTGCTGGGCATCTCAGGTTAAAAAATAAGCCCACTGCATCGTGTAAGATTCTGCTAATTCACAACAGCTGTAGCTCAGCAACTGAGTGCATGGCTTGCATGCAAGAGGTCCCCGATTCAGCTCCTGCCAGGTAGGACTGAAAAGATCCCTCCCTGAAATTTGCAGCTTCCTCTAGACTCCACTGTTCTCAAGACTCTCCTGCACTTCAGATACCCATTTAATTATATCTCCTGCTTTGTGAAAAGGCTACTTCACAGTATGTACCCCCAAAATATTGGAAGCAAATAATGAAGGGGAGCAGATACTTGCCTACACTAATTAAGAGTCCAGACTGGCTTTCAGTCTTCTGGGAAAGGAAGGCACAAATATAGGAAGTAGTTTGAAAGACAAAATAGCTCATGTCCATTCAGATAGGACCACTAGCAATAGTAAAGTTCTTTAAGCTAAATATATATCATATGGCCCACCCACTCTTCACAACATTTGTTCCTTAGAAGGGCAGGGAGGAAAAGAGAAATAGGTTCATGGCTGTTTTTTATACCATCAGAGCAAAAGGAATCATTTTCAGCTGACACTAACAAATAATCACACTTCTCGAATGAAGGAGGAAAATAACAGCAACAGTGTGAAGATGAATTCTTTCATCCGCAAGGTGACAGAAAACAAGCGAACCAACTGGTGAAAGGGGAAAGAATAGACAGAAGAAACGCAAAGGATCAGCTTAAAAAAAAAATCACCCCATTGCTTCAAAGGTTGGCAAACGCGTTGATAAAGACAGAAGAGTACTTGTTCAGGCTCCCAAAAAATATCAGTTGACACAATTAATTTTCTGTCCAAGTGAAAGGGATGCTAACTATAAACTACTTAAGGCAGGAGGCCTGTGCACACTTCCATTCAAGCAACTCCCTTCTATTAAATTCAACAATACTTAATTTTCCAAGTGAATGAGTTTATGATTGAGCAACACATCAAAACTGAAGTGACATGAACACGAATGATCCACATTCAATGTAAACATGTCCATAATATAGGATTTACACGCAGGGGCATTTGATGAGGAAGGTGGCAGGGGGAGGAAAGAGAAAGATCCACATTTACAGACAATACAATATATTCCAATTTTTGCATTTTTAATAAAAATAAAATACAACCAAAATACCTTATCCGGCCACCACTGCAAGTCCTCTCCTAAAGAGACCGGACTTTGGACAGGTGTGTTCTTCTTGTCAAGGTTTGGCTCCCCTTCTTTGCTTGTAGAGCCTCTTTCATTATCAAATGAGGCTCCATCAAGCCACCTTCTTTCACGCAAACGTAAAACGGACTCACGTTCACGCAACAGCTCAGAGTCTCTCTCTAAGGGAAGAAGGAGAACTGGTATGCAATTGGGTCACACCAGTGGGATAAAAGTAAGCCACTCTCTAGTAAAGACCCTTCAGGATGCAACTAACAGCAGTTAAAATCTACTTATAGATTTCACTTAAGTGTAAATATAAAAATGACATGCAACACTCAAAATATTAACCCTTTCAAGCATATGTACTTTGGTACTGCCAAAATAATTTGAAATGCAAGAATGAGACTAGAAATAAAGTTCAAAATCTGAAGTTTCAAGCTACTCAAAAAAATGAATTAACAGAAGAAGAAAAATTACCTCACTGTTTACTTAGGATGAGATAAAAGGTGATTTAAGATTTTTGTAGTACCATATGCAAAGAGTATATTGTGGGTGATCTTATCAAAGAACAGCAAGAAAAATAGATGCCACCAAACAAGGCAATGTCTCTTTTAGAGACTTTTTAAGCTAACCAAAAAGGAGTGTTTATTAGAGAGTCTCAGAATTTTTCCCAACCACCACCACCACCACTTGAAAAGGTTAAAAAACAATCTTAAACTTCTGTAAAATTTGCTAATCCAACCCCTTCATTTAAACAAACATATAGGACTTGCTTTGATTTTTAAAAGCTTGTGGCAAAGTTGCTTAACTAAAAATTTTTGTAGTCAGACAACGTTCTAAAAAAAGATTTTTGAAGGAGAATGTTCCTTACCAAAATGCTTTCCCTCCAATTGGCCTAAAATTGTCTAAAGCCAGTACTCTCCAGTTCTCTCATACAATTAAAATTTTAAGTCAGGTAATCAAGCTAAATATCCAAGAGTCAAATATACATGGAAAATAAGGATTTTTTTCATCTTAACATAGAAATAACCTTAGAAAGGAAAAAGGGAGTGATTTAAGAAAAGTCAGAGGTTGAATATACATGCACATAATGCATTTCACATACGAGTCTTCATTTGTATTGATAAACTTTTTAAGAACAAATCTCTCATCTTTCCTCCTTGCTCTCTTTTTCCTTCTGGTATCTGTCATTTCATTCTCTTCCTTTATTTCAAAACTAATCTCCACATAGCTTACTTCTCTTCTCTTCTCCCCCCCCCTTTGCTTTACAGCCCAATTCCTAACAACTTTTCTTTTTATCTCCCATGACCCATCTACTTGGACTAATGCTGGGCCAAAAATCATCTCCCACCCTAATGGTAGTGTTCATGCCCCATGAAAAGGTTTTGGGGGACATTTTCTGCAACTTTGGGGGCTGGTAAGGCAAATTCAACAAATTGAGAAAAGCCTCCCTCTACGATATGAGGTGGTGGAGGGTTCCTTACGCTTCAAAATAAAAAAAGTTAATCAAGAAGCAAAGAAGGTTTCCTTCTGCTTGAAAGAGAGCTGAAATTGACCGTCTGTTGATAGGTCCTATAAAATGCTAAATAGGAATGACTAAATCATGATGAGCGATTGTGTTCACTGCTTCAAACAGCAGTAAAAAATCTTCCATTTGAACAAAAAGGCAGTTGTGATAACGTTTTCCTTCATACTGATATAAGTCATTTTCAGTCTCTCTCCACTTCTGTGCTTGTATGAATTTTATTGCCATTGTTTACACCAGAACTATGCCTTTGGGTTAGGGAAGAGGAGGAGGAGAGGGGTGTACTTGGGGGGGGGGCGCTATTTATTTATTTATTTATTTATTTAGATGAACAAAAAGTAAAAACATTAAGGAAACCCTCAGACACCTCATATTGTATAGGTAAGCCCTCTTGTCCCCCAAAATGCATTCAATATACCACCCCCCTCAAAAGGCAACTCTGGCTGTTCTAAGTCCACCCAGTCCCCATCCCCAAGATCACTGTGGGGAAATGGGCCAAATAGGTCAAACTTAAGCACATTTAAAACAGCTTTTAGAGATGAAGCGTAGACTAGAGGATCGTGTAAAGCTTCTCCCCACCACCTTCTGCATAAATTCCGCTTCTTTCCTCCCTCCAGCTTTGGAATTACATGCGGCCATTGCCAATCCAAGTTAAGATGAAACCAAGCATGTAATAAACTCATTCCAAGAACCCTAATGGTTTCGTCTCTCTTTTAATGTAGAAACTGAAGACAAAGTGTGTGCACTCGAAGAGGTAGGAGGAGGATGCATGTGATCCTGCAGCCTGCACTCAACACCTAAACCAGGGGTCGGCAAGGTTACCAGATGATGGGCCGGTTTACACTCCATCAGTTGTAGGATGGGCCGGAGCATGTACGCACGAGCACTCTTCTGGGTCAGAGGAGCGCCTGTGCGCCATCAATCCGGAAGTTGGTCCCCGTGCCGCACTGGTAAGAGCGGACATGAGCAGGGGTCGCCATGGGCCAGTTAGACAAGGCCCGTGGGCCGCTACCGGCACATGGACCTTAGGTTGCCGACCCCTGACCTAAACCCTAGCTTCAATGTTATGTCTGAACCATGTCTCAAGAATGATGACAAGGTATTTTGTTCTAATCCTCTACGTCATAATTTTATGACGCTAGATTGGATAAATCTAACATGTCGAGAAAATTAAAATTATGCCTAATACGTACAGCAACCATTTTACTGATCCTAACTTGTGATAACACTTAGATATTCATGTATTGGAATATCTAACAGAAAAAAAATTGGAATGGGCAGAGCAATACTCCATGAAGATCATGATAGAGGTTGGATTAACAATTGGCAAAATGTTATGGATACGCATAATAGTTATTTTTAAGAAGCTATGAAGGAATAACTAAGTATCAGATCTGGTATTACATTTCATACGCTTTTCAAGTCATGCTTAGAACTTGACGCCATGCAAAGTATTCTGTCATTGCAATGGGTTATGGATAACAGACATGGAATTTGAGCACTGCAAGCCATTTCAGAATGCAGTTAAATTCCAGCTTGCCTGACCTATTGTTGAGTATGTCATTATTACTACGCTTTGCAAAGAAAATGTTTACTCTTAGAGCAGTGCATAAGGAGCAGTGGAAGAGCTTTCAATGCTACCTACTGGAACAGATGTAGGACTTCTAACTATACTATTGAGTTATGCCTCCAGACTCAGGAAGGCACAAAACTCCCTGTGTACCATGGATACTGAGCAATTGAACTCCCTTTCAGAATGTTGCATGAGAAAAACATTGAGTTTTTCAGTAAGTACTCCCTAAGTAGGCATGGTTTTTAAAAAAACGGCTTTAGGCAGATTGCTTTTTGAAAGCCTCATGCACATTTCACCTGTCAAACTTTTCAAACATACTGCTAGCAATTAATTTCACACACTTACATCATACAATTTTTACAGCTTAATGCAAGAAATTTTATTTATCTATATTTAAAACAGAAAAGGGTTGTACACACAAAACTAAAGACAAAAATCACCAGCATGTGCTATAACTAGTGTACTGCACAGCAATGCTACTTATTTACAAAGAAAAAAAAGGTGCAAAATTACCTCGGGACGAGCTTAGCCTGGAAAGTGATGAGCGCCGAAAGGATGGATAACCAAAGTAACTAATATCTTCTGAAAACATAGCATCAGCATCAATAATGACACTTGGGTGAGCAGAATGTATGTCAGCATCCAGAAGAGACATAAGATCCTCTATAAGAGGAGACAAGGATCTGAGGTGAATTATCAGCTACTTGAAATATCATCTTGAAAGACCATCACCAAACAAGACAAATCCACCAACAAAAACTGATGTTCTGTTCTTCAGATTCCCTAGCGTACGGATGTATTGCCTACTGCTCACATATGCGATCAAGCAAAATGTCCTGATTTAAGAAACCAATGTTAGCTATATCAACTGCTTGGTCTAAACTAACCCAGACATGGTTCAAAGCTGGAAGCGGTTAAACAATATAAAAAGAACAAGGCTCAATAAGTTTATGTTCCAGAAGAAAGCAGATAAAAAAGACTTCCTCCAAAGCGAATAAAGCTCATGTTTGCCTATTACTAAGACAATAACTTCCTAAACTGGAAAGTGTCATTTTTAATAGAATCTGCTGATAACTTCTGCAAGAACTCTTAAGCATGGCCCCCCCCCAAACAAACTCTACATTTTCTACCATGAAGTAACTGATTTTAATGGTAGGACAGTGCCCCGTCTTTTAATACTCTATCTTGAGATGATAAAGATCCTACCTTAGGTGCTGGAAAAAAAATATCTGCCTTCCTGACTTTCTGTTAAATTCTATTAAATTTATTTTCCAACACAAAGCAGGAAATGCTGTCCACGTTGACGGCAGATATATTTTTATATTTCTGGCAGTGTTTTTCAAGCTCTATAAAATCACACCCCGCTTCTTACATTAACTAGGCTTTCCATAGACATTCCCAACCACAAGCCTTGCTATGGGTACTCATCTAGGTGCACTGAATGCGTCCACCCATCGTGGACATCTCTCTTTTAAAGTAATCTCATTGAGACTGGCACTTTAACTTTGAGAAACCCTGATGTTTTTATACATCTGATACCAATTATACATGCAAAATTGTTTTCAGCTTCTTTCCTCCCTCACCCAAAATGTTCTTCACTGGTACCTTGCACCATCCCAGGGATCCCTCCACTAAGTCAAGGAAACATAGGTTTATGCAATCCTTTCAGCGTCCATCCTAAGAATCACAACCTCAACACTAATTACTTTCAGCTTCTCTGCACATGGCACCCTCTAGAACAGTAGATCCCTGCCCCAAAAAATAATCCCCACAAACCACTTGAAAGTTGCTGAGGGTCTTGGCAGACCACTTCATAATTTTTCTGCCTGTTGTAACAACTGTAATGTGCTGTGCCCAATGCTATATGATTTGTAACTGTGCTTTTACTCACATATCACAGGGTACCTGAATGAAGCTTGCAGACCACTTGTGGTCCACAGACAATGATTTGGGAATCCTTGCTCTAAGAACAAGGATGAAGAATCTGTGCCCCTACAAATGATGTTGGGACTACATGGCCAATGGAAATTTCACTCCAACAACATCTGGAGGGCCACAGCTTCCCCACCCTTGCTCTTAAAAAAAGTGTTGAAAATTTAAATTACTAGTAATCAGTGCTTTTTTTCTAGAAAAATTGGTGCTGGTATTCACCATGAAGCTGTTACAGTTAAGTGCCACACTTTTTAACAACAACAAAAAGAGGTGCCGGTACTGGTACTATGTACCAAACAAAACATTCCTTACACAGATATCACCAAATACCCAACTGGATAAATCTACATATGTAACTGAAACAAGCCCCAAATCTAAACATGCTAAAACAACAACACCTATTTCACTATCTGTCTGTGAACTATTACCTCTGAAATATACCTAGACAAAGCTAAAGCCAATAAGGCACACCACCACTTGACCTCTTCCTAATGCACTGTTCAAAGCCTTCAACAGATGCTTATTTCATATGAGATCCCCCGATACAGTGATGATTGAGAATTTGAAGGTCACATTAAAAATAAACAGTAGAGCTGAACTCTCCTGTAAAAACAATGGAGTAACTTGGCTGAATAATTTTGCTTCAGTGCTGCAACACAGATTCCAATAGCCACACCAAAACTACTGCTGCAGCTCAGAAGCCAAGTATTTTCCTGTGACAATGGCCATCAGAACACAAAGTTAAGATAAATAACCAAAGAAACCAGAATGTTGAACTCTGGAAAATTCCATGTATATAGAATACCAGGAAAGGGAGGCAAATACTAAACAGCAAGGCTTTGCTCTCCAAGCAGCACCCTTTTTCATGCAGCCTCAGGACTGTCTCACGTCCATATTTTATCAACATGAGACAACTCTGGCAGTTACCTTTTGGTGGAGATGCACGTGCCCCAACATGCACCTAGAATACCATCGCCTTGTATCTCAAAATTGGGACTTGCTGAGCATCTATTGAACCTTACAAGGGATGTGATAAACCTCCCTGACCCAAAAGTGCTGTCATGTCTGAGGTAAAAGTATCGCTGTGTAAATTGTTTTGTTTTGTTTTGTTTTAGTAAATTTTACCTAATTCATATTTAATGTCTCAAAGCAACAGGAGCACTATAACTGTAAGCACACTTTGTAGGAATAAAGGTTTTTTAATAGTCATGCTTTCAAATATGTATTTCAATGAGTAAAAAAAGTGGTGCTTTGTCTACCTGTCTGTGAATCATCTGCCACTGAGCATGCTCAGTTCGTCCCAACAACAAGAAATCACACAAGCAAACCAAGCCCTGCAAAAGACAGTCTAAGAGAACACTAGCCTTTGAAAGGGGTTGGGGATGTAGGAGATACTCTCATCCCCCTTCCTTTTGTCTGTCACAGAAGCTCAAGACAAGAAGAATGAGATATGGAGACATGAAAAAAACTTTAGCTGAAAGAAAGGAGCAGATAGGGAAGATTTTGCTTGGGCATTTTATTAATATTTTAAATAGTCATCTATGGAAGATATGAAATTTAGCAGCTAGGTTTAGAGACTGCCATAGTTCCTTATCTCAAAGGCAAGGCACAAGCCAAGAGGCAGAGCATATTTATAGAATGAGAAACACGAAAGCCGGATGCATTAACAGCGCAATACTTTTGACTGCTTACTCAGAAGCAAGCCCCTACTATGATCAACAGAACTTTCTCCCTAGTTTAGGATTTCAGCCAAATATATTTATAGTCTTCCCTTTACACATTCAAAAAGGCCCAAAACGGCAAAAATTTGCACACCAACCAATGCAACAATTTTTAAAAACCTTTTTAAAAACAGCCACCAGGAACAGTTCACACAGATTGGTATCCAGTCATTATCAAGGAGAGCTTCACATGGCTCAAAGTTACATTGTATAAATAGGCCCTTTGCCTAACAAGCACCCAGGTTGTCCCTGGCATATCATACATTATGAATCACTTGCCGTTCACAACAACAGTAATGTCAACTGCTGTCAATATTAAAACAAAATTGCTAATTCTTCACGTGTCAAAACAAACATGCAAATTATTTACAGGCTTCCCACTTTATAAGCTTCCCACTGTGGCCCTTTGTATTAGACAAATTGTGCACCCTGGTTCTCCAGTATTTGAGGAGCAACACAGTCTAGAGATCTACATATACAGGCTTTGTGTGAAAGTGCATATGAGGTATGGAAAATCATGCCCCAAATAGGAATGCCTATCAATTATATAAAATGCCAACTTACTCAAGACTGGTACATTTTAAGTGTACAGCTATTCTAGCATAACTGTCTCCTGATAGTTACAAAACAGAAGGTCTTAGCAATAAGAGCTCTTTACGCTTGGGGGGGGGGAGACCCTCTTATAACAATAATAATAATTTATTATTTATACCCCACCCATTTGGCTGGGCTTCCCCAGCCACTCTGGGTGGCTTCCAAAAAAATACTAAAATACTGTAATACATCAAACATTAAAAGCTTCCCTAAACAGGGATAAATGATGATGGTCACAGTATGTACAAGCTTTCGTTATACCAGACCTCTGAACTGTTGCTTCAAATCCAATAACTTAACTCAAGACATTCACTTCCATACAAGTTAACCTTAGTTTTGTCTTGCCTATTACTTTCTCTCTTATTTACTGGAACCAAAGAGAAATCAATATTTCTGCATCTCCATAGGGTACATAGCAAAGAACATAAGGCTAACTCTTTACCAGTACTGCAAACTGAAAGTCTATTGCACTTTGACAGAATAACTTAATATTGCTTTTAATGATGAGAAAAAAAGGGAAACATTGCCCAATACAAACCTCCAGGAAGGTAAGATTCACTCGCTGTGTCGTCACCATCATCCCCATCTTCATCATCACGGCTCAGCAAGTTGTTGACTGCAAGATTTACATCAAGATTTGTCCGCTGGAGCTCTCTGATAATTACACTCCTAGATTTTCCTTGTAAAACAACTTGTGCCTATGCAAAATAGAATACATTTTTAACAATGTAACATGTTACACCACCCCAGGTAATTTTCATCAACAGAAACAAATATTTCTGGAGTAGTAGAAGTCAACCATATACTCAATATAAGCAGATATCATGTTTAACTGGAAAAAGGTAAACAGGCTGGTTTTGGATAATGCTAGTAAGTAATGTGAAGTCTCAGTAACTTCTGGCTGTGGAGCAGTTTATAAATCTGTAAAGATAAAAATCTATTGCTTATTTCTATTCTTTGCTGCTTAAACATTCCTTCGCTCCACTCCACAGGCTACTTTTAAAGAGGCTACCGATGTTGCTTTTTGGGGACATCCTTAATAATAACTTTCTTATACCCAGTCTTCCAGGAACAAGCCTCCAGCAAAGACATGAAAGATTCATGCCACCCTCACCTCAAAGCTCATAGCACACAGTGTATATATATGGGTGATTCAGGACTCCTCTGTAAGTCGGTGGAAGGAGTGAGATTCTGACTTCTGCCAAGCCAAACCTCTGCAGCCCCTTGCCAGGAGAATGGGCATGCCAAAACGTCTGACAGCAGCTGTTTATTTACTTTCAAATCATGCTAGACAAGTAACAAATGTGAGAACATGGTCCAGAATTTGGAAGAATCATTTCCTATCACATGAAACATTTGCTCAAATTGCCAGGGGAGGCCTTTCTGCTCATGTAGCTTCAGAGGTGAGGCTGGCTGGGGCACAAGGAAGTGAGTTCACCATAGCAGTGCCCAGAATAAAAACTTATGCAACATTTGGGGAAAAAAAACTGTCGTTCAGGGAAGCTTTTGGCCTAAGAGGCTGGAGATATTTCATCTGACATATTTTTACCTGACACATTATTTCTTTTGGATATTTGCTGTTTGGTTTTTTAAAGTATGATTATATAGTAGTTTATTTTAATGAAGTATGCCATTTCAGTAACTCGGTACAGATACGGCAGGGATAAATATCCTGCCAGATAAAAATGATTTTCAGGGACTGTTGTGCTTCTCTATTCCTTGGCTATACTGAATATGTCAGCGTGTATCATATAGCACAAAGTCTGCCTCTTATAAATATACTAAAACTAAGAAATTAGAAAAGCGATTATCAATTTACAAGGAAGATGTGAATTTACCATTAGAGAATATTAGTTAACAATGTGAATAAAATCAAAGTGTTCTGGTGCCCTGGAGGGGGTGGAGGAAGATACCAACAGAAAGAAAGCATAAAAATAATACAAACATGTGCAGTGTCTGAAGAAATTTACCCACAGGCATTATAGGAAACAGAACGTAATCTCAGAGCAATTATCAATTATCCCTGGGAGTCCAGGGCCAATTAGACTAGTCTCAAAGGCCTGAACAAGCTCCATCATCTTTACACAATACTAAAGAAATACTAACCAACTAACCTACTTTTAAAATTCTTGCTAACCCTCATGTCAACGGAAATTGTTCCTTCTCAATAATCTGTAGTATGCCTGCTAATCTTTAGAGAATAGTCAACACAAATGTTTTTTCAAATGTTTGAACAATAAGTGACTTGCATTATGGGTGGTGTTTATTTCTTTATTTACTGAAATTTGGGCCAGGTGTTTTTCAAAGGCTGACTCAAAATATTCCAGTCTCAAGACCACAAACCAAAATGTGCTCACAGTCAACCTTAGCTTTACATGAATCTGATGCAGATACTCTGCCTTTTCTCATGTTTCCAAACATTGTGAACATCTAAGGGCACAAAAGCATCCCATCTTCCTCCAATATATATACATATATGTAAGAAACTTGCAAAATAAATAAAGAAATAAGCAAGCATCTCCCAGTTACTCCTTTTCCACAACTTTGAAATATTTCATCACAAGAAAGATTCATACCTGTGAAATGAGTTCTTCTGGAATAACAGATGCTGGAATCACTGGCTGGGGCTGACTACCCAAGAGCCCAGATCCTCTATCACGTCCTGTTCGAATAACTCGCGTTTGCCTCCTGGAATCTCTAGCTCCAGCTGATGATCTACCAGAGGATCCTCCTCCACTTCCTCCGACACCCGAGCTCCAGCGACTCCTGGGGAATTTTAAAAACGGCAATAGATTTATGTGTTTGAGCTATTTTACAAGCTATCATGCATCTGAATTTAACTGTTGACTACAGTACACTAGCCATGTGATTCACTAGCCTTTTAAAATGAAGCTAGAATGCTAGATACAATGGCATCTTTTCTGTACAGCAGTTTTGCAAATGCAATTTCTTTGAAAAATTCCAAAGAATATAAATTCACAAACTAATTTGCATTAAGATTCACTTCTTTACTTTCAGCTTTTACTTTTAATCTACATTCCAGCCAACTTCTGAAATTATTAACAATGAAGGCATTGCATGCATGTGCAAAAGATCAATATGTTTAAGTTTTCATATCCAAAAGCCATACGTTCTGAGTTACAGAATCAGACCGCCACACTACAAATAATTAAAACAGAACTCCCCCTATTAAATATGACGTTTTCTATGCAAAACATTTAAATACTACCACATCTTAGTGGCCATATATTGGTTAAAATTATAAATTGCTTCAGAAATAGTAATCCTTCCAGTAAATATCTCCTTTGGAAGAAAGGGCACAATATAAATATCTTTACCAATAATAAGAGGTAATTTATTTTGAAATATTTGTATTAGTAGAAATGTAGGATATTATTTATGCTTTTTTTCTTTTTCTAGGCTGAAGATAGGGCTTGTTTTAATATAATATTTTATTAACTGAAGATACTTGGCACAATCCAAACATGAGGCTGTTCAGATATCTTGAAACTGAAGAAGTAAACCATTCTTGAGAAGGTACTAACAATTGTTGCTGATGTGATACAAATGCAGCAGGTTTAACTAGAAATCCTGTTTACTTCTAAATCATGCTAGCTTTCTTCAACAACATAAATAACAAATATGTCCAAATACAGGTCATGACACACATGCAGATATTTTTCCTACAAATGTTTTCATTTGTATTTTTAATTTTAGTCCCGTACTACAAAGAAGATTCATGCGACATTTTGAGTCAATTATGTTCCTCTAAAATGAAGTCATTGTTATTCAGGGGGAAAAAATCTAAAAGGACTACCCACAGTAGCAGACATGTTTTTATTACGGTTAAAGTAAATTAGATTGCTTGCAATTTTAGATTTAACATTCCAAACTTAACAGCTTAATAGCATTTTTCAAAAAGCTAGCTAAACTACTTCTGCATTTCGGTGGTCTTATACATACGGGAGACAATGTTATGTGTAGCCACACATAACCAAGCGCAAACAGATGGTAGCCTCAACCCTATCAAAACTTACCCAAGGGTGTTGCCTGCCAGTCTGCCCAGAGTTTCAGAACCAGACAGAAACCATGGGGAATCACTAGTTCTGCCTGGCCTGGATGTCCTTCCTGCCCCTGAGCCACTGCTCAACTTTGAACTGAAAGTAAAAGATGGTAGATCAGTCACAATACAATCCCAAATGGGTTACGAACAAAGCCTGGAATCCCAGGTTTAAATTATCAGGGACTTAGTCTGGTAACACACCAGCTTAAGCAACACCCTTGGGGAATCTTCCATACTTAGCTGCAGTATATGATGCTCGAATATGAAAAAAGAAAAGGCATGTGAAGCATGCCTAATGAATTTGGTGGTTGACAAAATGATGTCCTACTAAAAAAAGAACAATTCAGTGTCAGGAATTATGGTAAGATTGTGAAGTGTCTGTATAAATGAATATGCATTAGATTATAAATTAATATAATCGTGAGTTAATGTAATGCCCAAAAACCTGTTTAAACCAAACATTAAACGTATCAGATAATAGTTCCCAAAAAATTAATTTTGAGTCAAGTACTAACAATGTAGATCCAGAAAACATACCCTAGCAAGTGGTAAATATGTAAAAATGTAATCTCAAACTTGAGCGATTACTGAAATAAATGATCTGAAGTAACTCATTATGGCACCTATATTTAGGATTGTAAGATTCCGTTCTCATCATTTAATATAAAATAAGTCATTAGATTGGCCTTAATTTTGCTAAGGTCTGTACAGCCATTACCAGTTTGCTAAAGCAAGACACCCAAAAATATGGTTCTCCCACCTCCCGTTTCCATTTTCAATTCTGTTGACGGTTCAGAATCAAAATACCAGGAGAAATTTGTTAGATACTTCTTAAATACACAACAAAAGTAGTTCTTACCCATCATTATTATCAGGTTTACCCAATTCCAATCTGTCTGGCTGAACTAAAAAGCCAATCCTGCAGACTCTACCATCCTAGATTTAAAAGAGAGAGTGTCCAATATTGAAACAATACTAAACTTTAATTATGCAAAAAATAAAAGTTTTCAGCTGTGGGTCAAGTTGGTCTAATTGAGATTGGGAAAACTATATTTAACTATATGAATTAAGTATCAGCACAATATTTTTCTCAAACGTATTTTGAACAAATTACCTCAAGGAGAAATGCAGCGTGATTTGGTCCCACCACACACTGTTTAATAGTGGCCTGCTCCAATACATTCAAAGGGGGGTGGCTGAAAACAGAAAGCAAGCATAGGTAACATTTTTAAAGACTCCTTAACTCTGAGAAATAAACCAAGTGGCATATGGAATGTATAATGAATATAGCTGTAACATCTGAAACTGATTAAAGATGAACATTAGTTGCAGCAACCCAATGTATTTTCAGCCATAAGACGAAAAAGAACAAAATGTTAAAAGCCACCAGGGAACATTATACTACATTTCAATAATGTATTTTCCAATACATATCTTTATGAAGCGGTGTTCCCCAAGTGCTATTTTCTGACAATAGCTGTGAAATATACAGCAGCAGCCAGTTTTAACCCTTCCTATGCACTTCAATTCATTTAAGTGCTAAACTCATTTTTAATGCTGAACTTCAAGTATCATCATCACCAATATTGATTTACTAATCACCTTCTAAACAATCGTCTTAGGTGATTTATACATAATTAAAAACAGTTAAGAACACAAAAACAAACAAGACATTTAAAACAAGACACACACAAAAAAACACAAGATCAAATAATTAATTTGTATACCAATGAAATACAAAACCACATCCACATGGCACTTTGACCATCACAAGTACATCAGGAGCTCTTCCTTTCTGCATTGACTTGGGCAACTAGACTTATGTAGTTAGCCGAGTAGCGAAACAAATATAGAGACAAAGTTACTAATTCTGGAAATGGTGAATACAAACAGTGAACAACTAAGCAGCTTTATCCAACCTCCGGTCCTCCAATTTTGTTGGACTACAGTTCCCATCATTCCTTATCACTGGCCATATTAGCTAGGAATGATGGGTGCCACAGTCCAACAATATTCTGGGGGACCCTAAGTTGGGGAAGGTTGCCCTAAAGTTACTCTTCCTTTGAAGTTATAGCCTATAACGCTATCTCACCTGTTTAAGTTGTATTTGTTGAGCTTCTCTGAAACTTCCCTTAACCTGCAAGAGAAAACAAAGGATCTTTTAGCATTAATAAGTTTCAGTCAAGCAACACATTTCTGACCAAAATTTACCTTGGCTATTAATAAATCTATTTATAATGATATAACAAATGCTCATGGTGAGTGAAACCTCAGAACCAGATTAGTAGCTGAGATTTCCAGTGGTCAAGAGACAGGTTAAGTTATGAATATTGTTCTAATTCTCTTCCATTTATATTCCACTGATTTTCTGTCTTGCAACCCAATACGTGCAATTCCAAGGCAATCACTCATCCAGGTACTGAACAGAGCCAGATATGCTTAGCGTAAGCAAGGTACAGTGGTACCTTGGTTTACAACCATAATCTGTTCTGAAGGTCCAGTTGTAAACCAAAACAGGTTGTAACCCAAGGCGCGCTTTTGCCAATGAGGCCTCCCCCCAAAATTGGTTGTAATCCAAAAAAAGGGACACACACTTCCAGATTTGACGTGGTTGTAATCCAAAACAGTTGCAAACCAAGGTAGAGGCCTCATGTGCCTTCAGAACATGACCTTAACACATGCATAAATAGCATTCGGTTAGCAGCTTTAAAAATGGACTCATCTACCAGGGTTGCCGAGCACCCCTTTATGTCGCCACTCTCCTAGCCAACATATTCTTTGCTCTTCTAGCTCTAGCACTCCATTATCTGTAGTTCTCCTGTGCCTCAAACTCTGCCCTCTTGCAGTGCCAGGTATCTGTCTGATGCCAACCTGACTTCCTTCAAATTCCTCCTCAAAGTCCACCTTTTGCATGAATTCTTTGTCAAAATCCCTTAGCTGCCATACTACTAAACTCAAGTACGTACAATTGAAACAAGTGCATGTTCTTCCCGTTTACTTTTCTGTGATAAACTTAAAGTGGTTTTAGAAGGGAGCCTGTCGTATTGTACTTTATAAAGCACAATATAAATTCAAAGCATTATATAAACAAGACAACATAAGAGCTGAACCATGGATATTTTCTGTTTTCTTCATTATGCACGGGTCTTCTTGCATAAGTAACTTCAAACACACCATGAAAAACACGATTTGCAAGGAGGTAATGCATGTATAATGTACCCATCTTTCTTTTAGTTTGATCACACGATACACCAGCCTTTGCCAACTTGGTAGCCTCCAGGTGAGTGTTAGAAACTCAGATATATAGGCTGAACACCAAATGGCTCCTTAAGGTAAAAAGGTAAAGGTAAAGGACTCCTGGACAGTTCAGTCCAGTCGAATTCGACTATGGGGTAAAGCACTCATCTCTGCTTTCAGTTCAAGGGAGCCAGCATTTGTCTGCAGACAGCTTTCTGGGTCATGTGGCCAGCATGACTAAACCGCTTCAGGCACAACGGGACACCATGACCGGTGCCAGAGTGCACAGAAACAATGTTTACCTTCCCACCATAGCAGACCTATTCATCTACTCGCGCTCGTATGCTTTCGAACTCCTAGGTTGGCAGGAGCTGGGACACCCGCATGACCTTGAACCAGGGTTACAGTCACTAAAATGGGGTGCCTAGTTGTCATTTGGGGGCCAGGCGGCTTGACAGTCATATTTTTCAATACAACTTTTTGGTTCCTGAAATTCACTCTGATGCTGCAGATAAAATATAATGGATAGGATGTGCTGCTAGTATGTGAAAACAGCCAAGATCCAAGGACCCCAGGCATGGACCTCTAGATGGTGGAGACATCAGGTACCATCCTGGTGCCCGGGCATCGTCACTTGGTCGCAAATGGCCAATAGCCAGGTGCAAAATGCACCTGGTGAATTCCAAACACTGTTTCAGATTACAATTCCCATTGGCCCCAGCTGGAACAGCTGTGCACAAATGCATTCAGCCTCATTTTATGTATGCCCCTCCTTACCTACTTGGGCCAACCTTACTGTTAACGTGTCTTCCTGTTCAGTAGCAAGTGCCCTGCCACTGGGAAATGAGCAGTTGTCTTACAACAGCCTTCTAGCCAGGGTGGGGCAAATGAGCGCACCATCACCCAGAGTTCTGCTTTATTCCCACTCCATTCCAAGGATATATGTTTTTGAAAGAAAAAAAATTTAAAATTTGTGACATAACAATTGACAGCCTCTATTTAAAGAATGAAAGCTCATTTTAACGACATGGGCAATTTAAGACAGGACTTCTGAAAAGCTCACTGAAGAAAGCAGGATGAGTACACAACAAAAGCCACATTTAGAAAAGCCCCCAAAGACTTTCCCTGACTGAGGGTAGATTCTTCATGATCACAATAACCCTTTAATTAAGTGATCCTGCAGAAAAACAGCCCCTACAGTAATTTAACTCAAAGAGAACAATATTTAAATTTGTATTATGGGCTAAAGTTACATTCCACCGCTTGGATTTTCCTTTGCTCTGTTTTTCAGCTTTAGTTGTGTTGTCTACCCAGCCAGCAATCAAGAAGAATGTTTGAGTGCTTGTTTTAAGAAGTGAGGGTTAGTTTATTCTGCAGTTATTACGATGAGTAGAGGAGGACTGGGCGCTTATTGCAAAAAGGTGAAATAATGAGGCAACCTAAAGCGAGCTAAAATACATCTACCCCAAGTAATTATTCAGTCCTTTAAAGCACTCACTCATAATGGCTATTTTTTTCTTCTTTTCCTTGTGATGCTAGACGGCAAAGGATGAAAACAAGTCTAGAGGAATAAAAACACTGCTGTGCAATCTACAGTTGGCTGGTTCTGCTGTAAGAGGCCTAATTTCTGATTTTCCCAGTACGTGCAGCTCAGTATGAGGCCTTTCCAAGGTTTCTGGGAAGAAATATCAACCCAGCAACCAGTAAAAAAAATATCCAATGGATTTCTACAATTAGTTTCCAATCACTGTTAGCCTTTCAGTCCTTTATATAGCAAACAGTAAACAAAAGATCCTTGACCATCCAACAGAAAGGAAGATCTATGGAAAAGTTTGCTTTTCATATGGAATCTAAAGCTGAGACACCTAATCCAGCATTAAAGCTAAGCTCACTGCCCTGTCCAAAGTAGCTCAGTTCATGAAGAATTAGGTGAAAGAAGACTGTAGCTACTGGCAAAGTCAAGCTTTTGAGCCTGGTTATGCATTATTTTTATTTGATTTTTTTATTTATTAGATGAATATACAGTGGTACCTCGGGTTACATACGCTTCAGGTTACATACACTTCAGATTACATATGCTTCAGGTTACAGACTCTGCTAACCCAGAAATAGTGCTTCAGGTTAAGAACTTTGCTTCAGGATGAGAACAGAAATCGTGCTCCGGCGGCGCGGCAGCAGTGGGAGGCCCCATTAGCTAAAGTGGTGCTTCAGGTTAAGAACAGTTTCAGGTTAAGAACAGACCTCCGGAACGAAGTAAGTACTTAACCCGAGGTACCACTGTACTACTCTTCTTAATAAGATCTCAAGGCGATTCATTTGTCCTCAGCACCACTCCACACAGGTTTTTACTTTCTAAGTTATAGCATAAACTATTCTATTTTGTTTTACACCTTTTCATAGCCTTGTTCACTGTATCCATAACATCCTTAGCATCATAGAGTTGGAAGAGACTCCAAGGATCATCTAGTCAAGCTTCCTCAAACTCGGCCCTCCAGATGTTTTGAGACTACAATTCCCATCATCCCTGACCCCTGGGCCTGCTAGCTAGGGATCATGGGAGTTGTAGGCCAAAAAACGTCTGGAGGGCCGAGTTTGAGGAAGCCTGATCTAGTCCAATCCCCTGCAATGCAGGCATCTTTCACCCAATAACCCACAACCATGAGATTAAGAGTCTAATGCTGACTGAGCTATCCCTCAGGTCAAACAAAAAATACGCCAGTCATCTAATTCCTGGTGTTCACACTAAATGCTCTGTTAACATGACTTTTACGTATCCCATTATGTAAGTTAACCTGCTCTCTCACTGCCTTTTCCTTCCTTTGGACTGGCCCTCACCTCTTCTCCATCAGTGGTGAAGAAGAAGAAGAAGAAGAAGAAGAAGAAGAAGAGGAGGAGGAGGAGGAGGAGGAGGAGTTTGGATTTGATATCCCGCTTTATTACTACCCGAAGGAGTCTCAAGTGGCTAACATTCTCCTTTCCCTTCCTCCCCCACAACAAACACTCTGTGAGGTGAGTGGGGCTGAGAGACTTCAAAGAAGTGTGACTGGCCCAAGGTTACCCAGCAGCTGCATGTGGATGAGCAGAGACGCGAGCCTGGTTCACCAGATTACGAGACTACCGCTCCTAACCACTACACCACACTGAAGAAGCGGGATTGGCTAGCACTATGCCCCTCCAAAACACCCCATCTCGAAATGTGGCTGCCCCACCTAACAAGGAAAGCTGGCTACGAGGCTGCCCTACAGGCTTCTGCATCATCAGCACTGCTCTCAGGAGGCAACACTACCAGTCCAAGAAAGCCATTTACACCAAGCATGCCGCCTAAGGCAATGTGAAGACAATTTTCAAGGTTATTTAGTTTGAGAAGGCAAACTCTCCCAGTGCAAACTACTTGGGAAGAAATATTATTAATGCCATGGCTGGGCCTCAAGCAGTCTGGCTAGACATATTCCAGACTCCAGGCTAATAAAGTTAGCCACTGCTGCAACAGGCAATGACTGCAAGTGTTTTAGTATTTTCCACGATGTGGATTACATTTGTGCTTCATGTTTTTGTGTCACTGTTTCCCCCCCCCCTTTTCTGTTCTGTGCAAATATAGGGTAAGCCCCCTCACAAAACAGGCTCCTGTACTTGTACTCTGAAACACCTGCCTTACATAAGACGTGAAAGGAAATCAGAAGTGGAGCGGTTAACATGAATTGCAGTTAGATCAAAAATACATTTCACTGGTAATACATTTTTCTCTGTGTTCATTTCAACAATACAATTGCTAACCTTTCAACAAGGTGATCTCATGATGAGAAGGGGAAGACTGTGATTTACTACAGGTTAGGAAATAAAACCACCAAGAAGAAGAGTAGCCTTGTTAAAAAAAAAAAAAAAAGGTAAAGGACCCCTGGACGGTTAAGTCCAGTCAAAGGAGACTATGGGATTGCTGCAGTCATCTCCCTTTTCAGGCCGAGGGAGCCGGCGCTTGACCACAGACAGCTTTCTGGGTCATGGAGCCAGCATGACTAAACCAATACTGGTGCACGGAGGACCATGACAATGCCAGAGTGAATAAGTTCAAATTTACTATCCTCCTTTCCCACTACTTGTGATGTGCTGATGGCCTGGGGGGAGGGAAGGGGGAACCAATACTTTTCTAATGTATGAAGCTCTTTCCACCTAGTCATATTCTTACTCTGAGCAGCTGGCATTTTTCTAGCTGGTGAGTGTGGAAAGTCCCAGGCTTTCTCCCAATCTGGAGAGGGGGCAGGGATCACCACTGCAGGGACAATCCTTGCTGAGACTCCCTTCATAGCCCACACAGTTGGAAGAAAGCTAAAGACTGTACTTCCAAGATACTTCACACACCTCTGAAGGGCATCACCAAAACAAGTTTTCCTCTACAGCTCCCACTACAAAAAAGGCAGGCTTATTTTTGTACCGCACTTCGACACAGCATGATTCCATGGACATTTTCCCACCTGGGAAATGCCCCAAAGTCCTGCTGTATTTCAGAGGGGGCACCACAAAGTCAGGGACAAAATCCTGAGCCCTGGATAGGAGCAAAGTTTCAGAAATCAAATTTTTGGTCAGCCACCAAGACCAGACAAAATTTATGGCCCCCATTATATCCAAGTCCCTGAAACAGTAAAATTACTTAATGCCACCAATACCTTATTTTAAAGTATCCTGTTCCCTTTTAAGTGTCGCAATTAAAGAAAAATGTTACGAACCAGAAAAGGCTCAGAAGGGAACTATGAGAATAGTAATAGGCTGTGGATTAATCATGAGATAAGAGAAGTAGGGATTCTTCACTGTAGGGGACTCTGAAAAATTAGGGTTGATGTGCACAAACTACATAAAATCTGGGATTGGTCCCACTTACCCATGTGTCACATGCATACTCCAAAGCCACATCATATATTGTTGCAAGCTCATTAATGTCATCTAGAGTCCTATTATGAAGTGGAAAACTGGACAGGTTCAAAGTTGTATTTGGGTTTTTTTAGGTAACCACCCAGAAGAAGTGTGTGTGTGTATCTTTATTAAACACATTCATGAAGTCTATTTGTAAACAAACTTTGGGAGCCAGGGAGTTAATAAGGGAGTAAATTAAAACTAACACTGTCCAGAGTATATGTCTCAAAATTCTTGGGGGAGCAGAACAATACATCAATATGCCAGGTATTTGTAGCATAAAATCTCCAATCATTTCAATTGAATTGGAGCAGAAATCAAGATTAACACTGATATTAATGAATACTGTGGACTGCATCCTTATCTGTTATAGCTTCTTGAAAGCACAGAGTAGAGGTTCCCAGCTATGCTCCTTTAAAACCGTTTGAGAATATTTGGTGAATGTTTTGTCCTCAGGGTGCTGTCTCTAGGAGCCACAGCCCAATGCAAGCTCCAAACTTTTAGACCTCAAACTATGTAAGATTTCAGCAAAATATATAGGGTTGAATCCAAAGAAAAATAGCTGAATGTATGTCTCACTGAAATCAGTGGAACAAGTAATTAAGCTTCTCTAATTTCAATGGGACTTAAGTTTAACTAACTCAGTCCAGATCCAATCTACAGTATCTAGATAACTGCAGAATACCCTGTTCTAGCTAAGCATGAAGATATTTTAAATGGTGTAATGGAATTTTGGAAAGGTAGGGAGAGTTCCAAAGGCACTACACACAAGCGGAAACACAGAGTTGTTGCCAAAATCACCTTCCCAGATCATGCTGGACATCGCTCCCTCTTAATGTATAATACTTAGCCCATGTTTCATAAACATGACATTTTTAATTTCCCTGCCACACATTTTTGTTGGCTGGTAGGGGAAGGAAAACATTACAACGGCAGATATTTGTTTTCTTGTTCCATTCTTCTTATTTTTATGTTTGTAATGGCTGTCTGCTAGACACAGTAAACTGTACTGATACACATTACATATTAACAAAGCTTAGTAAAACATATCTAGATTCTAATTTCAATAATCTTCTACTGAAGGCACATGCTTTTTAATCGGTAAAGAATGGCCTGATTTAACAGTTAGATCCTAACGCTGAAGCAGCATATACGCAAATAAACAGCTGCTCCAGGCAGTGTCACAAAACATGATAGTACACCACTGTTACAGGAAACCTATGGATTTGTGGTCCCAATTTATTTTATCCCTTTATGATGCTGTACACCAAAATACATGGTCAAAAGCGGGATAGTAACAGGCAGGAAAATGTTGGTTTACCAATCCTAAATTGTACTGTATTCCATCTCCTGCCCTGTGAATCAGAACTAAAACCCTGCTTACCCTCACCAAGGGAGACATTCTGAATCCCTAATTCCTGAGTAGAGAGGCTTTTCAACACCTTTTAAATATAGAAGAGCTTCCCCTCTCTTAAGTCACCATGATTACAAGTCACAAGTGCTATGGCACCAAGCATGTCGACTCAAAAGGGTATTTGATATTAATACCGTTCTACATAAGAGAAGAAAATATATACCCAAAAGGTAAAATTAATATTTATTACTCATCTGCTTCTGGTTTCATGTGATCAACATAAAAAAACCCAATTCACACAACATTGAAATAGGTACACAAAAATAACCTGATTTTTCCAACGGTCAAATTGTGATCATTAATTAGTGGGAGCCATTTTGATAGTGCGAACAGATACATGGTGCAGTAGTTATCAGGTGTCTAACAATGGCCAGGGAATCCCTAGGTCAAATCCCCACGTGGTCGTGAAACTCACTGTGTGAACTTCAGCCAGTCACTTCCTCACAGTTTAACCCAGGGGTAGGCAACCTAAGGCCCATGGGCCGGATGCGACCCAATCGCCTTCTCAATCCGTTCCGTGGACGGTCCGGGAATCAGCATGTTTTTACATGAGTAGAATGTGTGCTTTTATTTAAAATGCATCTCTGGGTTATTTGTGGGGCATAGGAATTCATTCATATTTTTTTCCAAAATATAGTCTGGCCTACCACATGGTCTGAGGGATAGTGGACCGGCCCATGGCTGAAAAAGGTTGCTGACCCCTGTCCTAACCTAACTGACAGGGTTGTCTCAAGAATAAAAAGGGTAGGAAGAATCATGTATGCCAACCTAAGCTTCTCTGCAATCAGACGAAAAAGCTCTGCAATAGTCAAACATGTTCTATCCTTGTGAGCATTTGTTATTACGTCAGTAAAAATGAACAACCGTAATAAAGTTGTCCTTTAAAAGTGTTTGCATAAATGAAACCAAATCTATGCTTTTCCAACTAACAATTCAAAAACAAATCCCCATATTTATGAAGTAATTTTATGAATTTATGAAATAATCATTTGTTGCTAAGAAGTTATAGCTACCAACAGCCATTTTATAACGTGTTTTGTACATTTAAGTCTGCACTAAAATTGGCATTCCTCACTATCACAACTTCATGAACAATTTGGTTACCATTCTAAAGTTACAGCCATAATCTGTGTCACCAGGAAGAAACCAAATACCATGGGACCCAGTGGGATATATTTCTAGGCAAACATATTTAGAACATGGCTGTAGAAGTTACATGAAGATGCTGGTGTACTTGCCTCACACTATTAATGTCCTATCTCCACCCTTCTATGACAGAAACATGCCAAATTCATAGACATTACTGAGGCTGCAGCCAATCTCTGAGGTGGTGTTTCTCTTAGCACATGACACTCACTGCAGTGTTAAATGTGTCACCAGGTCATTCAAGAGAAAGAAACCACACCCAGACAGGCAGGCCCGTAATAGTTTGAATAAGATGTAATCCTCACATTGATGTACGTTACTTGCTAAATATTTAGCTTTTCATTTTCTACTGAAACCTTTTTCAGACATCTTTCTTAGATAAGCATACAATCCTATGAACACTCATCTGGGAATAAGCCCCACCAAAACACAGGGGTATTATTTCTGAGTAAATATGCTTAAGATTGTGCTGCACAATAACAGCATAGACTTGGACCATAATCAAATTTAATAAAGGCCCAGAGAGTACAAATACAGAAAAAAATGTCTACTATCTCTGTTGCTATTTAAAAAAGAAGTAATAGATATAGCTACATGTTAACCGTAACAAAATTATTTTTGTGTTGTAATACAGAAAGTTAAACATTACTGGAAATCTCAAATTGCTTGCAATTAAGGCTTTCCATTATGCTCCCAATCATACACATTTAGCAGTTTCAAGACTGTCAACCTCTGTGCAATCAAGCCTATTTCATAGATCTACCCTGCATGAACACCAGCCACAATAAACTTACTGACTTACCTATCCGTTTCCCATCACTAAGTTGTAGTTGCAAATTCCCTCTTAAAAGCATATTTAATTCAAAACCTAGTCTTGCTCCTTTGCTTTCTACGCTTAAGACAGACAAGATTAGCAGCTTCTTCGAGATAAGATGGAAGAGTCCTTCAGAATTTTATCTGATGGCGTGCAACGTTCGAAATAGCTAAATTTCCATTGCGGTCAAGATTCCCGTAGCGCCAGAGTTAAAATATACACACCATCAGAAGAGGCCAAGTTACACGATGCTTACAGCGTGAAACCCCACGCGAAATCGCACTGTCAGTCGAAGTTTTTATTCAATGCCGGGGAGAGAAGACCCGAGAGTCTGCTCAACCCCACCTTTTGCAAACCCAGAGACAAAAGCAAAACCAACACGTTTCCAAGCCGGATCCTATACCCACGTTTAACCCAGGATCCAACGGGATCGTTGCACCTGGGTAAGTATGCATGGGACCGTGTCTCTCATTTTGACACCCGCGGCTTCACTTATCTATTTATTTATCGGTTATTTGGGGGGGGGGGTTAAGCGTCCTAATGCACGAGGCGGCTCTTGCATTTGCAACCCAGGCGGAGAACCTTGTTGACGCTCACAACGAGTAAAGTGAAAAGGAGTGGGGGAAATAAACAAAATCCCGGGGAGGGGGTGAAGGAGCAGTGTCCCCCCCCCACACACATTCCACCTCCAACCCTTCACTCCCGTCAACCAAACACGCGGGGCTCCTCCCCTCACGCACGGGGGCTCCTCCCCCTCTCCTGCTTCCTCTGTCTCCCCCCCCCATCCCGGGGGCCCCCGAGTGGCCTCCCCTCGCGCGTTCTCCCTCCTCACCGGTCATTGAGCTGGTCCTCGGTGCCCGGGAGCGGGTGCACCACGAAGTGGATCGATGTCATGTTTCGCTCCCCCTCCCTCGAGGGAGGCGGGCAGGGGCCGGGCGCGCGAGGAGGAAATGGAGGGTGCGGGGGGGGGGAGAGGAGGAGGAGGAGGCGGAGGAGAAAGGACGGGCGACGGCGGGCGGGGGGGAGGGAGGGCAGGAGGGCTTGGCGCCCCCTCCGGAGTGCCGCTGGGTGTCTCGTTCACACTCGGGAGCCTCCGCTCGGCGCGAGGGGAGAGCGAGAGGCTGGTCAGAGGCGTGCACGGGAGCGGGGAGCTCGCGGCGGCGGGAAAGGGTTCGGTCAGCGCCCCGCTCTCACACGCGCCGCCATCTTAACTTCAAGCGGCCCCTCTCTTCCCTCCCTCTCCTTGCGCCTCGCCGGGGAGAGAGCGGACGGGGCGGAGCCGCCGCCGCCCAGCAGCCAATGGCAGGCCGCCGCTCAGCAGCGGGCGGCCGTGGGGACGATGTAAAGCTCGCGAGGGTTGGCCGGCGGCCGGCGTGCGTTGCGTCAGGCGCGGGCTGGGGAAGAGGGAGGGCGGCGTGGCTGCGCGCGCCGCTTTCGCTGCCAGTGCGGAGAGGGGAGGAGGAGGAGGCGGCGATGCGCGTCGGAGATGCGCGTCAGCGCCGCCTTCTCCCGACGGTCCCGCCGCAGCTGCCGCCTTGGCCGCCCGGCTTCTGGGCCTTCCCGGAGAGCGGGAGATAAAAGGGACATCCTCTTTCTCCTCCCCCGGAACAGACCGAGCGACTAGCGTGGAGGGCGGGGAATAATACCCTGTGAGGGAACGGGGAATCCGCCTCGCGAAGGAAAAAGCCCCCGAGTGGGAAAGGCTGGCAGGTCGCCACAGGCTTTCCCTGGACTTGCCAGCCAGACTCTGCCTGTAGGAGTTGCCAAAATTTATGTTGAGGTAGCGGGGAGGGAACACGCGAACGTGTGAACGTCGCACTTGCAGCTTTGCCTGGGGAAAGCCCCGGGGAAACCTTTACTGCGGTTTGTGTGAAACGGGCCCTCCGTGCGTGACATATAGGGAAGTGCAATCCACTGTCTCTCGAGACAGATGCCAATAACAGGTTTCCTTCCTCTGCGCTTTCCCCATTTTATCCTCACAACAACCCTGTGAGGCAGTTGTGTAGTAGTGAGTCACCCAACAGGCTTTGTGGCTGAGTGAGGATCTGATGGTCCCGTCTTCACAATCCTAGGCCTACACTTTACCACACTTGAGTGGTTTTAATTCTGTTCACTGGCTGTTTGGTTGGTTGTATCGCCACCTCTCTTCTTTTTTTCAATAAGGTAAAGAGTGTCATACCGACGACCTTCTGATCAGCAAGTCCTAGGCTCTGGTTTAATCCACAGCGCCACCCGCCTCCCTCTGCAGGTCATTGTAGCTACCTCTGATCCAGCTTGGAGGAAACCAACAAGTCTGAATTGTACCTTTGTACAATTGGATAGGGGACGTGGGTGGCGCTGTGGTCTAAACCACTGAGCCTCTTGGGCTTGCCGATCAGAAGGTCGGTGGTTCGAATCTCCGTGACGGGGTGAGCTCCCGTTGCTTGGTCCCAGCCCCTGCCAACCTAGCAGTTTGAAAGCACGCCAAAAAGTGCATTTAGATAAATACGGTAGGAAGGTAAAACTGTGTTTCCATGCGCTGCTCTGGTTTCGGTGTTCCATTGTGCCAGAAGCAACTTAGTCATGCTGGCCACATGACCCGGAAGCTGTCTGCGGACAAACGCCAGCTCCCTCGGCCTGTAAAGCGAGATGAGGTCCACAACCCCAGAGTTGTCTGCAGCTGGACTTAACTGTCAGGAGTCCTTTACCTTTACATTACAATTGGATAGTTACATGCACACTTCAGGCAAGCAAGTAGCATTATTCAGAGCTCAAGGGCACCAAACCACTCAAGTAGGGTGCAAAACAGGGCCACTGAAGGCTGTGACCTGGGAAGAGTCCTAAGAGCCAGAAATAGAGGCTTGGAAAGTCTCCAGATCTGAGGTTCCATTTCCCTGGGCTAGAGTATAGAAGCCCCATCGTGAACTATTAACCTATGGTTATATGATTTGTGTGTAACTTTCTGAGGTCAAAGGCCTGAGCTTTAACCTTGTGCAACTTCTTTTTAACATCTATGTACCTATCAGGATTCCCAAAAAATGTAGTTTGTGACTGCAACATCTATGACTCTCAGGCAGGAACTCCTTTCCAATTTCGTTGCTTCTTCCTACTATGCTACCAGGAAGTTTGCAGTATCTCTTCTTGTTGCTGCTTCCCCTTATGCACATAAACCAATATACAATGGTACCTCATGTTAAGTTCTGGCTTCTGAGATTCAGAATTTTTTTTTCTTGTTTCCTCCTCCAAAAACTAAGTGCGTCTTGTGGTCTGGTACATCTTATAGAGCGAAAAATACGGTACTTAATTCGTTCCAGGGGTCCGTTCTTAACCTGAAACTGTTCTTAACCTGAGGTACCACTTTAGCTAATGGAGTCTCCCGCTGCCGCCTCGTGATTTCTGTTCTCACCCTGAAGCAAAGTTCTTAACCCGAGGTACTATTTCTGGGTTAGCGGATTCTGTAACCTGAAGCGTCTGTAACCCGAGGTATCACTGTACTCCTGATATAGACATTGTTCTGAACATTACTGTCTGTGTGGAATCAGTGGCACTAAATTAGGACTTCGTCCTTTTCCTGGCAAGCCCGTAACCTATCACTTATCCAGGATGACCAGTAGGCTATAGGGTTTTATTTGCTACATTTACATGCCCTCTTTCCATGGTAGAAATAAAGGAAGAATGTGTAGGATTCCCTCACAGTGCTCCATCCACACACTCACCCACCCTGGGCCTGGTCGGCTTCATCAATAATATCACATCGTGTATCTTCACACCATGCTGCTGACTGTTACAGTTGGCATTCCTCTGGCTGGCCCTGGCTGTTTACCTGCCAAACTGGCTGTAGAGTTGTGCTGGCTGTGTTTAGTCTTTAAACCTCTGAGTAAGCTTGTGTCTGTGGGTGTTGCTGCCCTCCTGACTGAAGAGTCATGAAGATCTCTAACGAGGGGGACACTATGGCTGGGGTCCCCAACATGGTGTCTCTGGCACCATGCTCCCCTCAGACACCCTGCTTGGTACTTACCAAGGCCACTGGGTACACCCAGTTTTTAATCTTTGTAAAAGAACATCAAGCAATTAAGGACAGCTTTTGGATGAGTTGAATATTTTGCTTGTTTGGTGGAAAAGGTTCTGCACGCCACCATTTTTTCTTCCACGAAATGGGTGTTTTGTGGTGCAGTTCTTAGGTCTTCAAATGGGCATTCCGCACCCCAGAGTTGGAGACCCCCTGACCACACAATGGGCTCTCCTTGATAACATGCCCATGGCACAAGCCAGCAGGGCTTTGTAAGTGACAAATCTGTCACTTCACTCTCCTATTGTTGTCCCCATTAGCAAATACTAATGCTATCTGCTTTTTTTTGCTTAGAGAGCAAAAAAACCTAGTAGATAACCATTTAAATAATGTAAGAATTGCTTTTTGTGATCATTGTTTTCTCAAAACAGTTTGGAGTTTTAAGAACTGTGAAACTAGGAAACGTAATGCCTTAAGATGAAGTTTGAAATTTAAGAGTCTTATAAGAAAAAACAGTATGCACAATACAAGGTATTTAAACTACAAGATTTTGGCCATTTCACTTTCTGTTAAAATGAGTTCTGTGGTGTCTCTTAACGCAATAACTTTTGGACATTAACAAAGCTGAATGTTGGAAGATTCGGATAAAAGAAAGTACTTCATACAGCGCATAGTTAAACTGCAGAACTTGCTTCCACATGAGGCATTGAGGCCACCAATTTAAACAGCTTTAAAAGAGGATTAGACAAATTCAGGAAAGAGGGCTATCAAACACTATCAGCCCTGATGGCTCTGCTCTGCCTATAATATCAGTTGCAGGAGAGTTTCCCACAGGGATCTGGTTCATCACTGTGAGAACAGGATGCTGGACTAGATGGGCCACTGGTCCTGATCCAGCAGGCTCCTCTTAAAGAATGGCTCAGGCCGACAAACATCTGTATGATTTGTACACAGTGTGTGAAATCTGGGAAATCAAATAGTGCAATTAGCTCAAGAGATATACTAAAGATGTATACCGTGAAGCTGTTGTTATTCCGATGTTCTTCCAACTTCTCTGTTCATCTCAAAGCTAATTTATGGAACAGGAATGGCCTCTGAAAACTGGAGGAGCATCTGCTAATCTCTTTTTCTCAGAATGTTCTCACCCTGCAGGGAAGATCTTGTAAGGCCTTAAGAGGTACTGCCTCTGGGGAACCACACCCATAGCTTCACTTGCAGAAATATTGAGAATCAAGAACTACAGAGTTGGAAAGGGATCCAATGCAACTATCCAGATCAACCCACCAAGCCTTCAAGGATATATTAAAAGCAGGCTTCCTCAAACTTGGCTCTCCAGATGTTTTTGAGACCACAATTCCCATCATCCCTGACCACTGGGACTGCTAGCTAGGGATCATGGGAGTTGTAGGCCAAAAACATCTGGAGGGCCGAGTTTAGGAAGCCTGATTAAAAGTACCGGTAACTAGAGAGGAGGCCTCTGCTCCTATAATTTGCTCAAATTGCCTCTTGCTGCCCTCTGCTGCCACCTGGAGGCTGGTTAATAAATAACGAGTCAGTTCTGGTTGCAACTAGTGCCTGCTTAAAGATGGGTCAATGAATTCTAGCGTAATGAGAATTGATGATTACAGTTACTTATGTTGTTGCTGCAATCAGCTAAATGAAACCATATTCCCTTCCATGCATTAAAATCTTCTGAGGAGGGTTTCCACCCCACCCTAGCTCCACAAGGGACCCCACTAGCAAAGGCAGGCCGTGGGTTTATCCTAGAGCAATTTCAGTTGTTGGCTAGGATGCTTACTGTCTTAATATGTACTCCCAGATACAAGTGTCATAATGTCAGGAAACTCTTGTGTATTAGATAGAGGTAAGAAAAAGATAGCTACGGAATATTAGGGTGTGGTGATTGCTGCTCAGAGTCAGAGCTCCAGTCGTGTGCAATCTACCTTGTGTGAATTGCTGCTAGTCCACAGAAACTAGCAGACCAAGACGTGGGTGTTGTATCTGCTGTTGCACCAAAAACAGAGCTGTGCTATCCCTAAACAAGAGGTGATTTGAAAAGTCAGGGACTACGGCTGGTAGCAGGCGGAGCCAGGACCAAAAGATGGTGGAATTTGCAGCTCCTCCTCTCTCTGTGTCACCTCATTCGGTCTCTTACATTTCCCTTCCTCTCTCACACAAAGCAAAAGAGGATATGCTTCTCAGAAGGGCAGTTTGGAGAGCAAAAAGTGAGCCTACATTATCCAGAGAACAAGGTGACACTAAGGGTACATGTGAAAGGCATTGTTTTTACTTCTTAGAACAAAATTTATATACCGCTTGAATTGTAGTGAAACCTCTGCAGTTGGCTTTTGGGCTTTAAACCCTGCGATAGGATGTACTTTTTACCGTCCTGCGCAACAGTTGCCTAAAATACCCCCTGAAAGCAGACCCATTGAAATTAATGGGCCCAAGTTAGTAATAGTCATTCATTTTATTGGGTCTGCTTTGAGTGGGACTACCACTGGATACAAAGCAGGATGTTAAATTACTTCGCCGATTCATAGAATTTTGTAAAACAATAGTTCAGGGCATCCTGATCAAAGCAAAAGTCTGAAAATTTAGCCTTTTATATTTCTCGCCTGAAACCTGTGACATAATGTCCATTTCATAATATCAGAGTAATTACAAGCAGTAGGAGACAGTGGGCACAGAAAACTGAATCCCAGTGTATTTTAACTGAAACCATCTGAGGGAACTTGGTGTTATTTCTGAAGGAGGTGGAGACGTATTCAGTCTTGTTACCCAAGAATTAGATCTTCAGAAAGTTTGAGGGATATCTCTTAGGAGGCCACATTCTGAACATAAAATGGTTCCTGAACTAAATTTTGAGTTTAAATTTAATAGTTGGCCCCCAATAGTAACGTTATGAAACATTATTCATCAGTGGATTTGGCTTTTCAGGATATGGGCCTGATTTGCTTTCTGCCTATATGTTTTATGTTTCTGTGTTTATAAGGACAATTGGACAACGTCCAAGTATTTCGCCCAAACCAATCTTTAGTTCCTATCACAACACCATTAAGACACCCACATCACACTCATTTCCTACAAAGAGGCCAAAGTACAAGTTACCCCCCTGAGAAATTCTGAAGTCTGTAATGTGGGCTTTTAACAGAAGTCTGTAATGGCTTTTAACAAATACCACAAACTCGGAGCTTTCTGACTTCACTGTACATGAAAGAATGACCTTGATGCTTCATCAGGGTGGCATTTTACATTCAGCAGCTGAGACACAACCACAGTTTACCGTTCCCGTGGCGATGGCTAGACTGTGACCTATCTGCAGAGCAATGATGTCATAAACGCCATGCTGGAATACAGCCAGAACACCAGTTGCTTGCTCCTTAATGCAAACTTCTGGCCGGGGCTTGCAAGACCAATTTTTTTTCCCCTGACGAGTGCCCTTTATTGAAGGCTGTACTCGTCGGTTAATATGGTTTAATGCCTACTCATGGCAACCCTCTGCAACGCCCTGGAAGCTGTTAGGCGAGATTTAAGGCGAACCGACAGAGAAATAAAGAAACGCTTAAGGCTTATGGACATGAGTTGCTGCCCTAAATCCTGCGAAGTCCAGGCAACCTGCCTTTGTGATATAAGTCTCCACCCACATTGTTGCTGTCTTCTCCATCCCTACCCACACTGCCTGTGTGACATACTATGCTGTCGTCCCTGTAGACCGCCTTGCCTCACACCTTTGGAGCGTAAAGCTATCAGGGCTAAGATAGAAGCTGAGCAAGAACTGGCCAGGTAAACGGGTTTCTCCAGTTTGTCGCTTGTGTAATTATTTAAGGTGTTAATAGTTAAGGTGTTAAAAGGAGCGGGGTGGAAGCAGTGGGGAGTGCATTTGTTCCTGTGTATCTAGTTCTGTAAAGGGACGCGGGTGGCACTGGTCTAAACCACTGAGCCTAGGGCTTGCTGATGAGAAGGTCGGCGGTTTGAATCCTCGCAACGGGGTGAGCTCCCGTTGTTCAGTCCCCGCTCCTGCCAACCTAGCAGTTCAAAAGCACACAGTGCAAGTAGATAAATAGGTACTGCTCTGGTGGAAAAATAAACGGCATTTTCGTGCTCTGCTCTGGTTCGCCAGAAGCGGCTTAGTCATGCTGGCCACATGACCCAAAAGCTGTCTCCGGACAAATGCCAGCTCCCTCTGCCAGTAAAGCGAGATGAGCGCCACAACCCCAGAGTCGTCCGCGACTGGACCTAACAGTCAGGGGTCCCTTTACCTTTATCTAGTTCTGTAATTTGACTGCTGCAGCAATAGATGTCCTACAAAAGAGGGAAAGGAAGCACATTTGCAGTTTCCAGGTCTGTTTTAAACTGTGTCCTTCTGCATGTTGCTATTTTATTGCTTATTTGTTAAAGCTATATACTACCCTATACCCATAGATGTCAGGGCGGTTCAGAACATAAAAGTTATTTAGGAGGTCACCAACTTGGATGGAGCCAAGCCCTGCCACCCTTCAGAATAAAAAGAAGACGAGGTGAACTGCTTAGTTAAGCTGTGGCATTTGCTCCCACAATTTGGGTGGCTTTAAAAGAGGATTGGACAAATTCATGGGGAATAAGGATATCCGTGGCTCCTTGGCCCGATCAAGCAAGCACCTCTTACTTACACTCTTAGAAGTGCTTTATGTATGCACTTTTAAAGCCCGTGGAGGCACCGCAGCTTTGAAATGCCCTCTCAAGGGAAGTACACCAACAAAGATACTGTATTTCAGGCATGTCCAAAGTCTGTTTCGGGGACCTCATCCGGCCTGCCGGTTGGTTTAATCCGGCCCCCGTGGCGGTTTATCTCCTGGGGTAAAATCCTAAAACAAAGCTCAACAACTTCAATCCTAAAGAAAGGTCAACAATTGTTGTTGTTCACTTCATCAAATCTGGCCCTATTTGAAAAAAGTTTGGGCCCCCCTGCTGTATTTTCTCCCAGGCGTGAGGTTGCAATCGTTTGTACTCCATCAACATTTATCAAGAGGAGACGCATTGAAATTAGTAGCCATCGCTAACAGGCCCATTCATGGGGTTCTGCTCTGAGTGAACGTTGGCTGAATACAACCCAATCTTTTTATTTGCCTCAGGCACTCTCCTTCTCCAGCAGAGTGTCTGAACTCTGCCCTGCGACTGGCTTATGCACACCAGGGGTGAGCAATGGCTACATGAGGTTGCAGAGTGCTTCTAGGTGGGCATTCATTGGGGGGTCTGGGGATCTCACGCATGCACTTCCTTTGCAGGGTCTGCACAACGTAGTTGACATCAAAATGCCAGCGGGGTATTTCCCCTCCCCCATTTAATCTGGATTTACCCATTTATCAGAAAATCCCTTAAGTTTCTCGTTTGTTTGTTTTTAAAATGTTGGCAATGACCTATTGCAATACTAAGCCCCTGGGATAATTGTTCCCAAAGCGTGGGATAATCTCCCCTTCAATGCAACTCTTAGGACTCAGCTACATTGGTCAAAAAACAGTGCTTTGAATGCGTTATAAACATGCAACACCAGGTGGCGCTAGAGAGCAAAAATATTTTCTTTGACATTTTCCATAGCGTCCCCCCCCCCCTTTTGTTATAACAATTTAATTTCTGACTTTTTAATAGCATTTTTTCCTGTGTGTAGCTGGTTGGACCCTGTGGGAACAGAATGCTAGACTAGGTGGCCTTTGGTCTGATCGCAACAGTCAAACAATAAATAAAATATACCAAGAAGCACACAACAAGGTTGATCAATTCCCACATAAATCTTAACAAGGTCTAAAAATAACAATTGCAGAAAATTAACATCAATAACAGCAACAAGAAACCCCAACAAAAAAAGACTAAACAATCCCCCAGCCCAAGAATCTCTTCAGCAGCCTCCACTTTTGTAGTTGGAGTCAGTCAAGACCCCACCCTCCCAAGCCAGGTGGGAAAAGCCAGCAAGCCAGGGAGCAGGTCTTCCAGGACTCACAGGCAAGATGGTCTCTGGCTGTGTATAATTTGAGACTCATAAAAGCACCACACAGGAAACCAAAGTTTTACAGCCAGTGGTTAGGCAGATAACAGAACTGAGTGTGGCCAAAATACATACTCATCAAATAAATTCAAGGAATGGCCCTACCTCCTCACAGGGTTGCTGTGAGGATAAAATAGGAAATTCCATGTATGTTGTCATGAGATTCTTGGCAGAAGGGTGCACTACAAATATGTAATGACCTGGCCTGCCGCTGCATCATTTGTCATTGAGCATGTTCACGTTTCAGCAAATCGGAAAGTGTCGTTTGGATTTCTATTGTAAGTGGAATAAAAGAGCCATGTTCATGTTTCCTTTTGTGTGCTTGTATACCACTTTTAGTCACCAGGTAACTTCAGAACAGTTTCCATAATAAATAAATCCATGGGCAATATCCAGCAAAATATTTCCATTAGCACAAAGACTTCTGACTGTGCAATGGAACTTCCTCTCCCTGTCTGCACCCACTAAACCCATTCTGGGAGTTTTTCTAACCTTCCAGAGCAGATTTCAGGAGGGGCTAAGGTTGCACAGAGAGAGGAGAGGAGAGGGAGGGGAAGTTATTTTGTGTCCTTGCACTTAGTAGTGGAACTACTTAATTGGATCCTGCCCCATATCATTAAAGATCACACAACACAATTAAAACACCTAGCAATAAACTATAGCTTAAGAGCATGAGACACTTAAATCAAGGTCGTGGTTTCAAGCCCCACATTAAGCAAAATATTCCTGCATTGCAGAGGGTTGGACTAGATGACACTCATAGTCCCTTCTATAATAAAAGATAACCCCCAAGCTCAAAAACAGTCTAACCATAGCCTGTGACAGCTAGAGAAAGAAAGTTTCCAGCAGGTGATGGAAAACCCCATCTGTGTTATGTCTGGTCTTGACTCCACGAAGAGGGAGCTCTGCAGAGAAGACTCTACTCCAGGTCCCTTCACAATAAGAGATGTCCATTGGTGGATCCACAAGCAGGGCCTTCCCTGCTGATCTGAGGGGTGAGGGAGGAGACATTGATAAGTGCTGCTCCATCAAATCAAATACCCAGGATCCTATGTCATTCAAGAGCAGGGATGGGCAAATCTGCCAGTTTCTATTTTTTCACAATCTTACATTCGAATCACTTTGTGATTTATTTATTTTTAAAGGCTCTTGTGAAAATTTATCATTTTATATAATAATAATAATAATAATAATAATAATAATAATAATTTATTTATTTATACATACCCCGCCCATCTGGCTGAGTTTCCCCAGCCACTCTGGGCGGCTTCCAATCAAGTGTTAAAAACAATACAGCATTATATATTAAAAACTTCCCTAAACAGGGCTGCCTTCAGATGTCTTTTAAAGAGAAGATAGCTGCTTATTTCCTTCACATCTGAAGGGAGGGCGTTCCACAGAGTGGGCGCTACTATCAAGAAGGCCTTCTGCCTGGTTCCCTGTAACCTCACTTCTTGCAATGAGGGAACTGCCAGAAGGCCCTCGGTGCTGGATCTCAGTGTCCGGGCTGAACAGTGGGGGTGGAGACGCTCCTTCAGGTATACTGGACCGAGGCCGTTTAGGGCTTTTATATTTTACATTTCACATTTTCGTGTGAATTTCTCCTAATGAACACATTTTTATGTATTTTTGTGTGTTATTTTCACATATACATGCATTTCAATGCACACTTTACCCTAGTATATTAATTTTTTTGAAGGATGGCTTTGCTTCAGCACTTGTTTCCAACTGTGTATTCCTTTTCTACATAGCCACATTTCTTTATGTGTCTTCCTTTTAACTATCCCTAGATTGCAAGCTTTTTAGTATGCTTATAAAATGTCCTGCATTAGATAGTGTTTATATATTTATCTCCTATATATAAGCTAATTGCCAAATGGCACCTTCAGCCTTAGTTACACTCACCACAATGGAATGTCTAGGCCCCTCTTTTTTGTAACTATTTTTCATTTCATTTCCATACCACTTTATTTTTTAAAAAAATAAAAAGGTCTCAAAGCAGTTTACATTAAAACATTCAATAAAACAATCCAGAATAAAACAAATGCAAGCTTCAAGGAAAATATTTCCGATCCTTCTCTAAGGGACATTTTGCTTTTCCCAAATTTATTTACCTCCTTAATTTATATAGCTGTCCCATACTAGAAGTACTCTAGGAAGCCAGTGTGGTGTAGTGGTTAGAGTGTCGGACTAGGACCTGGGAGATCAGGGTTCAAATCCCCACTCAGTCATGCAGCTCACTGGGTGACCTTAGGCCAGTCATGGCATCTTCACCTACCTCACAGGGTTGTTGTTGTAGGGATTAACTATGGAGAAAAAGCTGGGATCTAAATGCAAAAAATAAGCTCTTCAGCTTACTTGCTTAAGAAAGCTGGAGGGGCCAGCCAGATGGAGATGTCAGCCGCCAACCTGGCATTCAGAGATCTCCACATGGTCGCAATTGCAAAACGCGCCTGGCGCCTGGCTAGTTTATAATACTGCACACACACACAAACACACACACACACACACAGAGAGAGAGAGAAGGCCACTGGCAAATGATTAGAGTCTAATGTTTTTACAGCAAACATCACAGATTTGTCACCGTCCAGTTCTACCAACACAAGGATATAGATGAGTTCAACCTTGTGGCATTTCCTGTGAACTGGTACAAGCTGATGTACTGTATTGCAACCATTTGGTTTCCACTGCCATATAATGTGAATCCACTGACACAATGTACCATCAAATCATGCCTATTTATCAACAGATTCTTCGCTTCTCATCCTGTATTTTAATACTTTGTTGTCTTTTAATACCCACTTGTATTTTAATACTTTGTTGGAAGCTGCCCACAGTGGCTGGGGAAACCGACTCTGGGGTTGTGGCGCTCATCTCGCTTTATTGGCTGAGGGAGCTGGCGTACAGCTTCCAGGTCATGTGGCCAGCATGCCTAAGCAGCTTCTGGCGAACCAGAGCAGCGCACGGAAACACCGTACTCCTGGAGCGGTACCTATTTATCTACTTGCACTTTGACGTGCTTTCAAACTGCTAGGTTGGCAGGAGCAGGGACCGAGCAACAGGAACTCACCCTGTCGCGGGGATTCGAACCGCTGACCTTCTGATCGGCAAATCCTAGGCTCTGTGGTTTATTATTATTAGTAGTAGTAGTATCATCATCATCCTCCTGTGTGCGAGATTCCGGCCACTTGAAGCAGCTTGGCTTGTTCTTCCCTATGTTATTATCGTAACCATTATTACTACTGCTCTTGCTATTATTTTGCAGAATTCGAAGAAGGATCACTAAGATGATGGCAGCATGTAGCCGCCCAAAGCTGCTGGCTTTAATGGACGTTAAGGGTTTCGACCCGGAAGACATTACAGTGAGGGTACAAGATGGGAAAATTAAAGTGTCGGCTGAGCACGAGGAAGAATTTAAGACTTGCAGAGGGAAGGAGTACAACTACTCCACCGTGACCAAGGAGATCTGCTTGCCACCAGGGGTGTGTGAGAACGAGGTCACTTATACCATCGGACCCTGCAGTCTCGTGAGGATAGAGTCCCCAGGCTGTGTCCCTTCCTGCCTGCTTAGCCTGCTTTGAAGAAGACACTGGATGATCAGCTCTGGCAGCTGTTCAGCATCTGGATGCGACCTCAGTGGATCCTAAGGGGAATGGTTGTGTTTGGTTTCTTTTTTCTCTCTCTTTTTTAACATCGCCCTTTAAACGTGTTGCTGTCCATACGAACCTTCTTCCAACAACGACAATGCTGAGCATCTGCTGGTGTGACCGCGTTTGTTTTTATTTTCAAGTTGTATTTTAAAGGGTGTCTTCATAGCTGGTCACTGCCACGGGGGGCGGGGGCGGAATGCAGTGCTGGATTATCAAATAGGCAGAATAGGCACAGGAGTATAGGCTCCACGCCTTTTAGGGGGCCCGCGACAATGGATCAAAATAATATTGATCTTGAAAGAAAATTACAATCAAGCTTTCTTAGTTCAGTGTGAGGCCCCCCAAGATTTTGACTGCCTAGTGGCCTCTACAGGGTTTAATCCAGCACTGGGGAATGCCATTCCTGTTTATTTTTAGCGGAGCTGGAAATTATGGGGAGGGACCCTTGCTCAGTAGTAGAGCACATGCTTTGGGGATCAGGTAGCAAGGGGTGGGGAAAGACACTGTGCTTGAGATCCCTGGAAAGTGGCAGCAAGTCAACGTACAGTTCAGAGCTTGATGGACTAAATAGGCTGACCTGGCAGGAGAGAGGTTATTCTCCCCCTGAGCAATTAAACTTGTAGTTTGTACCGCAGTAAAAACAGAACAAGCCCCATTCCACTTGGAGGGTTTTTTAACAATCCAGCACTATACAAATTAAATAAATACATCTTTACGTCTTTCTTTATTAGATTTACATACCGCACTTCAGCATAAGATCTCAGGGCAGTTCACAAAATAAAACAAAACAGCAAAACAAGAACACCCCTTTCCCACAGAATATTAATTGGCCCAAGGCCTGGTTGAAGAGGATCATTTTCGCCAGGCTCCTAAAAATATATAATGAAGGCACCAAGCGAACCTCCCTGGGGAGAGCATTCCACAAATGGGGAGCCACTACAGAGAAGGCCCAATCACCCTCTGGACTTCACCTGGAGGAGGCACTCAAAGATGGCATCAGATGATGAACGCAGAGTCTGGGACGGCTTATAATAATAAATTGGAACTGGTAGGGCAGATGTCAGGGAGACCAACAGTAGCATACCCTCCAACATTACTCTGGCAAAAATTGGGATGCACATCTTTTGGTGCCTTGGTCTTGTGCGAGAGAGCAGCACCACTTCAAACGTCCCTGGGACATTCTGGGTTCATATCAGAAGCCAGGATGGCTTCTGTAATTCTGGGAGTGTCCCTGGCAAATAGGGACAGTTGGAAGGTATGCAGTATGGGGAACCAGAGCCAATGACACACAGAGGCTATCCTCCCTGCTGAGTTTTATAAGGGGTATCCCTGAGGAGGAAGCTGACAGGCCGTGCCTCTCCCTGGGCTGGTTATAAGAAGCAAACGGGGCCTGGTTGAGGTTGAAGGGTCACTGCCCCAATTGTCCTGAAGGATCATCTGCCACTCAAAGTAGAAGGATCTTTCCTAGTTGATGGGAAGGACTTGGCCAATTGAATTGTAGGGTTGCCAGTGATAGTATGTAAAGGCTTAATAGGGCGGCAGGGTCACTTTGTTTGGAAATTAGAAACGTGCTAAAATATCTGTTCAAGATCTGCACACCGCAGTTGCCTAGCCGCCTCAAAAAAAATGCAAATATTAAAGACTCCATGTTGCAATTGAGAGTTGCCATAAGAGCCTTCAGCACACAGAATAGGAAGCTCTCGGCTGAAGTCCTTGTTGATCCTGCCTGACAAGTGGCGTTCCTTGGCCAAAGCAGCAGACTACATTGCTGAGTCTTCAATAAGACCACACTTCTAAAGGAAATCATATGGTTCATTAATGTTTTGGAAAGTGTTTATCATCTTTCTCAACATCTAAAGTGTACTTTGTCCAATTAGTGTGAACCGGGGTTCAGAGCTAAAAAGAAAAGAAAAAAGTACAACCTATAAAATCCATGTCATTGCTTATTCCTTGGTTTTTGTTCAGCTTCCGAAGGCTGCTTCCTACATAATGAGTTCTGGAAATAATATATATGCTGGAGATTGTACATTAAGCCACTTGTATTTGCGTTACTACATGGATACACAATCTTAGGCCGTTAGGAGCAATCCTGATGGAGAAAAAGATTCCCTTGCATGGCAGGCAGCACCGATGTGGAACCTTTTTATAAATAAGCTGTACATAGATGTCTAAATTGGTTTCCTGTTGTTGCAAGGACTGGTGTAAAGATCTTAATTAGCTGAAGTTTATCTTTGGAGAACAGTAAACACGCTGTAATCCTTGACGATTCTTCACAGTTTTCAGTTTTAACTTGGAAGAATAAACCTCATCCTTGGGGGAGGGGAGGAACTTGGTGCACGTAAGCCACACAATACAAAAATGGGGGTGGGAAAGAGAATGTCATATTTACATCAAGCAATTCATCCTATGCCATTCGGATCCACTGCAGTTACTTCGCCCCTGCTACCCAAAAAAGTGGACAGGTGCTATCTTATCAGCACCTGCCCCTGCTGAGAAACTTGCTTGTTCTATGTGAAAGTGGTTGCAGATATTCCAGGTCAAAGATGGGGACCCTGTACTCCCTCCAAATGCTTTTTGCACAGCATGGCCAGTGGTCAGAGATGGTGGGAGTTGAAGCCAAAAATATCTGGTTCCCCATTCCCTGCTCTCCAGGCTTAAAAGAGGCACTGAAAGATACTTTTACCACTAGGTGGCATATATTTGTCTAAAGTAAGACCTCATTGTGTCTATTTATATCTTACTGGCAGGTGAAATTTCACAGGCTGAAATAAGCACAGCCTGAAATGACCCCTGCTCCCTTCCCATATCAGGCTAATGTTGGCACTGGGTATTGATTTTCCCTAAGTGGGCCACGGATACTCCTGAAACATTAAACCACTCCAAACTACTGTGCAACTCCCTGCTTATCCCATGCGCTGCTAGATGAACAGTGAGAACAAAATCACCCCTAGCCTTCATTCGCACGCATGTACGGACGTCATACTTTCAGATAGCACAATGATTTTACCTTCTGCCATCCTATATCCTAAGAGTGAACCCATTCTGCAAGTGTGGATCTTTATATAGCCAAAACAGCACCATCCATATCCAAGTTATTGGCAGATTTGTGGGAATCCCAAGTTTTGCAACAAACATTATTTTTTATCAAGGAGGGGAGCCCATAGCTGTCAACGTTTCCCATTTTTTAAGGGAAATTCCCTTATTCCAAATAGGATTCCTCACAAGAAAAGGGAAAAGTTGACAGCTATGGGGGACCCTCACAGAGGATCCCAAGGAGGACTCAGCATGCTCAGTAGTCACCAAACACTAACTCACTTTATTTAGGGAGGAGGGTTAACAGGAAACCAGGGGATGGAGATTTAATGGTGTATGTCTAAAGAGCATGTCTGGATGGTTGGAATCCTGAACAGAAGCTCTCCACGCTGCAACATTTTGTTGCAGGTTGGACTTGTACTATTCCCAGTGCTTTTTTTCTGGGGGACACATACCCTTAAACATTTTGTGAATTTTTGTACTTTTGTCCATTTACTGTATTTATTTTCCCCCGATTTGAACTATAAAATGGTGGTTTTCTTGAGTCAAAATGAGAGTACCCCTAAACATTTTTTAAGAAAAAAAAGCACTGACTATTCCTAATTATAAATGCAGAACAATCTCTATAACGGTAGCCTGTCCCCACAGGTTTCTTCTGAGGAAGAACCCCACATGCTTTTCTCAGTCAGCTATTTTTAATATATTAAGTGAAATAGAAATTAAATAATTGGATAATCATGATCACATCAGCCCTCATGGCTCCCCACTGGCCAGTCCTCAACATCACTGCATACTGTCAGCTTAAACCTCGGAACCAATTGCTCTTTTCCCTCGGCCAGTGAATTTGCATGCTTGGTTCCTATTGGTGATGAAGATTCCTCAAGAAGCTGATTGCACACTATAAAATAATCTGTAACCCATCCAACTGGTGATAACATTGAAAAGTTCCAAACAAATGTAAACATCTAAAACAGCAACTTAAGGTATAATTATGGCAGCAGGTAAAAACAAATATAGTGCTTGCTTACGTCAGTCAACCTCATTAGTGGAAGTGGTTTATTTTTTTTAAAAGTGAGCCCAGGGTCATTGGGGTAAGTTTAAACTACAATGTTGAACCAAAATTCCCTTAAAAAAAAGACTTCCCAAAGCCTCAACAGTTTTGAATCAGGGTTGCCTCATTGGCAAATGGTTTTCTGGCTCAAACACTGTTTAATTCTGCAAGAATAGTTATTAATCTATTTTAACAAACTAAGTCTTGATGACCTCAACCTTCTGATAAACTCCTCAGCAAAGCTGATAAAACCTCTCTCTGTTATCAGTAAGCAACACCAACAATAGCACAACCGATAAAAGTATGACTTCGCTCCACTAGTGAGGTTAAAGATTACGAAATGACAACATATCCAACAGGAGAGCGCTTGAAGCATTATCAGGGGCAGTTAGAAATACATTTCAAAGTACCGTATTGGCCTGAATATAAGATGCACTTTTATTCCAAATTCCAACCGTGAAAAGTTAAAGTGCGGCTAAATTCGCGACCTTACAAAAATGGGCTTTTACGATATCGCCGCTGAAACAGACATATGGTAAAACAGAACGGGTGTGCGTGCCTGCGGAATTTTAAGGGAGCGGCTTATATTCGGGTATTGTGGGCATTTCCCCGCCCCCTTGAATTTTAAAGGAGCAGCTTATTTTTGGGTGCAGCTTATATTCGGGCCAATATGGTACTTGTGGTTAAGGTCATTTAAGGAGACACTATTGGCTAGTAGTCTCCAGTTTCATGCATGAGTCTGTCTGTTTAGGAATTTTCATCTATTGCTATGTCATTACTGGGATGCAGGCAATGTGAGCAATTTGATGTGTGGATGTTTCTCCGAGGCTATGTCCACATTAATATTTGCTATGGCACTTGTGAGCTCCCACCACTGGTATTTGAAGCTAGTTACACATTAGCCACAATCCATATCTCTTCTGTACTTCCTTAAGAGATAGTGCTGTTTGATGCACTCCCCCCCACAAACCAGCTTCCATCAGATTTCAAAATGTAAGCTACGCTCACTTCACAGTAAGTTGAGGTA